CTTTCAAATGTACTTGCAAACGCATCAACAATTTTCTGTGGTTCGGCATATTCAGTGTTGTCATCATCAACAAGTTGATTAGGTATTCTGGAAGTACCTTTCTTTTGGTGTAAGAATCTCCAAAGCGCAGCAGGATTGGACTTAACATCCTCTTGAATTTGAGCAAGGTAAAAATTATAAGATTCGGATATTTGACGTTTCAGCACAGCTCTCAATTTTTTAAATTCTTGATAATGACGAGGGCAACGGGTTCTCATCCATAGATGTCTGTGATAATTTTTTGTTTTTATAATATGTTTAATATCGGATGATATCCAGGGCGGAAAATTAGACTTATTCTGCTTTGTTAGAGGAACATGTAGGTTAATAATTAGATACAATGAATCATAAAATTTATCAAGGGCAAGATTCACATCATCAATTGAATCAAGAAATGACCAGTTAATATCACAAAGATCTTCATAAAGTCTACAAAAATTAGCTCTACGAAAGTTGTATCGGCAATTATTAGAAGATGGAAATGAAGAATTCTTAGTGGTCAACGGAATGGTAACAGTTAAAAAGAGAGCTGGATGATGCCTGTCTTCCGGCACCAGAGCTGGAATGAGATGATCAATGTTGAATTGACCACTGTTATTGACAAACAGTAAATCTAATATGTTGCCATAAAAGTTGCTAATCGAATTGCATTGGGTGAGTTTTACAACATAGCAGAAGTCTGTAAGGACTGAACTTTTAGGACAGAAAGCACCGCCCTGTTTGGAAAATTGGGGTACATTGAAGTCGCCAATAAGTATAACATTCTCATTTATTAAAAGAACTTCCAACGCATTGAGAAATATTTCAAGATCTTGACAGTTGACATCAGGTGGAATGTAAACAACAGCAATAAGATAACGTATATTAGAAAGAATACATCTGCATAAAACAATATCAATAATTGGAACGAGGTCGGTAAGAAACATTGTATCAACTATAGAGAAGTGGACAGCACTAGAGATAGCAAGCAAGACTCCACCACCCTTAGTTCGTCCTACCCTTGCAAATTTCCGGTCGCATCGTACTACATTAAATTCCGAAGTAAATAATTCCGAATCATAGACCGAGTCGTTAAGCCACGTTTCTGTAAGCGCAATCATATCAAAAGACTGATCAGAACAATTTTTTAGTAGAAGATGTGTTTTACAATTCAGACCACGTACGTTTTGATAGCATAAAGAAAAGCTATTTATTTTAAGATTTGTTCCCAAACTCACACAATGGTTTTTGGTATTCATAAAAAATTAGTCTTAGGAAAATTAAAACGCCTCAGTATAATACCTTTCGGCCAAAATTCTGTATCCTGAAGGACCTCTTTGTGAATAAAAGGCACCCCTAATTTAAAAGCTTGGAAGTTACCCTTTGCTGGAAGTTTCTCAATTATTAATTCTACGTCAGAATTCTTTAAACGTTTTCCTATATATGTCTTAATTGCATCAATTTCTGCATCTTTATCAACCTTGCCTATATAAAACCATGCTCTTTTTACGTAGGATGAAGTAAAACTACTATTGTTGTCATCTGTAGATGTACCTGTTATAGTAGGTCTTTTTTTAAATCTACGTCTGTGCTGAGTTAGCCACGGTCCTTGATCATCATTTGTTTTGTCGTCTACATTTGCAGGGACCTGCTTTTTATGCACAGACACTATATCATTTGTTTTGTCATCTACATTTGCCGGGATCGATTTGCTATGCCCAGACACAACATTAGTATCCTCAATCTTGTTATACACGTTCATATCAGATTCTAAGGCCGATTTATTTGCCGATGGGGGATGACCTTTCATCAACTGCTTATCATATATATTATCATGTTTCGGTTGCTGAGAAACTGAAGATGATAACTTAAAAGACTTTGAAAACACTTTACTATTAATATTAGTGTTTGGACTATTGAAGAGAAGCTTCACAAGATCCAGATTACTATCACGAAGGCACTTCACCTCATCTGACAAAGTTTTAATTTCTAAACGTAATGGAGCAACAGCTGCATCAACGGTATCATTGTTTTTCTTCAAACGAAAGACTGAAAACCGAAATATTGAAAAAATAAAGAAAATAAAAATCTAAAACCAAAAATTGCAAATTGAAAAATAAAAACCAAGAACTTGAAAACTGAGAAAGGGAAACATTGGAAAATCGAAAAACAGTAAAATTAAAAAAAAATGCAAATCGAAAACATTTAACTTGAAAAAACGAATAATTATAACAACGAAACATGAAAGAATAAAAAAAAGGAAAAAATAAAGGAACTGAAAAAACAAAACATTGTGAGAACAAAAAATCTAAAATTGAAAGAATGAAAAATTAAAACATCAAAGTTGAAAAATCGAAAAACTGAAAACCGAAAAATTGAAAAATTTCTCATTAAAAAAACAAAAATTATAAATTCAGAACATTAAAAAACCGAAATATTGAAAAAATAAAGAAAATAAAAAACCGAAACGAAAAATTGCAAATCGAAAAATTCAAGCAACGAAAAATTGAAAAATTGAAAAATCGAAAAAATAAAGAAAATAAAAATCAGAAACGAAAAACTGAAAATAAGAAATGAAAAATTATGGAATAAAATCGAGAAAATGAAAAATAAAAATCAAGAACTTGAAAAATTGAAGAAACAAAAAATTGGAAAATTGAAAAATAGTAAAATTTTAAAAATTGAAAATCGAAAAATTGAAAAAAATAAAATTGAAAAAACGAAAAATTATGACAACGAAACATGGAAGAATAAAAAAATTGAAAAAATAAAGAAACTGAAAAATCAAAACATTGTGAGATCAAAAAATCTAAAAATGAAAAAATGAAAATTAAAAAATCCAAAGCTGAAAAATCGAATAATTTCTCATTGAAAAAAGAAAAAATATAAATTCAGAAAAAATAAAAAACTGAAATGAAAAATTGAAGCAATGAAAAATCGGACAAATAAAAAAACAAAAAACCGAAACGAAAAGTTGCGAATCAAAAAGCTAAAAATAAGAAATGAAAAATTAAAATCACAAACTTGAAAAATTGCAAAATCCAAAAACTGTAAAATTAAAAAAATGCAAATCGAAAAATTGAAAAACTGAAAATTTGATAAATTTGCAAGGCGAGAAACTGAAAAATTTTAAAAATTTAACTTGAAAAAAAACGAAACATTGACAACGAAACTGGAAAAATAAAAAAAAATTGAAAAAACAAAACATTGTGAGATCAAAAAATCTAAAAATTGAAAACTTTCATTGGAAAAAGAAAAATTCAGAACAGTGAAAAACCGAATGTTGAAAAAATAAAGAAAATAAAAAACCGAAACGAGAAATTGCAAAGCGAAAAGCTGAAAACAAGAAATGAAAAATTATGACATAAAATCAAGAAAATGAAAATTAAAAAAAAAAAGAGAAAATGAATCATGAACTTGAAAAATTGAAGAAACCAAGAATTGGAAAATCGAAAAACAGTAAATTTAAAAAATTGCAAAGTTGAAGCAAAAAATAAAGGAGACAAAAAACCAAAACGAAAAATTGCAAATCGAAAAACTGAAGCTATGAAAAATTGAAAAAAATATAGAAAATAAAAAACCGAAACGAAGAATTGCAAAAATGGAAAAGCTGAAAAATGGAAAAATTGAGAAATTAAAAATTTAAAACTCGTAAAATTGCAATTCGAAAGATGGCGAAATTAAAAAATTCAAACATTAGAAAGATGGAAAATCAAAGAAATGAAAAATTTTAAAATGAAAACTCGAAGAGTTAACGTAAAATTGAAGCAAAAAAAAATTGAAAAATTGTAGAAACAAAAAATTGAAATTGAAAAAAACTAAAAATTATAAAATATGAACATTGAAAAATTGTAAAAATAAAGAAAATAAACTGAAACAAAAAATTGCAAATCGAAAATTTGAAGAAATTAAACTGAGGAAATACAAAATTCAAGTCAAATCAAAAAAAGCTGTTATTTACGACCACTTGTTTTAACTTTATAAAGGTTATCAAAACACAAAAACCGCAATTTTTTTTAATAATTTTTCAAAAGTCGGATTTGTTGCACACTATTCGTATCAAAAAATGTATTCCCAGAATTTTGAGAAAATAAGAACTATTTTTGATTTAATCAACAAAATTAATTGATTATTTTATTTTATTAATTATTTTAAACATCATGTACAAACAACTTTAAAAAGTGAGAGTATTGCTTAAGCAACTGGTTTTGTACTTTCTAAGTTAACGGTATATTAATAATTCAAATAAAGCAGCATATTTTGTTTACTAGATAAGCATAATTATGCTTGGGAAATTTTTGGAATGACGTCATCAAGGAAGGGATGGATTAGTAATTTACAATGTTCCTCTTGACTAAGTTAAATGGTAAATTCTGTATATTAAATAATATCACGCATATTATTTTTGCACATTATAAATAGTAATTTACTTGGCAAAATTTTGAGAATTTTGTAGATGCGGTTTACCATTGTAACAGTAATTTCATAATAGTTTCGCCAACAGAAGACATATATGTAAACGGGAGACCCACTTTTCATATCCAAGAAGCTATAAAACGTCTACAACATATATGTATTTCTTTTTTTTTTAAGTTCCCTACATTTGTTAATCAATAATGTTTGATCAATACCACACTCATTCCAACATTTTCCAACGTGTGTCGTCAAGGGAATACCAACACGAACTTTTATCTAATCCACAAATGACGTCATTATTTAACATATTCATAACATTAACACACAATATTTCACTTGAATTAAAACTGGTTTAATTAGTAAATATCAGTCAACAGTAACAGGAAACAGCATAAATAATATTGTTTCCATGACCAAAGATAATAGTGTTAAAGGTGTCAAATTACAATTACAAACTAGAAATTTAATTCATGTTGTAAAGTAGAACACCTTCGTACAACTGATAAAAACGAGTTTACTGCACAGTTTGAACCTAATTTAAGTACATAATCAACATTTATACTCACTTTAACGTTAATATCCGCCGCATAGATAATATTAACTCCAGGTCCGGCAGTACATAATACTTTCAACATCATCCCTGACTGCGTCTTACTGACAATAGTCCCAATAATCAAATCACCCACTTTCACATTCTGCAAAAAATACCCCATGAATAAACTCAATCCGCCCCCAATACAACCACTTCCTAACCTTAAAAAAGTACTTGAGTCGGTTCTGCTTATCGACATTCAGATAAGTCTCAAACGGGGGCATGATGGCATACATGTCTTCCGCGACCTGCCCCTCTTCGGGCTTATACTCAAAATCCGCTGGTTCTGTCGAGAACAGCATGTTGGCCTTCTTCACCACAAACTGCTGGAGCTTGAGGCGTTTGCCTCGGTCCTGGAAAGACAAATACTTCTGCCTCTCGCTGTACACTTGGTAATTAAGATCCTTGACGTTCCTCCGGTGCAAGTCATTCTCTCCGTATTCGGCTTCCCACAGTTTTTGCATCTGCTGCCCATTGTAATTGAGCGAAGAGCCAATGAGGTTGGCATTCAACGACTCCATGGCGGAGTGTTGCGGTCTTACGTCTTCCAAGATTCAGGCCTGCGGAAGCATCACGAACTTATTAATGGGGGTTTTGGCGCGGGGCACGGGAAAGTGAACGCGGCTTAACACCTAAAAATAGCGTTTTTGGGCGAGTTTGCTTGGGCTTGGTCCCAGCCAAGATGGCGTCTAGGGTAAGGGAAATTACAAGGCAAGATACTGTCAGAATGTCCGTGGAGACGCTCCTTTGGGGGGTATGTACAAAATAATGGGAAATAACACTCTATGGCCTAGAAGAGAGGTAATTATTGGTTACTGGGGACGAATATGGAACTTACCCTGCAAGAAAGAGTCAACACAAAGAAATGCACACACACAACGCCATTTACCGGAAGTTTGGGACCGGCGGCTAGGGGGCGCTGGTGCGTCCGTTCGGCCAATGACGAGGCAATCGCTGCTGAGTTGCGATTGGCTGATAATGGCGGCACTTTCAAATACAATTGCCAAAGTTGATCAATTTTTTTTTACACTCTAATTAGAAGAATTTTTCAAAAAAAAGTCATCTGCTTTTGTTCTAAATTCTACATGAGATAAATTTTGATTGTTCAGGCAACAGACACAAAAAATGTTTTAATTTTTACACATTTTCTTCAGAAATTTCGTCCTCTGTCATTCAGTCATATTCAAATTATCAATTTTTTCAACTGCGCACTGGATTAGGTTGATCTGTTAATAAAAAATAACTATTACTTCTCTTCTAAAATCTACCGTTCAACTTTTGCCGTATTTAAAGGAGTTGTAGAAGAAAAGTGGAGGATTTAAGTTGATTACCACAAAAATTTACCATTTAGAAATGTTGCCCCGCCCACCCGCCCAATTTTAATTGTGATGAGTTTTTTTATTCGTCGTGAGCCAAGAAGGCGGAGCTTATTTGCAAAATCCTTATTTCTCTACGAGAAATTAAAAACATGTTTCTGAGTATCGTTTGTTCAAAGAATACTTTGTATATTAAGAAAAAAATAAAGCCAAAGAATAGGCCCCACCCATATCCGCCCCGATCTCAATTCTCAATTGTGATGAATTCTTCATTCGTTGTCGGATCGAGGGGCGGGGCTTAATTGCAAGATTCATATTTGTCTAGAAGAATTTACCATTTTAAAGATGTTCTAAGTTTCTTGTTCTGAAAAGACAACTACGTATATTAAGAAAAAAGGCAAAATCTAAGCCCCGCCCACCCGCCCTATCTCAATTCTGATGATTTTTTTTAATCGTCGAGAGCCAAAGAAGCGGGATTTAATTGCAAAATCCTTATTCTTTCTCTATAAAAAATTACCATGTAAGACATGTTTTTGAGTAGCGTATTATTCAAAGAATACTAAGTATACTTAGAAAAAATTAAAATAGTAATGAAGTTTTCATTCTTTGGCAGACCTATTGCAAAATCCATATTTCCTTACAAAAATTTACCATTTTAAACGTGTTTTAAGTTTGTAAGAAAAAAAAAATTATCACAATTGAGATGGGGTGGGTGGGTGGGGTTTATATTTTGTCTTTTTTTCTTAATATGCATAGTTTTCTTTGAACAACACGATAAGTATTTTGCAGGTAAGCTCCTCCCCCTTTTGGTTCACAGCGAATAAAAAAAATCATCACAATTGCGATAGGGCGGGTGGGTGGGCTTACATTTTGTCTCTTTGTTTTAGTATGTGTTAAGCTGGGTTAAGCTGCGCCCCATAATTGCAAAATTCATATTTCGTTGTAAAAATGTATCATTTTAACCATATTTTACGTTTCTTGTTGTGAAAAGATGGCTATATATATTAAGAAAAAAAAAGGTAAAATGTAAGCCCCGCCCACCCGCCCTATCTCAATTTTGGCGATTTTTTTATTCGTCGTGAGCCAAGAGGGCGGAGCTTGGCTGCAAAATTCTTATTTCTATACGAGAAATTAAAAACATGTTTTTGAGTATCGTGTTGTTCAAAGAATACTGTGTATATTAAGAAAAATAAGTATTTTGCAGTTAAACTCCGCCCCCTTCGTTCACGGCGAATAAAAAAAATCATGACTATATATAATAAGAAATAAAAGTAAAATGTAAGGCCCGCCCACACATCCAATCCCAATTGTAATGAATTTTGTGCAAGAAATACGAAGTTTAACATATTGTGTTGTCTTGAGAGAAAATAGGGAATAAAGAAGAGAAAAAACTTTACAAAAATAAAACTTTACTTTTCTGCGTAAATCGGTAGAATCATTACAATTGAGATAGGGTGGATAGGCGGGGCGTAAATTTTGGCATTTTTTTCTTAAGATACATAGTCTTCTTTTCACAACAAGAAACTTAAGACAGCGGTTAATTTTGCGCTGCTTTTCTCAATATATATAGTTTTTTTTCAACAACACGATACTTAAAACATGTTCCACGTGGTAATTTCTGATAGAGAAATGGGCGGGGTTTATATTAAGCCTTTGTTTTTTTTTTAATATACGTATAATCATTTTTTCGCAACAAGAGACTTAATACATGTTTAAAATGGTAAATCTTTGTAAAAAAAATGTGAATTTTGTAATTAAATTGCGTCGTTCGAACAAAGCAAATGAAAAGTTCATCACAATTAAGGTAGGGGTGGGTGGGCGGGGCTTAATCTTTGGCTTCTTGTTCTTAATATATACTAATATATAGATTTTTTTCAACAACACGATTTGATATTTTAATTATTTTGTTGTTGAAAGGAAATAATGTGTAGTTATTATGAAAAAGAAGTCAATGGATATGCCCCACCCACCTGCCCTATTTGAATTGTGATTAATGTTTCTGTTCGTGAAATAAATGCCACGATACTCAAAACCATGTTTTTAATTTCTTGTAAAAAATAAGTATTTTATAGTTAAGCTCCGCCCCCTTGGTTCAAGGCAAATAAAAAAAATCATCACAATTGAGACAGGGCGGGTGGGCGGGCTTACATTTTGTCTCTTTGTTTTAGTATGTGTTAAGCTGGGTTAAGCTGCGCCCCATAATTTCAAAATTCATATTTCGTTGTAAAAATGTATAATTTTAACCATATTTTACGTTTCTTGTTGTGAAAAGATGGCTATATATATTAAGAAAAAAAAGGTAAAATGTAAGCCCCGCCCACCCGCCCTATCTCAATTTTGGCGATTTTTTTTATTCGTCGTGAGCCAAGAGGGCGGAGCTTGGCTGCAAATTTCTTATTTCTATACGAGAAATTAAAAACATGTTTTTGAGTATCGTGTTCAAAGAATACTGTGTATATTAAGAAATTATATTTGGCCTTTTTTTCTTAGTATACATAGTATTCTTTGGACAACACGATACTCGAAAGCGTTTTTTCATTTTTTTGTGAAGAAATAAGTATTTTGCAGTTAAACTCCGCCCCCTTCGTTCACGGCGAATAAAAAAAAATCATGACTATATGTAATAAGAAACAAAAGTAAAATAAATGTAAGGCCCGCCCACCCATCCAATCCCAATTGTGATGAATTTTGTGCAAGAAATACGAAGTTTAACATATTGTGTTGTCTTGAGAGAAAATAGGGAATAAAGAAGAGAAAAAGCTTTACAAAAATAAAACTTTGCTTTTCTGCGTAAATCGGTAGAATCATCACAATTGAGACAGAGCGGGTAGGCGGGGCTTAAATTTTGGCATTTTTTCTTAATATACATAGTCTTCTTTTCACAACAAGAAACTTAAAACATGGTAAATTTTTGTACACAAATATGGATTTTGCAATTATGCTCCGCCCCTCGATCTGACAACGAATGAGAATTTCATCACGATTCAGACAGGGGCGGGTGGGTGACGGTTAATTTTGCGCTGTTTTTCTTAATATATGTAGTTTTCTTTCAACAACACCATACTTAGAACATGTTCCACGTGGTAATATCTGATAGAGAAATGGGCGGGGTTTATATTAAGCCTTTGTTTTTTCTTAATATACGTGTAATCATTTTTTCGCAACAAGAGACTTAATACATGTTTAAAATGGTAAATCTTGTAAAAAAATGTGAATTTTGTAATTAAGTTGCGTCGTTCGAACTGAAAACAAATGAAAAGTTCATCACAATTGAGGTAGGGGTGGGTGGGCGGGGCTTAATCATTGGTTTCTTGTTCTTAATATATAGATTTTTTTCAACAACACGATTTGATATTTTAATTATTTTATTATTGAAAGCAAATAATGTGTACTTATTATGAAAAAGAAGTCAATGGATAAGCCCCACCCACCCGCCCTATTCGAATTGTGATTAATGTTTCTATTCGTCAAATAAATGCCACGATACTCAAAAACATGTTTTTAATTCCTTGTAAAAAATAAGTATTTTATAGTTAAGCTCCGCCCTCTTGGTTCACGGCGAATAAAAAAAATCATCCCAATTGAGATAGGGCGGGTGGGCGGGCTTACATTTCGTCTTTAGTATGTGTACATTTCTTTTCACAGCATGAAACTTAAAACATGTTTAAAATGGAAAATTTGTATAAGGAAATATCGATTTTGCAATTAGGCTCAGCCCCATAATTGCAAAATACATATTTCCTTATAAAATGTGTCATTTTAACCATGTTCTAAGTTTCTTGTTGTAAAAGATGGCTATGTATCTCAAGAAAAAAAAGAGGCAAAATATAAGCCCCGCCCGCCCGCCCTTTTTTTATTCGTCGTAAGCCGAGGGGCGGAGCTTAATTCTAAAATCCTCATTTTTCTACGAGAATTTACCATGTGAAATATATTGTTAAGTAAGCGTATTATACAAAGAAAACTAAACGTATTAATTAAAAAAAAAAAACAAAACAAAAGAGAAGCGCCTCAAATCCGTCTCGATCTCAATCAAGATGAATTTTTCATTTTTTATCAGACCGAGGACAATTGTAAAATCGATATTTCCTATACAAATTTACTGTTTTAAACATGTTTTAAGTTTCCTGTTCCGAAAAGACGACTACGTATATTAAGAAAAAAGGCAAAATATATGCCCCGCCCAACCGCCCCATCTCAATTCTGATGATTTTTATTTCATTCGGTGGCAGACCTAGGGGCGGAGCCTAATTGCAAAATCCATATTTCCTTGCAAAAATGTACCACGTTAACAATGTTTCTTGCTGTGAAAAGATGGCTATGTATATTAAGAAAAAAAAAAAGCAAAATATAAGCCCCACCCACCCACCCTATCTCAATTCTGGTGATGTTTTTATTCGTCGTAAGCTGGGGGGCGGAGCTTAATTGTAAAATCCTTATTTTTCTACCAGAAATTACCATGTGAAATTTGTTTTTAAGTAATCCTGCTATACAAAGAAAAGTAAAGGTATTAATTAAAAAAGAAAACCAAAAGGGAAACCCCAGCCATCCGTGTCGATCTCAATCGTGATTAATTTTTCATTCGTTGCCAGACCGAGGGGCGGAGCGTAATTGCAAAATCGGTATTTCTCTATAAAAATTTACCATTTTAAACATGCTTTAAGTTTCTTGTCGAGAAAAGAAGTCTACACATATTAAAACAAACAGGCAAAATATAAACCCCGCCCACCCACCCTATCGCAATTGTGATGATTTTTTTTATCCGTAGTGGGCAAAGAGGGCGGAGCTTAACTGCAAAATCGTTATTTCTCTGAGACAAATTAAAAAAAAAATGTTTTTGAGTACAGTGTTGTTCAAAGAATACAATGTATATTAAGAAAAAATTAAAGCCAAAGATCAAGCCTGCCTTGATCTAAATATGTAGTAATGAAGTTTTCATTCGTTGCAAGACCTAGGGGCGGGGCCTAATTGCAAAGTCCATATTTCCTTACAAAAATTTATCATTTTAAACGTGTTTTAAGTTTCTAAGAATAAAAAAAATCATCACAATTGAGATTGGGTGGGTGGGCGGGGTTTATATTTTTCCTATTTTTCTTAATATACATAGTATTCTCTGAACAACACGATACTCAAAAACATGTTTTTAATTTCCTGTAAAAAAATAAGTATTTTGGAGTTAAGCTCACTCAGTTAAGCTTGGTTCAAGGCGAATAAAAAAAATCATCACAATTGAGACAGGGCGGGTGGGCGGGCTTATATTTTGACTTTTTGTTTTAATATGTGTAGACTTCTTTTCATAATATGAAACTTAAAATATGTTTAAAAGTGAAAATTTGTATAAGGAAATATCAATTTTGCAATTAAGCTCCGCCCCATAATTGCAAAATCCATATTTCGTTGCATAAATGGACCATTTTAACCATGTTTTAAGTTTCTTGTTGTGAAAAGAAAGAAGGCTATGTATATTAAGAAAAAAAGAAGCCAAAAATTAAGCCCCACCCATATCTATCCCAAGCTCAATTATGATGAATTTTTCATTCGTTGTCAGACCGAGGGGCGGAGCCTAATTGCAAAATCGATACTTTTATATTGACCTTACAGGTCAGGTCAGGTCAAGTCAGGTTATCGAAGAAAAGAATTTGTAGTCATAACTGATGCAAGTCTAACAAAGATTCTTGTAATTTTCTAAATTAATATAAAGCTAAATTTGACGCCCAGACGCCCCCCTTAAGCTGAAATAAAACCATCTGAAAATAAACTGTGAATTAATAATGTGCCAGCTGAAATAAAAACGCTAACTGTCTAGCGGTAAAAAGCAACATAATTTTTTTTAGTAATTTATGACCCACTTGCTGTATTTTTATAAATAATCACGGAATCACGTAACCTTTTTGGTATGTAATCTTTATTGTTTGACCCTGAGTAAAATGAAAACACATGACAATTTTAAGTTTAATTAAGTGTGAACAAATAGGTTTGACAGGGCTTTTTGAAATAGTTAACAATGATAAATGTTTGGTTAAAATAACTAACCCCTGCATTTCAGTTTTAATACAATCTCTAGAACCGAATCCTTATCAGCTTTGACTTTCGTTACAGATGATATGAAGGGGGGCCAAAGATCATATTATAAATAAAAACAATCTGGTGTTGCACTTAATTTAAAAATGCAGTAATCAGTGAATCATATTTGTTTTGTTTCTGTATTTAAAGTAGATATAAGATAATTAATTTAAATAGTTGCAACTTAATAAGTAAGTAGAAGTGAGAAGACAATGTAGTTACGTTCGTTTATTAATTTTATCACTTATATGTGTCAATATTTTTAATAACATTTTGTAGGCCTAGGTCAGAAGGTTAACAACGTGTATATATAAAAACAGACGTTAAAAGTAACTTACTAACAATATTTAATTAGTTGTACTAATGAATACACGTCAATTTTTTTTATTTTGCGTTGGTATGTTGTCTTTTTTTGTCTTTCACTATGACGACAATCTAATTGCAGCTTTAGCGACAACACAAGCGTTCCACCACTTAATCCCCCCTGACAAAGAAACCATCTACTCATGGAGTGCAGACATCAAAGCCGGTACTCATCTTCCAGTACCATACGCCTCCCAGTACGCCCTTCAAGGTAAAATCCATCTTCAGCCTTGCAACAACACAATAGTTGTCAAACTCACCGATCTAACACATCGACTCTACAACGGAATCATAGACCATTTCCACGAATACGAAGCCAAAAATGTATCACTACCTCCGGAAGTGCAAGCTTTGGAAAATGCATTTAAAATTACCTACACTGACAGTGGCTTGGTTGAAGGAATTTCGACACAAAACAACGAAAAGGACTTTTCGCGCAACATTAAGAAAGCAATCGCGAGTATTTTTCAGCTAAATAGTACCTTCTTTCGGAAAGAGTACCACCGTCCGGAATCGTTTGTGGTGAAAGAGAATTCCATCTATGGACATGGTACTGATCTCTATAGTATTTTCCCACAGAAGGACGGGAAGGTGGAAGTGCACAAATTACACAACATGCCTGATAATGAAGATATATTTTCTCATTTTGTTACCAATACTGAGGGGGCGTCTTGTGATGTGAAAAGCGGAAAATCGATTATGCATGACAGTAGGAAAAACTATATTCTTCAAAAACAAGACGATTGTTATGTTGTTAAGAAAATAACTGTCGTGGGATCCGTTGTTTATTATCCGTTTAAAGCAAAATCTGACGCTCAGATGATTGTGGTAAATCAGAATTTTGACTTAGTTGAAGTCGTACCAATAAACGACAAGTACCAGATTAGTGACGAATATTTTGAGAAAAGTTTGAGTTACGTTTCGTTTGACAAAAAAACAAACGACGAAACGAACGGTCGACGAAGTATCGACTACGACAAACTCTTACCCATGGTACGCGATATGCTGGAAGATATACCACAATACATGCGCGAAGACCATATTAACACCAAAGAACCAGATCGAAAACGCGGTCAACTAATCAATCGTGTGCAGCAAATTTTACTCAAATTCACACTTGAAAAATTCAAGGAGTTACAGTCGACGTTGTCAACACAAGCACTAAACGCCTACTACCATATTCTTCCTTTAGTAGGTACCGAAGCATCACTTCTCTACATTAAAACTTTAATCGTTACTAAGACAATCGGTGAAGACTTAGCCATCGACGTGTTACAAAACATAGCAGGACACATCCGACCTTCAGCCCCCTTAGTCCAAAAACTCGAAGACCTCATCCATTTAGATTCAACTTTCACCTGGAACTTGCGAAAAGTCGCCATCTTGAGCTTCGGCAACATAATCTACAAATCATACCTGAATCAACTCCAGTCGAACACAGATAACCCGCAAACACCCTACGAAAAGTACGTCGACGAGTACATCCATAATCTACGAAACTCTACAACATACATAGTCCAAGTGACGTACCTTCTGGGTCTTCGCAACATGAAACTACCCATTCTTGCCCACCGTTTACTTCCAGCTCTCAACGGGAAATGGTGGTCGAACCAGTACTTGCGATACATGGCAATATGGGCTTTGGCACCCCCTATTCTTACCAGTTCTGGTCCTGATAAACTCATAGAATCGTTCTGGACTCTTTTTACAAATCGTAACGAAAAACTAGAAATAAGGAGCTTCGCGTACTACTATATCATGTACTCTCGGCCAAATTTGTCGTTGTTGAGGAGCATTTTCGCGTATATGTTGACTGAACCTGACGACGAAATGTACCGTATACATTATACACTGTCGCATACTTTGATGCAGTCGACTGATCCGTGTCATCAAGAGATTAAAGTGAGGTTATCACAAGTGATGAAGTTTAGTCCACCGCCTCGTCGTGGTGTCTCTTATATCAATTTCTTCGGGTACAAAGATGAAGAGTTCGGGTTTAGTACTAGTGTCCAGAAGTACTTCTGGAAGTCGAATGAGCTAAGAATGTATTGTTATTACGTTACGTCGCAGCTGTTCTACAATTACGAAGAGGAGTGGGTAATATATTGGAAGATCCGTGATGGGAGAGACAAGGATCCAGGGCTTGTACAATCCATTGTTGATATTATAACAACGAGGCGACTGGAGAGTTCTGATTTTCATATAGAAGCTAGTATCGCTAGACGTGGACAAGTTATCAACATGTTCGCCTTCGATAAACATAGCATAGACGAACTGGTTTCGTTTCTGAAGTTCTTCATCGCATATGTACCCGAACTGAACAAAGATCTCTTATACATAACTCACGAAAGGTACAATTCTTATATAATTCCGACGGATCTTGGTATTCCCGTTTTCTGGCAGTACTTCATGCCAGAAGTACACTACAACAACTTGACTATAAAGAAGGAAATTCTGGACGACACGGTTAACGTTCGTCTTGAGAATAAATACGGTGCTTGGATTCACTACAGGCACGGTTTGAGCTTCTACAACCCAGTCGCTGACGTTTGGCAAGGAATAAACAAGTACCATACTTACGACGCACTTTTGCCTCTTCATTTCAACGTCTCCTTAGACTACACCCAACAGAATTTGGAAATACACTGGCAGAAACACAACGATTCTTTGATGAACGTCGCTGGGGTTAAAACCCACGCAAAACAGCTCGTTTTTGTCCGAGATTCAGACGACTACGAGAAAAAAGTCTTGGGTGAATTCGTCCCGCAAGGAGAAGAGTTTCAAAGCGTTGGACCCGGCAAACAGTTTAGACATGATGTAAGTACCACAGGTGCGTCACTTTCAATTAACGCTTTCTTTTAGTACCCTCTCATCGACAAAGATAACCTAGACACAGGCCACAGGTTGCACATCGTCAACTACGACAGTGATATTCACGCCCCCTATGGCGTGTTTAAAAGCCGACTGTTCATGTTTGCGGATCCTTCGTCTAAATACTTTCAGTCGCCTTTGCAACACGGGGTTTTAGTATGGCTGAACTTCCATCGTGACATGGTACTACTTCCAAGAGCAGGGACATACGGTTTCGTCGCCAGGCTAGAACCAAGTCAAGAACTACGTGTTACCAAAATTGATATTCTTTTCCATCACAGATTGGATTCTCATAGTAAAAACTCTCACGTTTCTGGATTCGACTCTCACTCACGTTTGGTGTACAAAGTGAAAAACGAAGAAGGGATTTTGAAAACGTGGGATTTGAATGCGTTGCTTGAAGTTGCTGAAGGACATAACTACGGCAAGTTGAAAGCCAAGCTGAGTCGTATTCTTCCTCAACAAAAGGACTACAGGTTGTGTCTTCATGGTTTTAAAAAATGGGCAACAAAGAAAGTTGATGGGCACTGGACTGTCACTATGGGAGAAACCGAAACTAGTGAATGCGTTAACGACACCGTGATTGAGATAACATCAATGGGTAGACAATCTCACGAGCAACAAAGTGGAAAACAATTAAATTGTCAGAATGTTATACCGTACTCCGGACAGTACTACCGCAACTTGAAATGTTTGCTCAGTGATAGTACTCTCAGACACTACACTTACGATGTAACTAGTACCAACGTACCAACATTCTTAAAACAAATATTTACAAATTTGGGAGACGACTTGAAGGGTTTGTTCCGGTCTTACTACACCTACAAGATTGAACGCAATGACAATATAACTAAAGATTCTTTCAAAGTAGACGTGACGTTCCCGTTGGCTGCACACGAAGTGAATGTTGAAGTGGCAACAACCGAACAAACGTACGAATTTTCAGGAGTACCACTAAAGTACTGGGACTGGTTTAAAGTCGCCCCTGAATCTACAACGTACTCTTTAGGTTTAATAGACAAGTACGAAAACGGTGAGATCGATTACTGCATCATCCAGAATGATCGTCGCTACCTGAATAAACAATCTGTGTTAGAAGAAGTACCAAACGAATGGACTTTGTACGTCGCAGGTGATTCGGAGAGTCACGACCACGTCTACCTAAAGCAAATTGATCACAAAATCGTACGATACAAATTATTAAGTGTGGTTCTTTCATTTAATACCTGTTTCAGGCGGTTAAATTGGTTGATGGTCATCATACTTTAGAAGTACTACCGGTGGCCGACGATTTTCATACTACATTAGATGGTACTATCACTTCGTCAAAAGAACTTCAAGAAGACTGGATCCACTGTCGTGTGTTTGGTGGAGACAGTCACGAATCTCTCGTGGTCTTTTTGACACACAGTGGAGTTAATTTAGAATATGATGTCAAAAGTGTAATAATCACGATTCCAGAGGGAAGTCCTTGGCATGGTCAATGTTATGCTGTTGCATCCAATAAAGAAACAATATCACCTTCGACGGAAGCTGTGGTACCTATTACCGAAAAAGTACCACCTTTGCTGAACAAGATCGTAAAAACTAGATATTTAGGTTAATTTTTTGGTTGTTATGTAACAAAAAATACACATAATAATGTAATAAAATAAAAATGAGTTGTTGATTCATGATTATCGCCACTTGTCACCAAAATAACTAATTTGATATCTGACACCGTTCAAGAATAACACAAAGTTTTATCTCTGCCAAACATAAGTCACAAGGTCACACATGCACACGTATAAAAGCAGACGTTTTCAATGAGTTACTAACAGTGCTAAAAAGTGATAATGAACGCACTTCATTACTTTTTACTATGTGAGTCCCTAACTATGTTTGTAAGTCAATATCAATTCAATTGTAGTTTTAACGACGACACAAGCTTTTCACCACTTGATTCCACCAGACAAAGAAACCATCTATTCGTGGAGCGCAGACATTGAGGCCGGTACTCACCTTCCAGTACCATATGCCTCCCAGTACGCACTTCAAGGTAAAATTCACCTTCAACCCCATAATAACTCAGTTTTCGTGAAACTGACCGATTTGACTCATCGTCTGTACAATGGAATCGTCGATCATCGTCACGAATACGAAGCCAAAAATATATCACTACCTCAGGAGGTTGACGATCTGGAAAATGTGTTCAGAATCACGTACAGTGACGACGGGTTAGTGGAAGGAATCGCGACCCAAGTCAAAGAGAAAGAATTTTCACGCAATATCAAGAAAGCAATTGCCGCTATTCTTCAGTTAAATAGTACTATCATTGGGAAAGAGTACCATCGACCGGAATCGTTTGTGGCGAAGGAGAATTCGATCTATGGACACGGTAGTGACGTGTATAGTGTTTATCCACAAGACCAAGACAGACTGGAAGTACACAAGTTACACAATATGGTTGATCAAGAAAATATTTACTCTCACTTTGTGACCACCACACAAGGACTGTCGTGTGATGCGTCAAAAGGAAAAACCGTTGTGCACGGTAGTCAAAAAAACTATGTTCTTGATAAAGAAGAAGGTTCTTATGTTGTTAAGACTATTACTGTGGTAGGATCTATTGTCTACTATCCGTTTAAAGCACGATCTGACGCTCAATTGATTTCGATAAACCAGAATTTTGATTTAGCTGAAGTGATACCGATAAAGGAAAATTACCACCTCGACGAAGAATATTTTGATAAAAGTTTGAAGTACGTTCCGTTTGACAGAAAAGAACAGCCGATTTTGGATGAAACGAACGGTCGACGAAGCATCGACTACGATAAACTCTTGTCTATGTTAAAAAATATGCTAGACGATATCCCCCAATATATGCGCGAAGATCACATTAACACCCAAGAACCAGACCAAAAACGTGGTCAATTAGTCAATCGTGTTCAACAAATTTTACTCAAGTTTAGTGTCCAGAAATTAGAAGAGCTGCAGACGTTGTTGTCAGACGAAGCTCTAAATACCTTCTACCACATTCTCCCTTTAATAGGCACCGAAGCTTCAACCCTCTACATTAAATCGTTGATAGTTACCAAAACAATACCCGAAGATTTAGCGATCGACTTGTTGCAGAAGATCGCAGCACACATCCAACCTTCAGTCAATTTAGTCCAGAAACTCGAAGACCTGATCCATTTGGATTCAACGTTCAGCTGGGATTTACGAAAAGTCGCCATCTTGAATTTCGGCAACATAATTTACAAATCGTACGTCCATCAACTCGAGTCAAAGTCAGACGATCCTTGCCAACCTTACGAAAAATATGTGGACCACTATTTTTGGAATTTACGAAACTCGACATCGTTCATTGAACAAATAACTTATCTTTTGGGTGTTGGTAATATGAAACTACCCAATGTTGCTCGTCGTCTAGTTCCGACGTTCAATGGTGAGTGGTGGTCTAACCAACACTTGCGATATCTGGCGGTCTGTGCTGCCGCACCACCTATTTTTTTCAACTTTGGTCCTGATACGACAATAGAGACGTTGTGGCCTATTTTTACTAATCGTGACGAAAACGTGGCCCTAAGGGCAATATCGTACTATTACATTATGTCTTCTAGACCGAATATGTCGATGCTAAGGAACATCTTCACGTATATGTTGACTGAACCCGATGAAGAATTGTACCGACTTCATTACACCCTCTCGCAGACTTTGATGCAGTCCACCGATCCTTGTCATCAAGATTCTAGATTGAGGTTAGCGCAACTCATGAAGTTTACTCCACCACCTCGTCGTGGCGTCTCAGAAATTAGTTTCTTCGGGTACCAAGATGAAGAGTTTGGATTCAGTGCCGGTGTGCAAAAGTACTACTTGAAGTCGAAGGGGTTCCGCATTTATGCCTATTACGCCACTTCCCAGTTGTTCTATAACTATGAAGAAGATTGGGCCGTGTACTGGAAGATTTATGATGGAAGAGATACAGACCCGGGTCTTATGCGGTCCCTCGCTGATATAATGACAAAGAGTGAACTAGACAATTTTGATTTTCACATAGACGCAGTGATTGTTAGACGTGGCCAGATTATCAACACGTTCGCGTTCGATAAAAATAATGTGCAAAAAATGGTCACTACTTTGCAGTACTTTGTCGTACTCCTGCAAAGTTTTGAAAAAAATCTCTTATATATAAATCACGAAAGGTATAACTCTTATTTGATACCGACGGATCTGGGTATTCCGGCGTTTTGGGAGTACCTGATGCCTGAGGTACACCACAATAAGTTCAATGTAGAGTTTTCAAAATTCGACAAGAACGATATTAATCTTCATATTAGCAATGAATATAGTGCTTGGATTCACTACAGACATGGTCTGAGTTTCTACAACCCCATTGCTGATGTACACCAAGGAATAAACAAGTATCATGCCTACGATGCTCTTGTTCCTCTTCATTTTACTGTAAAAATGCATTTCGAAGACAAAAAATTACAAGTGAATTGGGAAAAATCCGAAAACCCAGTCAGGAACATCATCGGATTTAGAGCCCACGTGACACAGTTCGTTTTTGCTAGAGATTCCGACGACTACGACAAAAAAGTCTTGAGTGAGTTCCTTCCAGAAGGAGACAATTTCCAAACTGTGGGTCATAACAAAGAGTTTAGACATGATGTAAGTAGTACTTAAGTACGTGTCACCTACAAGTTAATGTTTTTTCTTTTAGTACCTTCTTCTCGACGAAGACAATCTAGACACAGGCTACAGATGGTACTTAATTAACTACGATAGCGACATTCATGCCCCGTTTGGTGTCTTCAAAAACCGACTGATGACGTTCGCCGATCCGTCATCTAAATACTTTCATTCGCCTTCACAACACTGGGTTTTGGCATGGCTACATTTCCATCGCGATATGGTACTACTTCCAAGACCTGGAATCTACGGTTTTGTAGCTCGATTGGAACCCAGTAGCAAATTCAATGTTACGAATATTGATTTCACTTGGTCGATGGACTTAGACGTTCTTAGTAATAGTTCATTCGTTCCTGGATTCGAGTCGCGTTCGCACGTGGAGTACGAAGTCAGAAATCACGAGGAAATTTTAAAAAGTTGGGAATTACGGGTTTGGCTTAAGTTTTCTTCAGGTCATAATTATGGTGACTTGCAAATGCAGCTAAGCCGGGTTCTTCCCAAGCAAAAGCGGTACCAGATATGTATACAGGGGCATAAAAATTGGACATTGAATGAAGTAGAGGGACATTGGAGTGTGAGCGTGGGAGAAAGCAACGACCAGGAGTGCAGTAATGACACTCTGATCGATATTACTTCTATCGGTGAACGTTCCTATGAACAAAAAGATGGCAGACATAAGCATTCAAGTTGTCAGCATGTTGCAGCATACTCTGACGACAATCAACGCAGCATGAAGTGTTTGTTCAGTCTTAGTACCCTGAGACATTATACTTATGAAATAACCGGTACTAAAGTATCGTCGACTTTGAAACAGATTTTTACAAATCTGGGGACGGATTTAAGAAGTCTTTTTCACTCTTATTATACTTATAAGATTGAACCTATTGAAAATATCACCAAAGACTCCTTCAAAGTAGATGTCACGTTTCCGTTAGCGGCACATGAAGTTAATGTTGGAGTAGCGACAACTGAACAAACGTACGAGTTTTCAGGAGTACCACTAAAGTACTGGGACTGGTTTAAAGTCGCACCTGAATCTACAACATACTCTTTATTTTTTCTAGAAAAGTACGAAAACGGTGAGATTAATCATTGCATCGTCCATTCCGATTACCGTTATTTCAATAAAAAGTACATATCGGAAATAGTACCAAATGAATGGACCTTGTATGTTGCTAATAATTTACACTCTGTATATTTAAAGCGAATTGATAACAACATAGTAAGTTAAAAAACTTTGTTATATTATTTCTGATTCGAGGGTTATTTCAGGGTGTAAAAATAACTCATGGCGACCACGTGTTTGAAGTACTGCCAGAAGGTGAAGCCAATGAATATTACCTCAAATTAGATGATACTATTGTTTTGTTAAAAGAGTATCAAGAAGACTGGGTACACTATCGTATATTGACTGAAGACATTAACAAACCTGTCGTCATTTTCCTGCAACAAAGTGGGATTATTCTAGAATATGATGTTAAATGTGTGATATTTAGAGTTGCTGAAATAGGTACTTGGAGTGGTCAGTGTTATAATACAAATATATGAGTATTTGGTTGTTCCTTAGGGTTTTTTGATCTCAAAGCTACAAATTTACGAGAGTTCTTGATAGGTTAGGTCGTGCATTGTTCTAGTTTATGGTGCTTTTAGGGTACGTTATCCTCCGTTCTCAAAACGTCGTCTTATTCGTTTTATCAACTTGAGTACACTACCGATTGACCTATAAAAACAAGTCTTACTGTGATTATCTGTTTATTTTTGTTTGAGAATAAGTTAATCAAATTTTTGAAGAACTTATCCGTGTCCAAGGATAAAACAACGATTATGTTTTATCGTTGTCTTTAAAGAAATCATTAAGCATGTTTTTCAATCAGAGTTCAAAAGGTCGAAATGCATATAAAATCAAATGTGTCAAACTGATTATTCCTAGTATTTTGCAAAAAATCTAACAATGAACACACTCCAACTTTCTACACTGCTTGTCGGTACGTCGTACTTATTTATTTTATTGTTTTGCTAAAATATCAACAAAACCCATTGCAGCCATAGTGACAACGCACGCTTTCCATCAGCTAATACCACCCGACAAAGAAGCGATCTTTTCGTGGAGTGCAGAAGTCAAAGCTGGTACCCATCTACCAGTAACATACGCCTCCCAGTACGCCCTTCAAGGTAAAATCCATCTTCAGCCTTCTAACAACACAATAGTTGTCAAACTTACCGATTTAACACATCGACTCTACAACGGAATCGTTGACCATTTCCACGAATATGAAGCCAAGAATGTATCACTACCTCCCGAAGTACACGATTTGGAAAATGCATTTAAAATCACTTACACTGACAGTGGCTTGGTCGAAGGAATTTCCACACAAAGCAACGAAATGGATTTTTCGCGCAACATTAAGAAAGCAATCGCGAGTATTTTTCAACTAAATAGTACCCTCCTTCAGAAAGAGTACCACCGTCCGGAATCGTTTGTGGTGAAAGAGAATTCCGTCTATGGACATGGTGACGACCTCTATAGTATTTTTCCTCAGAAGGGAGGGAACATGGAAGTGCACAAGTTACACAATATGCCTGACAGTGCAAAAATATATTCGCACTTTGTTACTAATACTGAAGGGGTGTCTTGTGGTGCGACAAACGGGGTACCGGTAATGCATGACAGTAAGAAAACCTATGTTCTTGAAAAAAACGACGATTGTTATGTTGTTAAGAAAATTACTGCAATGGGATCCATTATTTACTATCCATTTAAAGCCAAATCTGACGCTCAGATGATTTTGGTAAACCAAAATTTTGATTTAGATGAAGTCGTACCCATAAAGAATAAGTACCAGATTGGTGAGGAATATTTTGAGAACAGTTTGAGCTATGTTTCGTTTGACAAAAAAACAAACGACGAAACGAACGGTCGACAAATCATCGACTACGATAAACTCTTACCCATGGTACGCCATATGCTGGAAGATATACCACAATATATGCACGAAGACCATATTAATACCAAAGAACCAGATCATAAACGCGGCCAGTTAATCAATCGTGTGCAGCAAATTTTACTCAAATTCACACTTGAGAAATTCAAGGAGTTACAGTGGACGTTGTCAAAACAAGCACTAAATGCTTTCTACCACATTCTTCCTTTAGTAGGCACCGAAGCCTCGACTCTCTACATCAAAACTTTAATCATTACTAAGACAGTACCTGATAATTTAGCCGTCGAGTTATTACAGAACATCGCAGGCCACATCCGACCTTCGCTCGATTTAGTCCAAAAACTCGAAGAGCTCATCCACTTGGATTCAAAGTACAGTTGGGATGTACGAAAAGTCGCCATCTTGAGCTTCGGTAACATTATCTACAAATCGTACGTTCAGCAACTCCAGTCCAATTCAGACAGCTCTCAGGAACCCTACGAGAAGTACGTAGATGAGTACATATACAATTTACGGAACTCTACAAGATACATAGTCCAAGTGACGTACCTTCTGGGTCTTCGCAACATGAAACTACCCATTCTTGCCCAGCGCTTGGTTCCAGCGTTCAACGGTGAATGGTGGTCGAATCAAAATTTGCGATACATGGCAATTTGGGCTGCCGCACCGCCGATTCTTTTCTATTCTGGTCCTGACAAGATGATAGAGAACTTTTGGCCTATTTTTACCAATCGTCACGAAAAAATGGCAGTGAGAGCATTTTGTTATTATTACATTATGTATTCTAGACCGAGTTTGACAATGTTGAAGAACATCTTCACGTTCATGTTGACTGAACCTGATGAAGAGTTGTACCGGCTTCATTACACACTTGTACAGACTATGATACAGTCAACCGATCCTTGTCACCAAGATGCTAAATTAAAATTAGCTCAACTCATAAAGTTTAGCCCACCTCCTCGCCGTGGCACATCAGGTATCAGCTTCTTTGGGTACCGAGACGAAATGTTCGGATTTAGTGGTGGTATTGAAACGTGCTACTTGAGAACCGAAGATATGCGTATTTATGCTTATTATCTTACTTCCCAACTGTTCGACATTTACGAAGAGGAGTGGGTATTTTATTGGAGAATTCAAGATGGAAGAGATAAAGATCCAGGACTCATACAATCTCTAGTTGATATTGTATCACTGAGTCAACTAGACAGTTTTGATTTTCTTATTGAAGCCAGTATTGCCAGACGTGGTCAAGTTATCAACACTTTCGCTTTCGATAAAAGAAGTTTGAACGAAATGATGGCCCTCTTGGGCTTGTTCCTCGCATACGCTTCGAAATGGAACCTCAATCTCTTGCACATAAATTACGAAAGGTACAATTCGTACATGATACCAACCGATCTCGGAATTCCCGCTTTTTGGGAGTACTTCATGCCGGAGGTACATTACAACAATTTGAGTGTAACTAAGCAGATTGAGGGAGACAGTATTCATTTCCGCATTGAAAACAAGTACGGTACTTGGATTCACTACAGGCACGGTTTGAGTTTCTACAATCCCATCGCTGACGTACGACAAGGAATAAACAAGTACCACGCCTACGATGCACTTTTTCCTCTTCACTTTAACTTGTCGTTGAACTCTAAACTACAGAATTTAGAAGTACATTGGCGAAAACATGATGACCCCCAAATGAACATCGCTGGGATTAGAACTCACGCAACGCAGCTAGTTTTTGTTAGAGATTCTGACGATTACGAGAAAAAGGTTTTAAGGGAGTTTGTACCTGAGGGAGAAGAATTTCAAAGTGTCGGTCACGGCAAAGAATTTAGACATGACGTAAGTAAGTAAAATAGTTTCTTCGGATTTCGTTAATTAATTTTGTTTTAGTACCCTATCTTTGACAAACACAATCTAGACACAGGCTATAGGTTGTATTTAGTTAACTACGATAGTGACATCCATGCCCCGTATGGTGTCTTCAAGAATCGACTACACATGTTCGCCGATCCCTCATCCAAATACTTCCACTCGCCTTTACAACACTGGGCCATGGCATGGCTAAATTTCCACCGCGACATAGTACTACTTCCAAGACCTGGAACCTACGGTTTCGTAGCCCGACTGGAACCAAGCAGCCAATTCGGTGTTACCAACATTGATTTCGCTTTATCGCAAATATTTGAATACGCTAGCAACAGTTCCCACGTCCCTGGAGTCGATTTACACTTCCACCTGGTGTATAGTGTCAAAAAACACGACCAAATTTTAAAAACGTGGGATTTAGATGCGTTAACCGAAATTGCTTCAGGTCATAATTATGGTTCTTTGAAATTAAAGTTGAGTCGTATTATTCCTAAACAAAAAGGCTTTAGAGTATGTGTTGAGGGTTACAAGAAATGGGCACCAGAAGAAGTAAATGGGCATTGGGGTATAACTATGGGGGAGAGTGACAACGGAGAATGTGTTAACGACACCGTGATTGATATTTCCTCGAATGGTAGACGTTCCCTGGAACAAAAAAGTGGAAAATATAAACACTCAAGTTGTCAGAATGTGGTACCATACTCTGCTCATGATATGAAATGTCTGATCAGTCATACCACTCTCAGACACTACACTTACGAAGTCACCAGTACTAACGTACCACCGCGCTTAAAACAAATTGTCACTAATTTAGGAGAAGACTTGAAGAGTCTTTTTAACCAGTACTACTCTTACAAGATTGCACACAATGAAAATATCACCCAAGACTCTTTCAAAGTAGACGTAACGTTTCCCTTAGCAGCACATGAAATTAATGTTGAAGTAGCGACAAGGGAACAAACGTACGAATTTTCAGGAATACCACTAAAGTACTGGGACTGGTTTAAAATAACCCCGGAATCTACAACGTATTCTTTAGCTTTTATAGAACAGTACGAAAACGGCGATATCGATCACTGCATCATCCAGTCAGATCGTCGTCAGCTCAATCAAAAATCTGTGTCAGAAGTAGTACCAAACGAATGGACCTTGTACGTCGCTAACAATTTAGAGTCACACGACCACGTCTACATAAAACGACTTGATGACAAAATCGTAAGATAAAAACTATTCTTAAATCCTCTTTGATTTAATAATTCTTCCAGGCTGTTAAACTCATTCGTGACGACCACACTCTTGAAGTACTACCTGCAGCTGAAACCGACGATTATCACATTACGTATGATGGAGACGCTTCTACAAACGAACACCAAGAAGAGTGGTTACACTATCGTGTATTTGATGTAGATATCCATAAGCGTCTCATTATTTTCCTTCAACAGAGTGGAGTTCATTTGGAGTATGATGTACGACACGTGGTGATCACGATTCCTGAGGAAACACATTGGCATGGTCAGTGTTATGCTGGTGCCAAACCGTTAATTCCATCGACTACTCGCAACTTATTTTTTTCGAAAACTAATATATCTTCCATGGAATGGGAGGTACCCACCATTGAGAAAATATCGCCCTCGACCAATAACTTTCCAAAAGAAAAAATTTGAAGCTTAATGTAGTAAATGCTTACGAGCCATGGGATCAAAATAGTGTAAATTGTAACAAGTTTTGTGTATTATCACTCGTTTAATGCAAATATTTTCAATAAAAAATGCTTAACAACAACTGTCATTTTGAAGAATTACGGTATTAAAAACTGGAACCACTGCCATTGGTGTGTTTTTTAGTTTCATGTTGTGAAAAGAAGTATAGACATACTAAAACAAAAAGGCAAAATTTTTGTAAGAAAATATGGATTTTGCGATTTTGCTCCGCCCCTAGGTCCGCCAACGAATGACAACTTCATGTTTAGATCAGGGCAGATATAGGTGGGGCTTAAACTTAAGCTTTAATTTTTTCTTAATATACATAGTAGGTATTTTTTGAATAACATGATACTTAAAAACATGTCTTACATGGTAATTTCTTATAGAGAAATAATACGGATTTTGCAATTAAATTTCGCTGCTGTGGGTCTCGACGATTAAATAAAAAATCATCACAATTGAGATAGGGTGGGTGGGCGGGGTTTACATTTTCCCTTTTTTCTTCTTAACATGTGTAGGCTTATTTCGACAACAAGAAACTAAAACATGTCTAAAATGGTAAATTTTTGTAGTAATCAACTTAAATCTTCCACTTTTCTTCTGCAAACCCTTTAAATACGCAACTTGGCAACGGAGTTTATAAATGACAATTTTCAGCTCTAAATGCAACATCAACGGGATCAGCAACTTCAACGGGAACTTCAACGTCAACAACAAGTTTATAAATTCCACTTAAAAATTAATGAGAAAATGCAGCTACTGATATTGGGTATGCTCTCATAAAATTTTAAATACTTATGTCGCTAAACTGACAAAAAAAAATCACAAACATTATTAATCACTCGATATTTTGCCCAAGTGTAAAAGTAAACTTTAAAAAATGTATTTTCTAACCACAACCCGTATAGTACGTACGATTAAAAATACCTATATACAGATTTTGAAATGACGTCAAAAAGCTTTGGAAGGTACATATAAACGTTTTGATTAGTGATTTTCCATGATCACGATAACCTTAAAACATGTACTACTTAAGTAAGATATGCGTTAAGCTGATATAAAGGTTTAAATATTAAAATTAATTCATTATCACTTAATGCATTTATCAAATTTTTTTTTTAGAAATTGTGTGTCATCGAGATTGTTAAATTCGCAATTATCACGTTTCATTTAAAAAATATTATTTGTTTACAAGTCGTACATCGGGTGGTTACGAAGTGGTGAAAATTTGTTTAAATTCATGAAAGAAAGTTTTTTGTTCCAATTTATTATTTAAAACCAAATGTAAAATTTATTAAGGGGTGTGTATGCTCAGTAAAATATATTTTACAATACGATTACTCCAAGCTGCGACAATTATTGGCTGCAGATTATTCAAATTATTTTTTTTGTTGCAGATTTTATACAAAACTTCTTTAAGAGTATTGTATAAAATCTTAACACATTCGCTGCCGTTCCCGCGCTAGCGCGTGATGGCGCTCGTTTTGGCAATGCCTCTCACGCTCTAGAGCGTTTCGATGCGTTTTAAATTCAACATGCTGCCATTTACACTGGCACTGGCATAGGAACATGAAATTTAGCCAGGCACTAGCTTAAATATTCTTTTTAAATTTCCCGCTTGCGGTTTTCGATTTTGGACTTAATTGTCAGTCTGACAAAATGAACGACACGGACGAAGTCGAGGCTGGGCCTTCGGCTCCAAAACGTATGAAAATCTCACAAAATAATAAAAGAGCTAGCACAAAGAAGTTTCTTACTGATGACGAACTTCAGGCCATCTTAGAAGCGAGTAGTGATAGTGACGTTGACATCTACTTGAACGACGGAAGTGAAGATTCCTCGTCGGAATCTGGTGACGAAGATGAGAGTATTTTTGATTTTCAACAAACTCAGACTGTTAGTACCAACAAGGACGAATTTCAATGGACAGAGGATTCAGGCTCTATGAAATCAGTAGAATTTACCAAAGAAGAGAAAATGCTTATTCCAATTCCTGGTAAGGAGCCGATAGATTTTTTCATGATGTTTTTGACTCATGAGTTTCTGGAAAGCATAGTAGAGCAGACCAACATATATGCAACGGAAGTTTTTTTATCCAAAGGAACTAAAGAAAAATCCAGAATAACTAACTGGAAAGAAACGACAAATGAAGAAATGATCGTCTTCTTGGGATTACTCTTGCACATGGGTAACATTAGAATGAGTAGATTGCAGGATTATTGGAAGACAGACCCACTGTTCAATATAAATATTTTTCATTCTAGTATGAGTAGAAATAGATTTTTACTAATAATGAGAACGCTCCATTTTGCAAAAAATCCAGAACCCGGTGAGGCAGTTCCCCAAGACAGATTGCATAAAATTAGACCACCCGTACGTTTTTTCAATGAAAGAATGAGCAAAATATTTTATCCTGGCAGAGAGTTGAGCTTAGATGAGTCCATGATGTTGTGGCGCGGTAGACTGGTATTTCGTCAATATATAAAAAACAAACGACATAAATACGGAATAAAATTGTACATGCTAACCGACCCTAATGGAATTATTTTAAAATTCATGGTGTACACAGGTTCACTGGATGATTGCGGCGGAAAAGGTCACACTGAAAAAGTTGTTCTGCATCTTTTAGATGGCAAGTTAAATGTTGGACACTCTTTATACATGGACAACTTTTATAATAGTCCCGCTCTTGCCAAAACGTTGCTGAAGCAAAACACACATTGCACAGGCACACTCCGTATTGACCGAAAAGACTGTCCAACTGAAGTCAAACAAAAAAAATTAAAGCGAGGTGAAACTATTGCAAGATATTCAGGGGGTATATTAGTTGGCAAATGGAAAGACAAGAGAGATGTGTGCTACATATCTAATGAATATGAGAATACTATGCTAAATGTCACAAACAGAAGAGGAGATACTAGAGAAAAGCCTCTGCCAATAATCCAATACAATACATATATGGCAGGAGTAGATAGGCAAGATCAATTATTATCGTATTATCCATGCGAAAGGAAGACTATAAGGTGGCCAACTAAAATTTTCGTTCATATTCTTCAAATGATGCTAATAAATGCTCACGGACTTTACAATAAATACTCGGGTAAAAAAATGAATTTATACGATTTTAGAGTTGCGGTAATACGCAAATTGCTACCAACACAAACTGTTGTGCAAGAAAATCAGCCAAAACTTGACGCACATTATTTGGTCAAGCGTGAGGAGAAAACATCGTCTGGGAAAATAAAGAGAAAGGCGTGTAAGACGTGCTACAAAAAGAATAAGCGCACGGATACAACATACGTCTGCCAGAAATGTCCAGGTCTTCCAGGCTACTGCCTCGATTGTGCAACGCTTACACACGTATAATCAATTTTTTATATGAATATTTCGAATTTTTGTTTATTTGAAGTTGTTTTTAGTTTTCGTTTTGCAATATAACAAATGTTTTTGTTAAGTTTTGTTTGTTTTACTAATTTTTGTAATAAAATGGAGAGATTTTATTTATTTATTTTTTGTTTCTTTCGTTATTCATATCATGTGTTGAAGCAAACTAATTTCTAAAATTTAACGCTCTTGCGCGTTGGGCGGCATTGGGTATGCAGTTTTCATTACCAGTGCCAGTCACGCTCAGGCGCGTTAATTTTCCAAAATTTCTAAAACTTGTTTTTTTTGTGTCCAGTACACTTACTACTTCCTTCAAGTGTTTATTTCTGCAAAATTTTGAAAATTCGTTCAAAAACTGAATTCGGCCCCTTGGGACTGATTGTTCCTAAAATGTGGCAGCGAATGTGTTAAACAGTACCAGAATGTTGGACCTGATACTAAAAAGTACCCTACTGATTGACCTATAAAAACAAGTCTTACTGTGATTATCTGGTTATTATTGTTTGAGAATGAACTAGATTACTTAATCAAATTTTTGACAAACTTGCATTAACTAATTACAGTGTTTTTTATATCAATGTTTAATTTCGTAAGTGTCTTTAAAATACTTAATAATTAATATTTCTTCCAGGCCAAGTTCAAAAGGTCAAAATGCATATAAAATAAAATGTTTCAAATTGATTGCTGCTATTTTATAAAAAACCTAAAATGAACACACTCCAATTTTTTACACTGCTTGTCGGTACGTGATATTTTTTATTTATTTATTCATTTATTTAATTATGTATTTATTTATTTATTTTTAATATCAAAATAACTTATTGCAGTCATAGCGTCTACACGCGCTTTCCACCAGCTAATACCACCCGACAAAAAAACGATCTTTTCGTGGAATGCAGACATCAAAGCTGGCACCCATCTCCCAGTACAATATGCCTCCCAATACGCCCTTCAAGGTAAAATCCATCTTCAGCCTTACAACAACACAATAGTTGTCAAACTCACGGATCTAACACATCGACTCTACAACGGAATCATTGACCATTTTCACGAATATGAAGCCAAAAATGTATCACTACTTCCGGAAGTACAAGCTTTGGAAAATGCATTTAAAATCACCTATACTGACGGTGGCTTGGTCGAAGGAATTTCAACACAAAACAACGAAATGGACTTTTCGCGCAACATCAAGAAAGCAATCGCGAGTATTTTTCAGCTAAACACTACCTTCCTTCAGAAAGAGTACCACCGTCCGGAATCGTTTGTGATGAAAGAGAATTCCATCTATGGACATGGTGAAGATGTCTATAGTGTTTTTCCTCAGAAAGGAGGGAAGATGGAAGTGCACAAGTTACACAATATGCCTGATAGTGAAAACATTTTTTCGCACATTGTTACTAATACTGAAGGGACGTCTTGTGATGTGACAAATGGAGTACCGGTAATGCATGACAGTAAGAAAACCTATGCTCTTGAAAAAGAAGGGGACTGTTATGTTGTTAAGAAAGTTACTACGGTGGGATCCATTATTTATTATCCATTTACAGCCAAATCTGACGTTCAGATGATTTTGGTAAATCAGAATTTTGATTTAGCTGAGGTCGTACCGATAAAGAATAAGTACCAGATTGGTGAGGAATATTTTGAGAACAGTTTGAGTTATGTTTCGTTTGACAAAAAAACAAACGACGAAACGAACGGTCGACGAAGCATCGACTACGACAAACTCTTACCCATGGTACGCGATATGCTGGAAGATATACCACAATATATGCACGAAGACCATATTAATACCAAAGAACCGGATCATAAACGCGGTCAGTTAATCAATCGTGTGCAGCAAATATTACTCAAATTCACACTTGAAAAATTCAAGGAGTTACAATCGATGTTGTCAACGCAGGCACTAAATGTCTTCTACCACATTCTTCCTTTAGTAGGTACCGAAGCCTCGACCCTCTATATCAAAACTTTAATCATTACTAAGACAGTACCTGATGATTTAGCCGTCGAGTTATTACAGAACATCGCAGGCCACATCCGACCTTCGCTCGATTTAGTCCAAAATCTCGAAGACCTCATCCACTTGGATTCAAAGTACAGCTGGGATATACAGAAAGTCGCCATCTTGAGCTTCGGCAACATAATTTATAAATCGTACGTTCATCAACTCCAGTCCAATTCAGACAGCTCTCAGGAACCCTATGAGAAGTACGTAGATGAGTACATCCACAATTTACGAAACTCTACGAAGTACATAGTCCAAGTGACTTACCTTCTGGGTCTTCACAACATGAAATTACCTATTCTTGCCCAGCGCTTGGTTCCAGCGTTCAACGGTGAATGGTGGTCGAATCAAAATTTACGATACATGGCAATTTGGGCTGCGGCACCGCCGATTCTTTTCAACTCTGGTCCTGACAAGATAATAGAGACCTTTTGGCCTATTTTTACCAATCGTCACGAGAAACTTGCAGTGAGAGCATTTTGTTATTATTACATTATGTATTCTAGACCGAGTTTGACAATGTTGAGGAACATCTTCACGTTCATGTTGACTGAACCCGATCAAGAATTGTACCGGATTCATTACACACTTGTGCAGACTTTGATAGAGTCAACCGATTATTGTCACCAAGATGTTAGATTAAAATTAGCTCAATTAATGAAATTTAGCCCACCTCCTCGCCGTGGCACCTCAAGTGTCAGCTTCTTTGGGTACCGAGACGAACTGTTCGGATTTAGCACTGGCATTCAAAAGTACTACATCAAAGCCGAAGATTTACGTATTTATTGTTATTATGTTACTTCCCAACTGTTCAACAGTTATGAAGAAGAGTGGGTGGTATATTGGAAAATTCAAGATGGAAGGGATAAAGATCCAGGACTCATACAATCTCTAGTTGATATTATATCACTGAGTCAAATAGACAGTTTTGATTTTCATGTTGAAGCCAGTATTGCCAGACGTGGTCAAGTTATCAACACTTTCGCTTTCGATAAAAGAAGTTTGAACGAAATGATGGGCCTCTTGGGCTTGTTCCTCGCATACGCTTCGAAATGGAACCTCAATCTCTTGCATATAAATTACGAAAGGTACAATTCATACATGATACCAACCGATCTCGGGATTCCCGCTTTTTGGGAGTACTTCATGCCGGAGGTACATTACAACAATTTGAGTGTAACTAAGCAGATTGAGGGAGACAGTATTCATTTCCGCATTGAAAACAAGTACGGTACTTGGATTCACTACAGTCACGGTTTGAGTTTCTACAATCCCATCGCTGACGTACGACAAGGAATAAACAAGTACCACGCGTACGATGCACTTTTTCCTCTTCACTTTAACTTGTCGTTGAACTCTAAACTACAGAATTTAGAAGTACATTGGCAAAAACATGATGACCCCCAAATGAACATCGCTGGGATTAGAACTCACGCAACGCAGCTAGTTTTTGTCAGAGATTCTGACGATTACGAGGAAAAGGTTCTAAGAGAGTTTATACCTCAGGGGGAAGAATTTCAAAGTGTCGGTCACGGCAAAAAATTTAGACATGACGTAAGTAAGTAAAATTGCTTGTTCGCATTTCATTAATTAATTTTGTTTTAGTACCCTATCTTTGACAAACACAATCTAGACACAGGTTGTATTTAGTTAACTACGATAGTGACATCCATGCCCCTTATGGTGTCTTCAAGAATCGACTACACATGTTCGCCGATCCCTCATCTAAATACTTCCACTCGCCTTTACAACACTGGGCCATGGCATGGCTAAATTTCCACCGCGACATAGTACTACTTCCAAGACCTGGGACCTACGGTTTCGTAGCTCGACTAGAACCAAGCAGCCAATTCGGTGTTACCAACATTGATTTCGCTTTATCGCAAATATTTGAATACGTTAGCAACAGTTCACACGTCCCTGGAGTCGATTTACACTTCCACCTGGTGTATAGTGTCAAAAAACACAACCAAATTCTGAAAACGTGGGATTTAGATGCGTTAACCGAAATTGCTTCAGGTCATAATTATGGTTCTTTGAAATTAAAGCTGAGTCGTATTCTTCCTAAACAAAAAGACTTTCGAGTATGTATTGAGGGTTACAAGAAATGGGCACCAGAAGAAGTAAATGGGCATTGGGGTATAACTATGGGGGAGAGTGACAACGGAGAGTGTGTTAACAACACCGTGATTGATATTTCCTCGAATGGTAGACGCTCCCTAGAACAAAAAAGTGGAAAGTATAAACATTCAAGTTGTCAGAATGTGGTACCATACTCTGCTCATAACATGAAATGTCTGGTCAGTCATACCACCCTCAGACACTACACTTACGAAGTCGCCAGTACTAACGTACCACCACGCTTAAAACAAATTGTCACTAATTTAGGAGAAGACTTGAAGAGTCTTTATAACCAGTACTACTCTTACAAGATTGCACACAATGAAAATATCACCGAAGACTCTTTCAAAGTAGACGTAACGTTCCCGTTAGCAGCACATGAAATTAATGTTGAAGTAGCGACAAGAGAACAAACGTACGAATTTTCAGGAATACCACTAAAGTACTGGGACTGGTTTAAAATAACCCCCGAATCTACAACGTACTCTTTAGCTTTTATAGAAAAGCACGAAAACGGCGAGATCGATCACTGCACCATCCGGTCCAAGCGTCGTCAATTCAATCAAAAAGCTGTGTCAGAAGTAGTACCAAACGAATGGACCTTGTACGTCGCTAACAATTTAGAATCACACGACCACGTCTACATAAAACGGGTTGATGACAAAATCGTAAGATAAAAATTATTCTTAAATTCTGTTTGATTTAGTAATTTTTGTAGGCTGTTAAACTCGTTCGTAATGACCACACTCTTGAAGTACTACCTGTAGCTGAAACCAACGATTATCACATTACATATGATGCAGACGCTTCTTCAAACGAACGTCAAGAAGAGTGGTTACACTATCGTATATTTGATGAAGACATCCATAAGCGTCTCGTTATCTTCCTTCAACAGAGTGGAGTTCATTTGGAGTATGATGTACGACACGTGGTGATCACGATTCCTGAGGGAACTTATTGGTACGGTCAGTGTTATTCTGGTGTCAAATCGTTAATTCCACCGACTACTGGCAACTTATTTTTTTCGAAGACTAATATATCTTCCATGGAACGGGAAGTACCCACCGCTGAGAAAATATCGCCCTCGACCAGTAACATTACAAAAGAAAAAATTTGAAGCTTAATTTGATAAGTACTTATGAGCAATGGTACCAAAATAGTGAACATTGTAACAATTTTTGTTTATTATCACTCGTTTAATACAAATATTTCCAATAAAAAATGCTTAACAACGTTGTCAGGTTGAAGAATTATGGCAATAAATACTTTAACCATTGCCATTGCTGTGTTTTTTCCGAGAACATTCTGGTACTTTTGACTAATTTCAAGTGTATAAAACTTTACAATATAAAAATGGAAATCAGATAAGAGGAATGAAGGTAAAGATAATAAATGATATTAATTATGTTTAAACGTATTTACACTAGGAGTAATCAATATAAGAAAGTTTACAGATTATACGAGAAAATATTATTCGCTATTATACATACAGGGTGTCTCAGAAACAAGTACATCAATTTTAATCAGTTGTGGGAGCTCATCAAACTCAACAACTTTTTTAATAGAGTTATGTCAGGGACTTTTTAATTATCAAGTTAAAAATTGTTAAATAACATATACTTGACATCAAAATGATTGTCAATGACAAAACAGTTGCTAGAGTACCTCCTTTATTGTTGTAGTGTTGTTATTATTTAAGGTGAACATAGACGGCTCGTGAATATATAGGTGGGAAAATTCTAAATTCGACTTGAGTTTTCCAAAAAATGCTATATAAAAAAGTTGTTCCGTGTCACGAGTTCTGTTACTGGTTAAAATTAATGTACCTATTTCTGAGACACCCTGTATATATATATTTTTTATTTCGTGTCGAGCAATGCGCAGACATAAGTTTTACTATCAAAGGACGATCAACAAGTAACTAGAGGTTTTTTATCCCTGATTATTAGAACAATAAACTATAGTTACATGTCTACATACACCGCCGTTTGCGATAAAAGTAAACAAACCGCCCGAATCTTTTTTAAAAATTTCGAACGAATCTCGGGGAAAAGGAAATCACTCGAGTGGTTTTGAAATCTCCGACAACTTAAAACAGAAAAAATGTGTTTAGGTTACGAGGAATAAGAAAAATTTTGGTTTGCTGATTTTTATAAATATATTTAAAATATTTACATTTTGTACAGCTAAAACTAAGAAACCTAACCTATAACTAATAATACACATAAAACTAAACTAACCTAACCTAACCAATAACTATATATACACATATAACTAAACTAACCTAACTTATAACTATATATACATATAAACCTAACATAACCTAACCTACACTAACCTAAAGCCACCGTCCAAGCTGAGGCAATAACTATCCAGGAAGAGAGCCGCATCGAGGGTTCGATGGGTCAGCCTCCGTTCCTGGTAGTATTGCCTCTCCCACTGGGCCCTCCACACGCAGAAAGCCTGGTACTCGGACAGTGGCTTGACGCCGTCGTCCATGTCGGGGAGAGGCGGCAGCTCCGTCCCTGGCGGCACAGTCTGCAAAACAAATGTATATTAGTCCATTATATCCAAAATAACACGAAATAAATACATACCTTCTGAGATGACGGCGCCTGAGCCATGAAGAGCGGCAGCAGGGTCTTCACAGCCCTCGAGTGGGCTGGCACCCTTGGACGAAATCTTCGCGGGGGATCGAGGTGGGCAGGTGTGGGGATATGGGGGATAGGAATGTGGGCAACAGGATTGGGGATGAAATAGGGAAAAATGAAAGGCGGAATTATAGGCGAAGGAGAACGAGAAGGAGGTTGAGGATGGATGGATTGGGGGTCGATCCCCGGTCTTCGTTTCGGCGGCCTCTCCTCTTGCGTCTCAGCGGGAGAGACGCAGTCGAAGGACCGCTTCTTCGAAGGGCCAGCGGTGGCGAAGTCGCTTCCTGAAATGAAGAAAATAGCTATTAGTGCATGCTTTACAAACAAAAAATAAAATAGTTAAAAGTTAAAGTACTTACCAGAAGATCCGCCCATTGTAAAAATCGTCCAACCTCACAGTTCGAAAAGCTCGGACATAATGAAAGCACGAAAAAGGTACTTGGCTTATATACCTACAGCCGCCCGCACGTAAACACTGGTGGGGTGTTTGCCGGGTGGGGATAACCCTTGGGCAGGTAAATGGCATTGCTGTGCAATGGGAGGTTTATTATCACTTGGACCAAATAATACTCAAATTCGATCTTTCTTAGACTATCATTCTTATTCTAAATCATTTGGGTTTACAAAAGACGTGAAATTTTTAGTGGATATCTATTTTGAAAATAATAATGAAAGAAAGGAAAAGTACTGAACAATATTTATCATGAATATTTAGTTATAGGAAGCCAGAAGAACATTTTTAGCTCGTATTCAATTCTCAGTTACTTACGACCTTTGAATCTACGCTTGTACTGGAAGGACAACCTTGGTTCGAGTCGTCTAGTTAACAGATTGTGGTTTCTTTAATGTAATCAAAAGAGAAAATCTAACCAGACACATAAAATACCAAATTTTGAAATTGATTGTCGACTTAGACAAAAGGTGCTTTCAGGCCTTCTCAAGGACACCGGGAAGTTTGACATTTCCAAAATCTCTGCATTCATTGCAAGTTTAGAACCTCTGGCACACATCACTGCGTCACTGAGAGATGATAACAACAAACTTGTGTGCACTGAAGTTGCAAAATATATCGCAAACTTGTATACCAACAGTAAGATGATCCCCAAGAACCATTTTGAAATACAAGCTGAGTTATATGTTGTTATAAAGGAATGGGATTCTATGTGCTACGCAGAGCTCGGTATTGTCACCGGTAATACTCCCAGAATTTATATACTCGTATTTTTCAATTTAAATATGTAATACATGTAATACGACGTCTACAAGTTTTTGGAAGGTATATATAAACATTTTGATTAGTGATTTTCCACGCTCACGATGACTTTAAAACATATACTACTTAAGTAAGATATGCGTTAAACTGATATAAAGGTTTGAATATTAAAATTATTTAATTATTACTTAATTCATATATCAAGTTTTTTTTAGAAATTGTGTTTTTTCAAGATTATTAAATTCACAAGTAACACATTCCATTAAAAAAAAAAATATTTGTTTAAAGTGACAAACATTTCTTTAAATTTTTGTTACAGTGTAATTATTTAAAACCAAGACAGTGTAAAGTTTATTACGGTTTATGTATGCTCAATAACATATACTTTACAATACGATTACCCCAAACTGTGACGATTGGCTGCTGATTGTTCAAATTCCTTTTGTTGCACACATGCACTAAACTTCTTTAAGAGCATTGTATAAAACCATAAACAGTACCAGAATGTTGGACCTGAGACTAAAAAGTACCCTACTGATTGACTTATACAAGTAAGTCTTCCTGTGATTATTTGTTTATTATTGTTTGAGAATAAACTAGATTAACTAATAAAATTTTTGACACACTGGCATTAGCTAATTACAATGTTGTTTTATATCAATGTTTAATTTGGTAAGTGATACCACCAAGGACAAAACAACGATTATATTTTATCGTTGTCTTTAAATAATTAATCTTTCTTCTAGGCCCAGTTCAAAAGGTCAAAATGCATATAAAATCAAATGTTTCAAATTGATTACTGGTATTTTATAAAAAATCTAATAATGAACACACTCCAATTTTTTACATTGCTTGTCGGTAAGTGGTACTTATTTATTGATTTATTCGTTGTTAAATATCAAAAAACTGATTGTAGCCATAGTGTCAACACATGCCTTCCACCAGCTAATACCACCCGACAAAGAAACGATCTTTTCGTGGAGTGCAGAAGTCAAAGCTGGTACCCATCTCCCAGTACCATACGCCTCCCAGTACGCCCTTCAAGGTAAAATCCATTTTCAGCCTTCTAACAACACAATAGTTGTCAAAATCACCGATCTAACACATCGACTGTACAACGGGATCATTGACCATTACCACGAATATTTAGCCAAAAATGTATCACCACCTCCGGAAGTGCAAGTTTTGGAAAATGCATTTAAAATCACCTACGCTGACAGTGGCTTGGTCGAAGGAATTTCAACACAAAGCAACGAAATGGACTTTTCGCGCAACATTAAGAAAGCAATCGCAAGTATTTTTCAACTAAATAGTACCTTCCTTCAGAAAGAGTTCCACCGTCCGGAATCGTTTATCGTGAAAGAGAATTCCATCTATGGACATGGTGAAGACGTCTATAGTGTTTTTCCTCAGAAAGGAGGGAAGATGGAAGTGCACAAGTTACACAATATGCCTGATAGCGAAAAAATATATTCGCACTTTGTTACTAATACTGAAGGGGCGTCTTGTGATGTGACAAATGTAGTACCGGTTATGCATGACAGTAAGAAAACCTATGTTCTTGAAAAAGAAGGGGACTGTTATGTTGTTAAAAAAGTTACTACGGTGGGTTCCATTATTTATTATCCATTTAAAGCCAAATCTGACGCTCAGATGATTTTGGTAAACCAAAATTTTGATTTAGATGAAGTCGTACCGATAAAGAATAAGTACCAGATTGGTGAGGAATATATTGAGAACAGTTTGAGTTATGTTTCATTTGACAAACAAACAAACGACCAAACGAACGGTCGACAAATCATCGACTACGATAAACTCTTACCCATGGTACGCGATATGTTGGAAGATATACCACAATATATGCACGAAGACCATATTAATACCAAAGAACCAGATCATAAGCGCGGCCAGTTAATCAATCGTGTGCAGCAAATTTTACTCAAATTCACACTTGATAAATTCAAGGAGTTACAGTCGACGTTGTCAAAACAAGCACTAAATGTTTTCTACCACATTCTTCCTTTAGTAGGCACCGAAGCCTCGACTCTCTACATCAAAACTTTAATCATTACTAAGACAGTACCTGATAATTTAGCCGTCGAATTATTACAGAACATCGCAGGCCACATCCGACCTTCGCTCGATTTAGTCCAAAAACTCGAAGACCTCATCCACTTGGATTCAAAGTACAGCTGGGATTTACAAAAAGTCGCTATCTTAAGCTTCGGCAACATAATCTACAAATCGTACGTTCACCAACTCCAGTCCAACTCAGACAGCTCTCAGGAACCCTATGAGAAATACGTAGATGAGTACATCCACAATTTACGAAACTCTACAAAGTACATAGTCCAAGTGACTTACCTTCTGGGGCTTCGCAACATGAAATTACCCATTCTTGCCCAGCGCTTGGTTCCAGCGTTCAACGGTGAATGGTGGTCGAATCAAAATTTACGATACGTGGCAATTTGGGCTGCCGCACCGCCGATTCTTTTCAACTCTGGTCCTGACAAGATAATAGAGACCTTTTGGCCTATTTTTACCAATCGGCACGAAAAAGTTGCAGTGAGAGCATTTTGTTATTATTTCATTATGTATTCTAGACCAAGTTTGACAATGTTGAGGAACATCTTCACGTTCATGTTGACCGAACCCGATCAAGAATTGTACCGGATTCATTACACACTTGTACAGACTTTGATGCAGTCAACCGATCCTTGTCACCAAGATGCTAGATTAAAATTAGCTCAACTCATGAAATTTAGCCCACCTCCTCACCGTGGTACATCAGGTATCAGCTTTTTTGGGTACCGAGACGAAATGTTCGGATTTAGCACTGGCATTCAAAAGTACTACATCAGAGCCGAAGATTTACGTATTTATGCTTATTATGTTACTTCCCAACTGTTCAACAGTTATGAAGAAGAGTGGGCGGTATATTGGAAAATTCAAGATGGAAGAGATAAAGATCCAGGACTCATAGAATCTCTAGTTGATATTGTATCACTGAGTCAACTAGACAGTTTTGATTTTCATATTGAAGCCAGTATTGCTAGACGTGGTCAAGTTATCAACACTTTCGCTTTCGATAAAAGAAGTTTGAACGAAATGGTCGGCCTCTTGGGATTGTTCCTCGCATACGCTTCGAAATGGAACCTCAATCTCTTGCACATAAATTACGAAAGGTACAATTCGTACATGATACCAACCGATCTCGGGATTCCCGCTTTTTGGGAGTACTTCATGCCGGAGGTACATTACAACAATTTGAGTGTAACTAAGCAGATTGAAGGAGACAGTATTCACTTCCGCATTGAAAACAAGTACGGTACTTGGGTTCACTACAGGCACGGTTTGAGTTTCTACAATCCCATCGCTGACGTACGACAAGGAATAAACAAGTACCACGCGTACGACGCACTTTTTCCTCTTCACTTTAACTTGTCGTCGAACTCTAAGCTACAGAGTTTAGAAATACATTGGCAAAAACATGATGACCCTCAAATGGACATCGCTGGGATTAGAACTCACGCAACGCAGCTAGTTTTTGTCAGAGATTCTGACGATTACGAGAAAAAGGTTCTAAGGGAGTTTGTACCTGAGGGAGAAGAATTTCAAAGTGTCGGTCACAGCAAAGAATTTAGACATGACGTAAGTAATAAAATAGTTTTTTTGCATTTCATTAATTAATTTTGTTTTAGTACCCTATCTTTGACAAACACAATCTAGACACGGGCTATAGGTTGTATTTAGTTAACTACGATAGTGACATCCATGCCCCTTATGGTGTCTTCAAGAATCGACTACACATGTTCGCCGATCCCTCATCTAAATATTTCCACTCGCCTTTACAACACTGGACCATGGCATGGCTAAATTTCCACCGCGACATAGTACTACTTCCAAGACCTGGAACCTACGGTTTCGTAGCTCGACTGGAACCAAGCAGCCAGTTCGGTATTACCAACATTGATTTCGCTTTATCGCAAAAATCTGAATACGTTAGCAACAGTTCGCATGTCCCAGGAGTCGATTTACACTCTCACGTGGTGTACAGTGTCAAAAAACACGACCAAATTTTAAAAACGTGGGATTTAGATGCGTTAACCGAAATTGCTTCAGGTCATAATTACGGTTCTTTGAAATTAAAACTGAGTCGTATTCTTCCTAAACAAAAGGACTTCCGAGTATGTATTGAGGGTTACAAGAAATGGACACCAGAAGAAGTAAATGGGCATTGGGGTATAACTATGGGAGAAAGTAACAACGGAGAATGTGTTAACGACACCGTGATTGATATTTCCTCGAATGGTAAACGCTCCTTAGAACAAAAAAGTGGAAAGTATAAACACTCAAGTTGTCAGAATGTGGTACCATACTCTGCTCATGACATTAAATGTCTGGTCAGTCATACCACTCTCAGACACTACACTTACGAAGTCACCAGTACTAACGTACCACCACGCTTAAAACAAATTGTCACTAATTTAGGAGAAGACTTGAAAAGTCTTTTTAACGAGTACTACTCTTACAAGATTGCACACAATGAAAATATCACCGAAGACTCGTTCAAAGTAGACGTAACGTTCCCGTTAGCAGCACATGAAATTAATGTTGAAGTAGCGACAAGAGAACAAACGTATGAATTTTCAGGAATACCACTAAAGTACTGGGACTGGTTTAAAATAGCCCCGGAATCTACAACGTACTCTTTAGCTTTTATAGAAAAGTACGAAAACGGTGAGATCGATCACTGTACCATCCAGTCCCATCGTCGTCAACTCAATCAAAAATCTGTGTCAGAAGTAGTACCGAACGAATGGACCTTGTACGTCGCTAACAATTTAGAGTCACACGACCACGTCTACCTAAAACGACTTGATGACAAAATCGTAAGATAAAAATTATTCTTAAATCCTGTTTGATTAAATAATTGTTCCAGGCTGTTAAACTCGTTCGTGATGACCACACTCTTGAAGTACTACTTGTAGCTGAAACCGACGATTATCACATTACATATGATGGAGACGCTTCTTCAGACGAACACCAAGAAGAGTGGTTACACTATCGCGTATTTGATAAAGATATCCATAAGCGTCTCGTTATCTTCCTTCAACAGAGCGGAGTTCATTTGGAGTATGATGTACGACACGTGGTGATCACGATTCCTGAGGGAACTCACTGGCATGGTCACTGTTATGCTGATGTCAAATCGTTAATTCCACCAACTACTACGAGTAACTTGTTTTTCTGGAAGACTAATATATCTTCCACGGAACGGGAAGTACCCACCGCTGAGGAAATAGCACGCTTGGCCAACAACATTCAAAAAGAAAAAAATAAAGTTTAATTTGATAACTACCAATGAGTAAGGAGGTCAAAATTATGTAAATTGTAACAATTTTCATTTATTATCTCTCTTGTTTAATGTAAATATTTCCAATAAATTCATACAACAACTGTCATATTGAAGATTTACAGAATTACTTTTGATTAATTGTGAAATGCATAAAACTTTGCAATATAGAAATTTAAATCAGATAAGAGGAATGAGCGTAAAGATAATAAATGATTTTGAGTTGTTTACACTAGGAGTATTCAATATAAGAAAGTTCGCAGGTTATACGAGAAAATGTTATCTATTTGTTCGCTGTTATGTAATCTGAAAAGATATTTTTACAAGTAATTATTCGCAGCAATGTCAAGATGTCAGTTCACAACTACTGATATCAGGTATACCATCAAAAAATTGTAAATATGTTGCCAACCTGACAAAAAAAATCACAAACATTACACTGGTCAACAGCTAAGCTCTAACTTTTATTATAGCAGCCAATTATTATTTAATTAACAATTTTAAATGATATTATAAACGGCTAAACCCAAACTTAGCTCTCATTTAAAAGTTATCTTCAATATTATCCTTTGAAAAATACAAAAATCGTACTATTAAGTAATAGGAAACTTTCTATAAGGTGTATTTTTTTGTGATCAAATTGCTACAAACTTCTTGGGAAACAATAAGAAAACTACGTTTAGTAAGTAGAAAACATGTTATCATCATATAAAAAATTTAAAATTAACATATTCTTAAAAGCGCATTTTATGTATTCGCATCTTGATTTTTTCCCCAAAAATTATGACGACGCGAGTGACGGACATAGAGAAGGCTTCCATCTGGGCATTTTGTGGATACAAAAACGTTACCAAGATCGTTGGACACCTAAATGCTCGCAGAATACTGCGGGACCATCAAGCAAGAGATCTCCAATGAAATCTATAGGAGGCAACCGAAAAAACGTCGGTCTTAGCTGTTTCTTTTGTTTTTTTTAGTTTTTTAAACTACAATCGTTGTTTTTTTCTTAATTATGGTTGTTCTTTTGTTAATACATCACTTTTTGCCGTTAAAAATACAAAAATTAAATTGTTTTACCTGCTTTTTTGTTTTTAACATCAAATATGCATTTTTATTTTTAATTGAGCTAAGTTGTAAGGTTTATGCCCTTTGTTACAAACACAGAGACAAATTAAACGAAAACATTACAATTATGTCAAAGTTAGAGAGAAAAAATTGAATTTTGTTGACCAGTGATTATTAATCACTTAATATTTTGCCCAACTGTAAAAGTGACTATTAAAGATTTTATTTTTTGACTACAATCCGTATAGTACGTACCATTAAAATTATTTACATATTGTGAGATGACATCAACAAATTTTTGGAGGGTATATACAAACATTGATTAGTGATTTTCCATGCTCACGATAACCTTAAAACATATACTATATACTTAAGTAAGATATGCGTTAAACTGAAACAAAGGTTTAAATATTAATACAATTGTATGAGGTATACCCTAAACAGAGCCCTAAACGAAAGATCAAGAGTTTTTGTAATCAGTAATGCCAGCCCAAAAAAAAATTAGTCACGAGTAACTTGAAATAAAGGATTTATTTTTTAAGTAGTTGCCATTCTCTTAACACAAAATGATTAAACATTATTATTTATTTGTTGCAGTTATTTTAAAACTTTGTTAATAATTAACCTTTTGCATATTAATTATTATTATCGTCTTGCGTTTCGTTATCAAGTGCAAAAACCTCATAAACAGCAATTTATCACAATTGTGACAATTCAATAGAAATCGAATTTGCGTGATTTTGTCGAAAAATATTTAAAACCTCACAAAAACGTAAAAATCTAATAGAAATCAATTATTTTTCGGTTTTCCTGTAACATTTGTAATAACAAGAACTTGTGTTGTAGTTTTCCACTAAAAATAATAATTATTACAAAAATAAGAAAATATCAAAGTGTTATCACTATTTGTTCTTTTCCATAATTAAACTCAACGCTTGAACTCCGTTGACAACACCTAATTAGGTGCACAAGTTTATAAAAGCAAAAGGACAAACAGAGGGTTATCAAGTTGTCGGTAGTTTACCCCTAGATGGAAAAATAAGGAACATTCATATAAAAGGCAATTGGTAAACAGTTCTTTAGTTGATTCTATCATGGGGCTGATGAAAGTTTTAATGGTGGTTATCGGTGAGTAAATTATTTAAGATTTTCTTTCCAAAATAAGGTCTCGAATTTCATTTTGTTGTTCAATAATTATTTCACAAAAAAAAATAAAACAAAACACTTATATTAATCACTGCAAATATTTTAAATTCGTCTATTGTTTTGTGTAATACCTAAATATAAATTTTGTAGATAAGGCTAAATAACTTTTAAAAATGTATCTTAGTGTTATCTTTTTGAAGTACTTGACAGAGATATCTAATAAGATATTTTAAGCCAAAGTATTGGTCCATCGATCGTTTTGTAACTAAATCTTATTCTTTAGATGTTGTTTTTATTTGCAAAATTTTTCAAAAAGTCAACTAAATTCTTTTAGACACATTGGCTATCGTACTAATCAATTTGAATTTTATATAAAAAGATATTTTTTTAATATCTGTTGTAATGGTTCAGACATGACAGTAATCTGAAAAGACTAAGCGATTTTTTATCAAATTGTTGTGACGTCTTCACGTCAAGTTGTTCTAGGAAACTGGATAGTGGGGGGTATGACAATTGAAATAGATATATCTTTTTGTTTTATTTTCGTGCATAAATTGTGGAAACTTTTTTGACTTACGCTGTTTTTACTTTCAAATTTCATTTTTCAGTTTATTATTTCGAAAAAAAGTTGTCAACATAAAATGGTTTCTACTTTCTTATTAATGTGAATAGTAGACAAAAAAGTGCAGACAGATTTTATTTATTTCGTTGAAATCATGCCTTCACGTGTGATAAACCGAATATTTAGCACACAGCCACTTTAACATTATCAGTCAAAAATAACACAACCAACTGTACCTCATAGATAACAAGATACAACAACTGGGTGACTAATAACAAGAACTAGGTCAATATTTTACAAAATAAAACTACAACAGTATAAAATATCATCCACAGCCTCGGCGATATCCACCTCCGCCTTCACTCACCTCTGCCCGCACACCAAGGAACTCGTCTACCGCTGGCATGCCCTCGTCAAAGCTGGCACCGACCTCCCCACCCCCCACGCCTCCCAGTTCGCCCTCGACGGCAAACTCCACCTCCAAGCCACCCCCAACGCCACCCACGTGAAAATCACCGACCTCACTTACAAACTCTACAACGGAATCCTGGACCACGTGCACGAGCACCAAGCCCACAGCGTACCCGTCCAAATCCCCCAACTCCACCACGTCTTCAAGGTAGTCTACGACAACAAAGGTCTGGCCGTCGGGATCTCCACCGAAAACAGCGACCAGGAGTTCTCGCGCAACATCAAAAAGGCCATCGCTACTATGCTTCAGATGGACGATTCTGTGCTGAAGCCGGTGCACCACCAACATCCGCACCCTCATTGTTTCGTACTCAAAGAGCACTCTATCTATGGAAAGTTCGATGTTGATTATACGGTCAGGCACCACCAGAACGGGGACGTGGAAGTGGAGAAGATGCACGATATGAGGGACTACCACCACTTGTACCAGAACTTGGTGAGTAATAATGAGGATTGTCCGTGCGATGTGAAACCGGAGAGTCCGCTGAGTCACGTGAGTCGGAAACAGTACGTGATCACCACAAGAGAGGGAGAGAAGGTGGTGAAGACGATAAAAGCGACGGGGATTTTGACGTATCAGCCGTTTGGAGGCCAGTCGGAGCACCAATTCGTTTTCGTGAATCAGACGTTGGAGTTGGATACGGTGGTATCGGTTAGCGAAAGGTTGCAGGTGCAGAGTGAGCACTTCGAGGATCACTTGACTTACCACTACTTCACGGACTCGGAAGACGGGAGAATCCATGATGTAACGAACGGAAGACATGTGGCTGATTACGATAAATTGATTCCTAGTTTGCAACACATGCTGGAAGATACGTATCAGTACGCACATGAAGATCACATCCACACTCGAGAACCAGACACTAAACGAGGCCAACTAATCAATAGAGTGCAAAGGTTGCTGCAAACGTTAACCCTAACCAAACTACGCGAGCTGCATAAAACCTTGACGGGTCACTCTTTGAGAGTCTTCCACGCCATGCTTCCTCTCGTCGGTACTAAAGCCTCGACTCTCTTCATCAAACACCTGATCGTCAACAAAATCGTCACTGATGACACCGCCGTCGAAATGCTGCAGCATCTCCCAGAGCACATCGTTGAACCCACCGTGGAGCTGTTAACCCAACTGGAAGAACTAATCCATTTGGATGAGACCATCCCCTGGAATATTCGAAAGGCGTGTCTCCTAGCTTTCGCCACACTGATCCACAAATCGCACGTTTTCGTTGAAAGAATCCATAGGAATCTGGAGTACGATCACCACATCCCACACACCGACACTTTCAACCACCAACAACCATACGAGAAGTACGTGGTCGAGTACATCAACAAAATCCGGTCTTCGCAGGACCATAAAGTTCGCATTGCTTACACTTTCGCTCTTTGTAATATGAGGCTCCATAGTATCGTCCAGCATATGGCTCCAGCAGTAAGTGGGGATTGGTTCGGAGACTACCATTTCCGCGTCATGAGTCTCTGGAGTGTGGGTTCGGTTGCTATCGTCGACCCAAATCCCAACACCGTCATTGAAGCCTTGTGGCCGGTCTTTATCGACACCAACGAGATCACTGAAATGAGAGCAATTGCTTTCTACTTGCTAATGCAGAGTAAATTGAGTCACTCCATGGTGATGAACTTGTACGAACACTTGTTGGAAGAACGGAACGAAGAAATGTACCGGTTGGTGTACACGTACTTGGAAAACGTGATGACCGCGAATAATCCTTGCTACCAGGAAATGAAGATCCACGCGAGTCATTTGATCCAGTTGCTACCACCTCCAAGTCACGGAAACTCTTTTAGTAAAATTTACGACTACAAGGACGTCCGGTTTGGGTACGGTACAGGTATGGAGGAATATTTTGTCAGTGGTAACCATGCACTCATCTACGCTCTTAAGATGACCTCGCAACAATATAACATCCAACACGAGGACTACGACGTCTATTTTAAAGTGCACGGGATACAGAACCACGGAGAACCCATGGACATGGTTCTTGAGGTACTTCGAAAGAAAACGAAGAGTTTTTCGGGTAATAAAGACATAAATATCGAGTGTGTGATATTTAGGCACGGGCATGCAATTAACACCTATTTCTTCAACCACGACAATTTGCACGAGTTAGACGAGTTGCTGGATTTCTTCACCAAGGATTCCAAGTCGGTTACCAGAACTTTGGCTCACCTGTCATACAACGAGTACCTCAAAGCCGTGATTCCGACAGATCTGGGTATCCCAGTCGTCTGGGAATACCTAATGCCGGCTCTCCACCACAACAACATCACCATAACTAAAGAAACAGTTAACAAAGTGATCAATATTCATCTTGATTACAAATACATCAACTGGATGCACTTCAGACACGGTTTGACTTTCTACAATCCGATTGCCGACGTCTGGCAAGGCATCAACAGATACCAGTCTTTCGACGCAGTCTTACCCATCCATCTCGATGTGACCATCAACACCCAACAACAAAGTTTACAACTGTCGTGGAAGAAACACAGCAACCTTCAACAAAACGTGGCTGGGTTTAGAACCCATGTTAAACAAATGGTTTTCGTGAAAGACGACTACAATCGAAACATCATGCTCCAGTCTAGTCCACAGTGCAAAGACTTTGTGATCGTCACTCACGGTAAACAGTTCAGACACGAGGTAAGTTTCAACACAAGTTCTTCCATCGGTAAGTAACGCATCTGTTCCAGTACATCTTCCAACAAGACGACGACTTGACCACAGGCCACCAGTGGTACCTGACATTCTACGACAGCTCTCGCTACGTTTCCAACGGTACTTTCCATCATGTCCTCGACCTTATGTCGCAGTCGCATCCTCACCATACCGAATCACCCTTGATTCACTTCCTCAAATCCTGCGCCAACTTCCACCAGCACATTATCCTTCTCCCGAAACCTGGGGTTTATGGGTTCATGGGAAGACTCGAACCGAGCCACCACCACGCCGTGAGCAACATCGACCTCTCTCTTCGCTTACACTCCGAACCCACAACCGAAGACTCCCACTATTACACTCCTAAAACAAAATGGAGCACTCGAGCCACCTACTCCGTCAAAAACCAAGAAAAGAGCTTGAAAACGTGGGACATCAACACCATCGTCGACATGAACCCCGGTCATACCATCAACAATCTAAAAATGCATATAACTCGTATCGTTCCCGGTCAAAAGGACTACAAGATATGCGTCGATGGAGTGAAGAAATGGACACAGAAGGGTGTTGAAGGGCACTTGAACGTTGGTATGAGTCAAACCTCGGACGGTAAATGTGTCAAGGACGATACAGTGATTGACGTGACGATGACCGGTCGTCAATCTCAAGAACAATTAGAGGGTCACCACAAGTACGCCTCTTGCGAACACATAAGTCCTTACTCGCTGCAACACAAGCATAGTCTGCAGTGTCTGGCTGGCCACACTACCGCCAGACACTACGTCTACAACGTGAAAACCACAAATGTCCCTACGGAGTTCAGGAAGTGGTTCGTGCACTTGTGGGACACCATCAAAGGGTACTACATGCCGTACTACGTCTTCGAAGACGAACACAACGAGAACATCGGAGATCATAACCTGAGAGTGGACGTGGTCTATCCGATGCAAGAACAAGAAATGAACATTCGAATGACCAGTCCTCAGCACGTGTATAAGTTGATAGGAGTACCGACGCACTACTGGAAATGGTGTGGGCTTTCTCCCGACTCGATGGAGTATTCGGATGGGTTCCAGCTCGCCCATGACCTCGGATTCGTGGATCATTGTCAGGTGGAATTGACCCACTACCACGCCAACCACCACCAAGTCCAAGAACCAGTTCCGACGGAATGGACTCTGTACGTCGGAAACGTGGCTCAAAATCCACAGAAGGCCGTCTATGTCAAACGTGTGGCAAACGACGAACTAGTAAGTGTCCACATTTTGACAAAATTATTGACTGTTGATATTATTGTTTCAGGCTGTGAAAATAGTCGACCATGGGCATATTGTCGAAATTGTGCCGCATGGTGCCAACCACCAGATTACTCTAGACGGTCAAGTCGTACCCATCACCGAGTACCACCACGAGGACTGGGTGTTCTGTCACGTATTTACGCAAGATTCGCATCAACCAGTTGCCGTGATGCTCCCGAACAGTGGAATTCACGTAGAGTACCATCACCACCAGGTAGTGGCGGTGGTACCGAAAGTGGATCAGCAGCTGCACGGACGTTGTTATAGTCACTAGAGAATACTGATTGTTAAGAAGCTCAGCATGTACAAGGACGTCGCAAAGTAGATTAATAAAGCAATTTTTCGTAAAACTCGTTCTTTGTCTTTATTTTGGGATGGTCTCTTATCTCATTAGTCGTTATCATTAGAGAGTGCAGCTAAATTACCCCCCTTTAGTATGAAACCTTTATAGATCCTATCTTGTAAGTAGCAATTGGCGCAAATATTTCATTATATTTTAATTGGTGCCTCTCAAATCTTGATGCATTTCGATGTCATGAAACAATAAGTTAAAATATTTCTGTATTAGTCACTTATCAACACTACCTAAACCTTATCAGAAAATCTATAAACGATTCGAAGATTTCGTTATCTCAAAGAGATAGCGAATATTTCACAAAAGCTAGTGAGATAATCGCCCTCCACCAGTACAGTAATCAGTTTGCGACAAATCAAGAAAAATCAATATGTGCAGCTGAACTTAGAACAACCGAAAATGTCGAAAACTAGTGGTCTCGTTGTGGTAAACTATACCAAAACTGTGAAAACTTTAAATTAGCGGTACCTTTTCCAGGGGGACTACATCTGGGTCCAACCCGTAACAACCGGAGACTTCGATATACTAATAGGTGGTAAAATAACAAGCATCGAAGAACGCAGAATACGCGTCAAAGATGACGACGGTAACGAAATCTCCATCTCGCACCAGCAGGTGGTCAAGAATATGCACGTCACGTCCGTGGAAGGAGTCGAAGACATGATCAACCTAGGGGACTTACAGGACTACGCAATCCTTCGAAATTTGCACAAGAGATACCGAAACAAGGACATTTACGTGAGTACGCAATCGTATTCGATTACTCAACTCAAGTATGTGGAATATTCTAGACCTACATCGGCTCGATGTTGGTGGCCATCAACCCCTACGAGCTCCTTCCCATCTACACCAACGCCCTCATCAACGAATACAGAAACAAAAAATTCAACGAGCTGCCTCCTCATATCTTCGCCATAGGAGATAACAGCTACATGAATATGAAAACCAGTCGAAAAGACCAGTGCGTCGTCATCAGGTACTTTATCTTATCTCAAGTACTTTAGCTATGTGGTTTTGTAATTACTTGATTGATTGCTGTAATGACATTGTTTCGTAGCGGAGAATCGGGAGCTGGAAAAACCGAAAGCACCAAATTGATCCTGCAGTACTTGGCGTCGACGAGCGGCCAGCACTCATGGATCGAACAACAAATCCTGGAAGCCAATCCCATCATGGAGGCTTTCGGGAACGCAAAGACCGTCCGCAACGACAACTCGTCGCGTTTCGGCAAATACATTGACATTCATTTTAACAGGAACGGTAGCATCGAGGGTGCCAGGATCGAGCAGTACCTCCTCGAGAAAAGTCGAATCGTGTCGCAGAATGACGGCGAACGCAACTACCACATTTTTTACAGCATGATAGCTGGATTGTCGAAGGAGGAGAAGAAGCGGTTCGACTTGACAGAACCAGACCATTACACCTACCTCCGAGGAGGAAGAACTCTGACTTGTCAAGGCCGGAACGAAGTAAACGAGTTTTCTGATATCAAAGGTGCGATGAAAGTTTTGAATTTCACCGACAAAGAAGCCAGCGATATTTTCCAGTTGTTGGCGGCGATTTTACACTTGGGGAATTTGAGTTTTAAACCAGGGACGGCTTCCAACACAGAATCGTCCGATGTACAAGACCCGGCAGCCGCCGATAGAATCGCACGGTTGCTCGGTACTAACAAAATCGATCTGAGCGAAGCCCTAACCAAAAAAACCATTTTCGCACACGGCGATAAAGTAGTTTCTTCGCTTTCGAAAGAACAAGCATCTGAATCCAGACACGCCTTCGTCAAAGGCATCTACGGGAAGCTATTTATTTCCATAATTGAGAAGATCAACGAGGCTATTTATCAACCAAAAGGGACCGCCAAAACTTCCATAGGCGTCTTGGACATCTTCGGTTTTGAAAACTTCACCGTCAACAGTTTCGAACAGCTATGCATCAACTACGCCAACGAGAATTTGCAGCAGTTCTTCGTCCAACACATCTTCAAACTAGAGCAAGACTACTACCAAAAAGAAGGCATCAACTGGAAGAACATAGCCTTCGTCGACAATCAAGACGTCCTAGACTTGATCGGCATGAAATCCATGAACCTGATGTCCCTAATCGATGAAGAGTCCAAGTTCCCGAAAGGCACGGACTTTACGATGTTGGCTAAGCTGCACAACACCCACACGACTAACAAGAACTACCTGAAGCCAAGATCTGACGTAACGCCGGCCTTCGGGGTCCAACATTTCGCAGGTCCCGTCTTTTACGACGTTCCAAGTTTCCTGGAGAAGAACCGCGACTCGTTCAGTCAAGACTTGAAACAGCTGATTCAAGATTCCGACAACGATCTTTTGAAGAAAGTCTTCACGGCGGACTTTCAACAAGAAACGACGACAAAGAGAATGGTGACTTTGTCTTCGCAATTCCGGACGTCGCTGGACGTCCTCATGAAAACGCTAAACACGTGTCAACCCTTCTTCGTACGATGCATCAAACCAAACGAAGAAAAGAAGGCTCTGATGTTCGATAGGACCCTCTGCTGCCGTCAATTACGTTATTCGGGGATGATGGAAACTGCCACGATCCGTCAAGCCGGGTACCCGATCCGATACTCGTACAAAGACTTCGTGGATAGGTTCAGGCACTTGGGTAAAGCTATCCCTCCGAGCTCCAAAGGCAACTGCAAAGAGTCGACGAAGAAGATTTGCGAAACCGCTTTCCAAAAGAACGAGGACTACCAGCTGGGGCACACCAAGCTCTTCCTCAAAGCGCCCGACCACGAGTACCTCGAACAAGAAAGAGGCAGAGTACTGTCCAAGTACATCTTGATTTTGCAGAAGGCCATCAGAGGGTGGATCTTCAAGCGACGCTACAAGAAGTTGCGGGAAGCTTCTATCGTTTTCCAGAAGCACTGGCGGGCTAGAGGTCACCGCACCAAGTACCTTACCATCAAGAACGGCTACCAGAGACTACAAGGGTCTATTAGATCAAGGGTGCTCACGCACTCCTTCGGGAAGATCCGCAAACACATTATCAAGCTGCAAGCAATTTCGAGAGGCTTCGTATCGAGAAATAAATCTCAGTTTGGTCAGATTTATGCCATCGTGAGACAGAGACGACTGGATGAAGAGAACATGAAGAATTCAGGAAATAAGAACTACCGAGCGGATGCTGAAGCCAAAATGCAGAAGCGTCTAGCTGAGTTGAATAGAGAGTACACGCTCAAGTTGAAGAAGCAGGAAGAAGAAGACATCAAAGCGCAATCGTTGGTTTCCAACGAATTTAGTTTCCTAGATCTGGAGTCACCCACAGAGATCAAACAAGGCCACGAAATGATTATGGTGAGTGCTTGAAGCTATGTATTATATTTCGAATAATAAAGTTTGTCGTGTCAGAGCAAGTTTTCGCTTGATTTCACCACACCCAAAACGAACAATTTGGGTTGGAAATCAAGACACGCAAAAATTGACGTGCTGCCGTTCGTCGTGTTAGGGCCAACTGCGCGTTTTGTCAACTTACTGCAATAACGAACCCTATCACGTAATCGGACTCGCGATAACGTCCTTAAATCGGAAATGTTTACCTTAATTATGTATATTTTTGCATATCCAGATAATGTCCCCGACCTGATTATTAATTCCAACGTGTTTGTCTTTTAACTTGGCGAGTAATCGAGTCCATCGGGTCGCTGACTACGAAAAAAGTGGTCTCCCGTTTTCATCTGTCTATCTGTCTGTCTGTCTGTCTGTCTGTCTATCTGTCGTCTATTCGCATTTTCATTAGACAGATAATCTCCCAAAGTACTGTTGTCAAATTTTATGTACATTGGGAATATTATCCCCACCAATAATAGAATGATGTCATCCCCAAAATGCTCCTGTACTTGTGGTTTATGAATCCGTGATGAGTTTTTACCCTACACATTCAGATTTTTGAAAACAAAACTCAAAATTGTAAAACAACATTTCGCAATTTAACTTTAAAACTTCAAAGCTATGAAATCTTGCAAATGTTTTAACGTTATCGAAACATGATAAATCGTTAATCAAAATGTTCTCGTAAAATGATGATGTCATTCTACAATTTTGCACAATATATTTCCTTAAATTGTATTTTTCACGTTTTATTTATGAATCCGCGTTGAGTTTTTACAATAGACATCCAGATTTTTGAGAACAAATGCAAACGTTGATTTTTCGACATCTCGATTTCCCGATTTTTCAGTTTATCAATTTTTCAATTTTTTAAATTTTTGGTTTTCCGATTTTTCTATGGCGTTTCTAAATTTTCGATTGTTCGATGTCTCGATTAATCGATTTTTCAACTTTTCTATTTCTAGATTTTTAGACTTTTAAATTTTTCGATTTTTTGATTTCCCTATTTCTCAGTTTTTGCAACTCTTCATTTCTTCGATTTTTCAGGTTTTTAATTTTTAAAATTTTCGTTTTTTCTTCACTTGACATTTTTCGATGTTGCAGTTTTAGATTTTTCAATATTTCGATTCTTAGATTTTTCTACTTTTGGTCCGATTTTTCAGTTTTTTCAATTTTTCATTTTTGAGGTTTTTCATTTTTAATTCGATTTTTCGAATTCACGAATTTTGAACTTTTCGATTTCTCGATTTTTCAACTGTTTAATACTTTATTTTTCGGTTTTTTAAATTCTAGATTTTTCGATTTCTCGATTTTTGTATTTCTCTACTTTTCCATTTTTGACGTTTCTAAATTTTCAATTTTTCTATTCCTTGATTAACCGATTCTTCTATTTTTCAACTTTTGGTACGAATTTTCTATTTTTTCAATTTTTCGATATTTTAAATTTTATATTTTTCAATTTTTAGATTTTTTAATGTTTTGATTTATAGATTTTCCAATTTACCGATTTTTCAGTTTTTTCAATTTTTCATTTTTTGAGGTATCTCATTTTTAAATTATTTAAATTTTTGGTTTTTCGATTTTTCGAATTCACGATTTTTCGACTTTTCGATTTCTGGATTTTTCAATTTTATTTTTCGATTTTTTAAATTTTAGATTTTTCGATTTCCCCATTTTTCTATTTCTCTACTTTTCCATTTTTGACGTTTCTAAATTTTTAATTTTTCGATTCCTTGATTAATCGATTCTTCGATTTTTCAACTTCTGGTCCGATTTTTCTATTTTTTCAATTTTTCGATTTTTTAATGTTTCGATTTATCGATTTTCCAATTCGATTTTTTAGGTTTTTGATTTTTTAACTTTTTTAATTTTCGGTTTTTCAATTTTTTTAATTGACGCTTATTTCAACTTTTCAATTTTTTGACGTTGCAGTTTTGGATTTTTTAATATTTCGATTCTTCAATTTTTTGATCGTTCGACTTTTCGATTTTTCGATTTCTCGATTTCTTATTTTTTTCAATTTTTCGATTTTTAGATTTTAGATGTTTTAATTTTTCAATTTTTTGATTTTTTGATGTTTCAATTTCTCGATCTTTCAATTTTTCGATATTTTAATTTTTGTTTAATTCCAGATTTTTCGATTTCTCAAATTTTCTGTCCCAATTTCTATTTTTAAGTTTTAGATTTTTCAATTTTTTCATTCCTCGATTTTTCGATTTTTCGGTTGTTCAGTTTTTCTATTTCTCAATTTATTGAGATTCAGTATCTCGATTTTTGGATGTTTCAATTTTTCGATTTTTTGATTTATCTTTTTTTTAATCTTCAATTTTTCAGTTTTTAACATTTAGATTTTTCGATTTTGCGCTGTTTCGATATCCCAATTTTTCAATTTTCGGCTTCTCGACTTTTCGATTCCTTGATCTTTTGATGTACCGTTTTTCGATGTTGCGTTTTTTAATTTTTCGATGTTTTGGTTTTTCGATTTTTTGATCTTTCGACTTGTCAATTTTTTGTATTCTGAATTTTTCATCGTTTCAATTTTGGAATTTTTTAATTTCTCTATAATTTTTCAGTTTTTTTTTTTCTTCATTCTTCCGATTTTTCGATTTTTCTTTACCGATTTTTAGAATTTTCAGCTTTCCGAATTTTAAATTTTAGATTTTTCAATTTTTCGGTTTTTTGATGTTTCGATTTCTCAATTTCACGATTTTTGAATATATCTATTCTTCGATATTTCTATTTTTGGATTTTTCGATTTTTTTATTCAATTTCTTGATATCTCGAATTTTCGATTTTTAAAGTTCATCGATTTTTCTATTTTTCAATTTTTGGCGTTTCTAAATATTCGATTGTTCGATTTCCCGATTAATCGATTTTCCGACTTTTAAATTTTTCGATTACCCTATTCTCCAGTCTTTACAGCTCTACAGTTTGTCAATTTTTCAGGTTTTTGACTTTTTAATTTTTTAAATTTTCGGTTTTTCAATTTTTTGACTTCATGATTTTCAAACTTTTCGATTTGTACATTTTTCAATTTTTCGATGTTGTAGTTTTGAATTTTTTAATTATTAAGTATTTCGATTCTTCAGTTTTTGTTGATTTTTCGATTTCTCGATTTCTTATTTTTTCAATTTTTCGATTTTTAAATTTTAGATTTTCCAGTTTTTCAATTTGTTAATTTTTTGTTGCTTTTATTTCTCGATCTTTCAATTTTTCGATATTTTTAATTTTTTTACTTCCCGAGCGTAAGCAAAGGAAATATTTTAAATATTAGATTTTTCAATTTCTTAATTTTTCTGTTCCAGTTTCTATTTTTAAATTTTAGATTTTTGAGTTTTTTGATTTTTTAATTTTTAAAATTTTCGGTTTTTCAATTTTCGGGTTTTTAAAATTCTTGATTTTTTGACTTTTCAATTTTTTTAGTTCTCGATTTATCAAGATTCAACATCTTCATTTTCTCGATGTTTCAATTTTTCGATTTTTTAATTTATCTTTTTTTATTTTATATACTTCAATTTTTCAATTTTTAACTTTTACATATTTCGGTTTTGCGCTGTTTCGATATCTCAATTTTTCGATTTTTCGGCTTTTCGACTTTTCGATTTCTGGATGTTTTGATATTTCGTTTCTCGATGTTGCCGTTTTTTAATTTTTCGCTACTTCGGTTTTTCGATGTTTCGACTTTTCAATTTTTTGATTTCCCAATTTTTCGTCATTTCAGTTTTGGAATTTTTTAATTTCGCAATTTTTCAGTTTTTTTTTCTTCAATTTTCGGATTTTTGAATTTTTCTTTTAAAATTTTGTATTTTTCGATTTTTAGACTTTTCGGCTTCCCGATTTTTAAATTCTAGGTTTTAGTTTTCTATTTTTGGATATTACAATTTTTTTATTCGATTCCTTGACATCTCGGATTTTCGATTTATAAGGTTTCTCACCGTTTCAATTTTGCGTTTTCCCAATTTTTCAACATTTTTGAGAATCTTCAATTTCTGGATTTTTCAATTTTTCGATTGTTCGATATCTCGATTTTTCCATTTATGGATGTTCCTATGCTTCAATTTTTTAGTTTTTCGATTTTCGGAAAGCATTTTCTGTCGAACTAACCTTCGACCAATGTTTTCAACTCGTTGTTTTTATTTTACACAAATCGTGGTTGGCAACAATGTGAAATGTCAAAAAACCATCATTATTTGAAAATTTTCTTCTACTTTTCGATTTTTTAGTTTTTCAATTTTTCGATTTTTCAAATTTTACATTTTTCAATTTTTCAGGTTTTTCATTTTCCATTTTTTTTAATTTTCCGTTTTTTCGTTTTTTCAAATTGACGATTTTTCGACTTTTCAATGTATCTATTTTTTAATTGTTTGATATTTTACTTTGCAGTTTATTGAATTTTGGATTTTTCAATTTCTCAATTTTTCATTTCTTCTATTTCTCTATTTTTCAATTTTTGGCGTTTGTAAATTTTCGGTTGTTCGATTTCTCGATTAATCGATTTTTCAACTTTTTTATTTCTCGATTTTTCGACTTTTTGATTTTCCCATTTCTCGATATTTGGACTTCTCAATTTCCTATTTTTCACTTTTTGCAACTCTTCAGATTTTCGATTTTTTCAGGTTTTTGATTTTTTAATTTTTTAAATTTTCGGTTTTTCAACTTGTCGATTTCTATATTTTCCAATTTTTCGAGATTGCAGTTTTGGGGTTTTTTAATATTTCGATTCTTCAATTGCTCAATTATTCATTCGATTTTTCAACTTTTTACTTTTTCAATTTTTTGATATTTTAATTTTTTGGTTTCTTAGATTTTAGACTTTTCAGATTTTCAGTTGTTCGATTTTTTAAATTTTCGATTTTCTATTTTTCAATTTTTGACGTTTCTAAATATTCGATTGTTCGATTTCCCGATTAATAAATTTTCCGACTTTTAAATTTTTCGATTTTTTGACTTCTCGATTACCCTATTTTCCAGTTTTTACTTTTTACAACTCTTCAGTTTTTCAATTTTTCAGGTTATTGACTTTTTGATTTTTTAAATTTTCGGTTTTTCAATTTTTTGACTTGATTTTCCAACTTTTCGATTTGCAGTTTTGAATTTTTTAATTATTAAATATTTCGATTCTTCAGTTTTTGTTGATTTTTCGATTTTTCGATTTCTCGATTTCTTACTTTTTCAATTTTTCGATTTTTAAATTTTAGATTTTTGAGTTTTTTTAATTTATCTATTTTTTTTATTTTAAATTCTTAATTTTTTCAATTTTTAACTTTTACATATTTCGGTTTTGCGCTGTTTCGATATCTCAATTTTTCGATTTTTCGGCTTCTCGAACTTTCGATTTCTCGATCTTTTGATGTTTCGTTTCTCGATGTTGCAATTTTTTAATTTTTCGCTATTTCGGTTTTTCGATGTTTCGACTTTTCAATTTTTTGATTTCCCAATTTTTCGTCATTTCAGTTTTGGAATTTTTTAATTTCTCAATTTTTCAGTTTTTTTTCTTCAACTTTCCGATTTTTTAATTTTTCTTTAAAAATGTTTGTATTTTTCGTTTGTTAGACTTTTCGGCATTCCGATTTTTAAATTTTAGGTTTTAGTTTTCAATTTTTCGATATTACGATTTTAACTCGATTTCTTGACATCTGGGATTTTCGATTTATAAAAGTTTCTCGACGTTTCGATTCACTGACTTCTTTTTCATTTCGTTGTTTTTATTTTACACAAATCGTAGTTGGCAACAATGTGAAATGTCAAAAAGCCGTCATTATTTTTGAAAATTTTCTTCGACTTTTCGATTTTTTACTTTTTCAATTTTTCGATTTTTTAAATTTTATAATTTTCAATTTTTCAAGTCTTTCATTTTTCATTTTTTTTAATTTTCCCTTTTTTCGTTTTTTCAAATTGACGATTTTTCGACTTTTCTATTTCTCGATTTTTTAATTGTTCTATTTCTCTATTTTTCAATTTTGGCGTTTCTAAATTTTCAATTTTTCGATTTCTTGGTTAATCGATTTTTGATTTTTCCACTATTAATGTTTTCGGTTTTTTCCTGTGCTCTATTTTTCGGCTTCTCGATTTCCCGATTTTTCAATTTTTCATTGTTTTTGTTTTCATTCGATTTTTCGACTTTTTCCTTTTTCAATTTTTTGATATTTTAATTTTTTGGTTTCTTAGATTTTACATTTTTCGATTTCTCAATTTTTCAATTCCTCGATTTTTCTTTTTCCAATTTTGCAAATTTTTAATTTTAGATTTTTGAATGTTTTGATTTTTTTATTTTCCAATTTTTCGCTTTTAGATATAGTTTTTGGAATATATATACAGGGTAACTCAAAACAAAAAATTGGTCTAAAGAGCTTAGACAGTACTTCCCTCGCTGTCGGAAACGTGACGACTGCATGCCTATTATGTTTTTTTTTTCGCAGTGGGTTTCAAAGAATTCGGTTTTGTAGTTCCTGAGTAAATCAATAAAATAAATTTACGCATTCATTAATTTTTTTGAGTCACCCTGTATATGCAAATCCAAAAAATATGAATGGAGTGATAAATTACAAGTACAGACTCATCATATTTTTACAGTTTAGATAGGATTTATTCGGCAAACTTTCGAGCTGACGTCATCAATTTTTTGGAGGGGATAAGCAAATATATTTTGACTAAACATTTATTATGTTCTTTACTTCTTTATAACCTTAAAACATCTGCAAGATTTCAAAGCATTCAGTTTTGTAGTTTCTGAGTAAATCAGTAAAATAAATTTACGCATTCATTAATTTTTTTGAGTCACCCTGTATATGCAAATCCAAAAAATATGAATGGAGTGATAGATCACAAGTACAGACTCATCATATTTTGTACATTTTAGATATAATTTATTCCACAAACTTTTGAGCTGACGTCATCAAGTTTTTGGAGGGGATAAGCAAATATTTTTTGACTAAAGATTTATGATGCTCTTTATAGCCTTAAAACATCTGCAACATTTCAAAGCATTCTGGTTAGCAGATTAAAAATTAAATTTCAAAATGTTGTTTTATAATTTTGATTTTTTTTCCAAAAATCTGGACGTTTCGGGTGAAAAGTCGATTCATAGTTGTAAACTACATGTATAGGACTATGTTATTTTATACAATTGAAAACCCATTTACTATGTACAATTTTGAAGTGACGTCATCGCCTTAGTGGTGGGGATGATTAGACAAATTTTGGTTAGCGTTTTACCATCTACATGATATTCTTAATATAAGTACAAAATTTCACAACAATCGGTCGAGTACTTTCGGAGATTATCTGTCTAATAAAAATCCGGGACAACAGACGGACAGACGGACAGACGGACAGACGGACGGACAGACGGACGGACAGACGGACAGACAGACGGAAATGGGAGACCTATTTCTTCGTCTTCTAGGGGTCATGAAAGATCGAGAAAACGTAAAAGTAGAGAGTCGGCCGACGGACTCGATTACAATACTTCCTTTGCTTACGCTCGGGAAGTAAAAATGAGACAATTTTGTATTAATCTTGTTGCTTTCTTCTCCAGAAAATAATGGACCCCTCCAAGAAACCCAGCGACCAGTTCCAGGACGACGGCGAAGACTTTTCGGCTTACAACTTCGCCAAATTCGCCGCCACCTACTTCATCAAGAACACGAACCACCAATACTCCAAACGCCCACTCAAAGAATCTTTGCTGGACCTACCGACTCCAGACGACATCATAGCGGCCCAAGCCCTCTGGATCACCATCCTGCGTTTCATGGGAGACTTACCAGAACCGCGCTTCGAAAACTCCACCAAGAGCAACGAGTCCGTAATGGTGCAAATTACCAACACCCTGAATCGAAGCTTCACGAACCGCAAAGAGTACCAAGACATAATCAAAGAGGAGAAAAAAATGGCGAGTATGTCCAAAGCCGACAAGAAAAAGTTGGTCAATATGACGTTAAGACGCAAGACCAAGCTGTTGGAAGATGTGAGAAGAGGACTAGTCGAGGACAATTACGCCTCCCAGTACTACTCGGAGTGGCTGAACCACCGCAGAACCACCAATCTGGAGAAGTTGCACTTTATTATCAGTCATGGTATTTTGAGACCGGAGCTGCGGTAAGTTCATTACACTACACTACACTGTCTTGGTACCAATAGGAACGATTATTTTTTTTAGTGACGAGATCCTGTGCCAAATCTGCAAACAACTCAGTAATAACCCGACTAAAGCATCACACGCCCGTGGTTGGATTCTCCTGTCTTTGTGCATCGGGTGCTTCCCTCCGTCCGACAAATTCCTTAACTATCTTCGGGCTTTCATCAGGAGCGGTCCTCCAGGGTATGCCCCATATTGCGAAGGTCGTCTGAACCGTACCTTCAAAAACGGCGCCCGCACCCAACCACCATGTTGGTTGGAATTGATAGCCACCAGAAACAAAAATCCGATAACCCTCGACGTGATGTTCATGGATAACTCGGTCCAGAAAGTGGAGGTGGATTCGGCGTCTACGTCCGAAGAAATTTGTAAAGAGATCGCCACCAAGCGCAACCTGAAGGACGTCTTCGGGTTCTCGCTGTTCATCACGTTGTTCGACAAGGTCATGTCTTTGGGGAGCGACTCGGACCACGTCATGGACGCCATATCCCAGTGCGAACAGTATGCTAAAGAGAAGGGTCAGTCGGAACGGAACGCCCCGTGGAGGTTGTTCTTCAGGAAGGAGATCTTCACTCCTTGGCACAACCCTGCGGAAGATGCGGTGGCTACTAATTTGATCTACCATCAAGTCATCCGAGGTACTACTCTTCCGTGTCTGTTTTAGTATTCATTGTCAATTTTTAGGTTTGAAATTCGGGGAGTACCGCTGCAACGTCGAACTAGACGTGGCTTCCTTGATCGCTACCCAGTACTACGTGGACCACGGCGCAGAAATGAAACCCGAAGTTCTCCACACCCGCATAGGAGAATACATGCCGACGTACCTCGTCAAGAAAGGTCAAGGCAACCTATCCGTTTGGGAAAAACAAATCAAAGACGCCTTCCCGAAACTACTCTGCGTCCGAAACAAACTCGCCCCCATCAAAGCTCAAGAGTTCATCGTCAAGTACGCCAAAAACACTTGGCCCATTCTCTTCTCCAAATTCTACGAAGCCATCCAAACCGGAGGTCCCGACCTTCCCACTAAAAACATGATCATCGCTATCAACTGGACCGGTATTTTCATGATCGACGACCAGGAGCAGATCCTCCTCGAACTGACCTTCTCGGACGTGAGCCAAGTGAGTTTCGAGCGACTTCCATACAGTCCTCTGCACAAGTTTTCACTAACCACGGTCCGAAACGAAGAATATACGTTCTTGAGTCCGGACGCCGAAAGCATGTGCACCCTCATCCAGTACCTCCTCGACGGTTTGAAGAAGCGTTCGTTGTACGTGGTGGCCCTCCAGGACTACAAACACGAAACCAACGCGCCTTCGTTCCTTAGTTTCCGCAAAGGCGACTTGATCACGCTGAAGAACGGTCTGAACGGAGAGGCGTTGATGTCTGCAACGTGGGGCTACGGAGAGTGTAACACTGCTGTGGGAGATTTCCCAACCGAGCACGTCTACATCCTTCCTGCTATTACCGAACCACCTGCTGATATTCTCGTAGCTTTCAAGAAAGAGGGGGTAGTTGGGGCGAAAAAACCGACGGCACCGGTGTTGACGACGATGCAGAGGATGAAATTGTATACTTTGGCGCACTATGCGGACGAGCACTTCCGCATGGGGAAAAAACTTGCGGCCAACAAGCCTTCGGTCATCACCGCTGCGAGAAGAGCATCTCGTGAGGAGTTGTGGAAGTACACGAACGAACCAATCTACCAACCACACTTGCAGAAGTTGCTGTCGAACGAAGAGTTGAGTAAGGAAGCGTGTTCGGCCTTCACCGCCATACTCAAATACATGGGTGACCTCCCGGCACCCAAAGCCAAGTTCAGTAACGAATACACCGACCAGATTTTCGCAGAAGCTTTGAAACACGACATGCTCAAAGACGAGATCTACGTCCAGATTATGCGCCAGCTGACGTTCAATAGGTTGCTACTAAGCGAAGAGAAAGGTTGGGAGTTGATGTACCTAGCAACCGGGCTTTTCATACCAAGCGCGTCGCTCATGACTGAACTGCAGAAATTTTTAACCTCACGAACACACCCCTTCGTCGAACCTTGCTTGAAGCGCCTCCAAAGAAGCCAGAAAGTCGGTCCTAGAAAATACCCGCCGTATTCCGTCGAAGTCGAAGCCATCCAACACCGCAGCATGGAGATCTACCACAAGATTTACTTCCCAGATGACACCGACGAAGCGTTCGAGGTGGACTCAGTCACCCGAGCGTCCGATCTATGCAAAACCATCTCCTCCAGGTTGGAACTCGAGAGTACCGACGGTTTTAGTCTCTTCGTCATGATTTCCGACAAGGTTTTCTCCATTCCCGAAAACTACTTCTTCTATGACTTCCTCCACGAACTCATTGACTGGATGCGCAAGAGCAAACCCAGCTGGAACAGTAAGTTGGTACGACTGGTGGACACTAAGTGACGAGGTTTTTGCAGGTGCTGCCCCCATCCAAGCTCAGTACCAAGTCTTCTTCATGAAGAAACTCTGGATCAACGCGATTCCGGGCAAGGACCACAACGCCGACCAAATTTTCCATTTCCACCAGGAGCTGCCCAAGTACCTTCGAGGCTTCCACAGGTGCACCAAGCACCACGCGTTGAAACTGGCGGCGCTGATTTTGCACGCTCGTTGTGATAACGACTTCCAGCAGGTTCAGACTGCCGTCCAGTACGTGAAGGACTTGATTCCTGCAGATTTGGTCAAAGCCGCGAGCTCGTCCGAGTGGAAGAAGAGCATCTTGAACGAATACAAGAAGTCTGGTAATATGAGTGTCGAGGAGGCTAAGTTGGAGTTCTTGAAGATCATCTACGAGTGGCCTACTTTCGGGTCTACTTTCTTTGAGGTTAAGCAGACGACTGAGCCGACGTACCCGGATATTATTCTGATCGGGATTAATAAGAAAGGGGTTAATGTTCTGCATCCGCAGACGAAGGTATGTTTGGTGTTGGGTGTGTAGCCCAGTGGTTGATTTTTTTGTTGTAGGATGTACTAGCGACTCATGACTTTTCCGAGTTGAGTAATTGGTCATCGGGAAACACGTTCTTCCATCTGACTATTGGGAATATAATGAGGAAGACGAAGTTGTTGTGCGAAACGTCGCAAGGGTACAAGATGGACGATTTGATTACTTCTTATACGGATTATATTAGGAATAGTGTTAAGAAGGAAAAGGAAAAGGATAAATTTGTTCTGTAAAAAGAGCAGATAGGCAGGTGATGATGTTGCTGTGAAGTATTTATTGGGTAGGAAATTTTAATGAAAGTATTGTAGAAATGTATAAATTTAATAAAAATTTTCAAGTAATGTTGGTATATTGACTTTTTACATTGTTGCCAACCGCGATTTGTGTAAAATAAAAACGAGACGAAAAAATAATACTCCCCCAAATTCCAGGGGGACGTGGTCCGTACAAGTGCCAACAATATTAAATGTAATTAAGGCAGAAAACCAACAGAAAATATGTTTTTTGGAAAAATCGAAAAACTGAAAATTCGAACAATCAAAAAAGTGAAAAATCCAGAAACTGAAAAATTCTTAAAACTGAATGTTAAAAACTTGAGAAATCGAAAACTTGAAAAATCGAGAAATCTAAAAATCAAAAATTCAAAAAATATTTAATCGAAAAACCGAGATGTCACGAAATCGAATCAAAAAATCGTAAAACTGAAAAATTAAAAAACAGAAATATCGAAAAATTGAAAAATCGAAAAATCGAAAAGTCGAAAAGATTTTAAAATCGAAAAACCGACATGTCAAGAAAGTGAATCAAAAATCGTAAAATTCAAAAATTGAAAAACAAAAATATCGAAGAATTGAAAGATCTAAAAATCGAAAAGTCGAAAAATTTTTTAAATCGAAAAACCGAGATGTCAGGAAATGGAATCAAAAAATCGTAAAACTGAAAAATTAGAAAACAAAGATATCGTAAAAGTGAAATATTGTAAAACAAGAATTGAAATTTCTAAAAATCGAAAAGATGAAAAATTTTTTAAATCGAAAAACTGAGATGTCGAGAAATCGAATCAAAAAATCCTAAAATTGAAAAATTGAAAAACAAAAATATCGAAGAATTGAAAAATCTAAAAATCGAAAAGTCGAAAACTTTTTTAAATCGAAAAACCGAGATGTCAAGAAATCGAATCAAAAAATCGTAAAACTGAAAAATTAAAAAACAAAAATATCGTAAAACTGAAAAATTGTAAAACAAGAATTGAAAAATTTAAAAATCGAAAAGTCGAAAAATTTTTAAAATCGAATTAAAAAATCGTAAAATTGAAAAAATTGAAAAACAAAAATACCGTAGAATTAAAAAATCTAAATATCGAAAAGTCGAAAAATTTTAAAATCGAAAAACCGAGATGTCGAGAAAACGAATCAAAAAATCTTAAAATTGAAAAATTGAAAAACAAAAATACCGTAGAATTGAAAATTTTTTAAGATCGTAAAACCTAGATGTCAAGAAATCGAATCAAAAAATCGTAAAACTGAAAAATTGAAAAACAAAAATATCGAAAAATTGAAAAATCGAAAAATCGAAAAATCGAAAAATTTTATAAATCGAAAATTCGAGATCTCAACATATGGATTCAAAAAACCGTAAAACTAGAAATTTAAAAAACAGATATCGAAAAATTGAAAAATCGAAAAATCGAGAAATCGAGAAACCGAGAATAGTTTAAATAAATAAATAAATAAATAAATAAATAAATAGTTTATTGATCGAAACATCAAAAAACCCAAACACTGAAAAATCTAAAATTAAAATTGGAAAGCCGAAAAGTCTAAAAATCGAAAAAGCAGGAAATCAAAAAATTGAAAACTTTAAAAATGGAAAAATTGACGAATCGAAAAACTGAAAATAAAATAAATAAATAAAAGTCAAAAAATAGAAAAACCGAGAAGTGGAAAAACCGAAACATAGAAAAATTTAAAAACTGCAAAATCGAAAAAATAAACATCGAAAGACCGACAAATCGAGAAATTGAAAAATCGAGAAATAGGAATTGCCCAAAATCGAAAAATCTAAAAGTTAAAAATTGACCGAAAATCAAAAACATCGAAACATCGAATCTCAATGAATCGAGAAATCGTATATTTGAAAAATCGAAAAATCGATTATTTTAAAAATCCGAAAAATCCAAAGATTGAGGAATGAGAAAACTGAAAAATCTAAAATTTTAAAATAGAAATATGCAAGTGTAAAATTGAGAAATCGAAATATCTAATATTTTAAGAAATTCAAATATCGATAAATTGAAAAGTTGAAAAATCGAAAAAGTAAAAAATCGAGAAATGGAAAAACGGAAAGTAGAAAAATCGAAAAATTGAAAAATCCCAAAACTGAAACCTCAGTAAAATGAGCAATCGAAAAATTGAAAAATCGAAAATTCAAAAAATCGGAAAAACAAAAAACTTTAAAAATCGAAAAACCGAGATGGCACGAAATCGAATAAAAAACAGTAAAATCGAAAATTTGAAAAATCGAAAAATGTAAAATTTACAAAACTGAAAAATTAAAACATAAAATTCTCCGAAGAATCAAAAAATTGAAAGATCGAGAAATCGAAACATCAAAAAATCGAAAAGTTGAAAAACTTAAATTTCTGAAAAGTAAAAAGTCGAGAAATCGAAAAAACGAAAAGTCGAAAAATAGAAAAATTGAAGAATCGAAATTTTGAAAAATTTTGGAACTGAAATATCCAAAAAATCGAAGAAAAATTGAAGAATCGAAAAAGTGAAAAATTCCAAAACTGAAACATCAACAAAATGAAAAATCGAAAAATTGAAAAATCGAGAATTCAAAATATCGGAAAAACGTTGAAGATCGTGAAAGATCGTGAAAGATCGAAAAATGTAAAATTTAAAATATAAAAAAATTGAAAAATCAATAAACTGAAAAATCGAGAATCTAAAAATTCGAAAAAGCGAGACATCGAAAAATGCAAAATTTTAAAAATAGAAAAATTGAAAAATCGAAAAATTAAAGAATCAAAACACTGACAAACCGGGAAATTGAAACATTCCAAAACTGAAATGAAAAGCTAGGGAAGTCGAAAAATTGAAAATCCCAGAAATCGAAAACCCAAACATCGAAAAATTGGAAAACTGTAACATCGAGAAACGAAACATCAAAAAATCGAGAAAACGAAAAATTGAAAACTCTAAATAGCGCAAAATCGAAAAATATAAAAGTCAAAAATTTAAAAATTGAATAATTTAAAAAAATCGAAAAATCGAAAAATTGAAAAATCGAAAAAGTAAAAAATCTAGAAATGGAAAAACGAAGAAAGTCGAAAAATTGAAGAATCGAAATATTGAAAAATTCCAAAACTGAAATATCCAAAAATGAAAAATCGAAGAAGAATTATTGAAGAATCGAAAAAACGCGAAAAATCCCAAAACTGAACCATTAGTAAAATGAGAAATCGAGAAATTTAAGAATAGAAATATTGAAGAACTGTAAAATCAAGAAATCGAAAAATGGAAAATTTCCAAAATTGAAAAATTAAAATATCGAAAAAATTAAAAAATTGAAAGATAGAGAAATTGAAACATCAAAAAATTGAAAAATCTAACAAGTAAAAATCGAAAAAGTGAAATGAGAAATCGAAGAATTGAAAAATCAAGAAATAGAAAAGTCAAAAAATCCTAATTTCAAAAATCAAAAACTGAAAAATAAAAAAATCAAAAAATTAAAGAAACGAAAAACTGAAAAATCGTAAAATTATGAAAATTGAGAAATCGAAAAATAAAAATATCGATAAATCGAAAATTTGAAGAATCGAGAAATTGAAGAATCGACAGATTGAAAAATCCCAACAATAAAATATTGAAAAATTTAGTAATCGAAAATTGAAAATCGAGAAATCGAAAAGGCTAAAAACCAAAAGAACGATTAATCAAGAAATTGAGAAATCGAAATATTGAAAAATCGTAAAACTGAAATATCGGAAAACTGAGAAATCGAAAAATGATGAAGAACCGAGGAATTAAAGAAATGAAAAATTGAAAAATCCCAAGACTGAAATTTAGAAAAATTGACTAATCAAAATTTTGAGAAATCGAAAAATTTAAAAACTGAAAAATCGAATAACAGAAAAACCAAAAATTTAAAAATCGAAAATTCAAAAAACAAAAAGAAACGATTATTCGAAAAATTAGGAAATCGAAAATTTTCTATTTTTTTTAAATGACATTTCTAACGTCAAAAATAAAGAATCAAAAAATCGGGGGGTGGAAAATTAAAAGAATCGAAAAATCGAAACATCAAAAACTCGAAAAATTGAAAATTTGAAAATTCTAAAAATCTAAAAAATCGAAAAATTAAAAAATCGAAATATTGAAAAATCCCAAAACTGAAATATCCAAAAATGAAAAATCGAAGAAAAACTGAAGAATCGAAAAAGTAAAAAATCCCAAAACTGAAACTCAGCAAAATGAGCAATCGAAAAATGGAAAAGTCGAGAATTCAACAAATCAGAAAAACGTAAAACTTAAAAAAATAGAACTACTGAGATGTCAAGCTATCGAATAAAAAATCGGAAAATCGGAAAATGTAGAATTTAAAATATTAAAAAATTGAAAAATGTATCGACGACCAAGAGCAGATCCTCCTCGATCTGACCTTCTCGGACGTGAGCCTCGTCAGTTTCGAGCGACTTCCTTACAGTCCTTTGCACAAGTTTTCACTAACCACGGTCCGAAACGAAGAATACACGTTTTTGAGTCCGGACGCCGAAAGCATGTGCACCCTCATCCAGTACCTCCTCGACGGTTTGAAGAAGCGTTCGTTGTACGTGGTGGCCCTCCAGGACTACAAACACGAAACCAACGCGCCTTCGTTCCTCAGTTTCCGCAAAGGCGACTTGATCACGCTGAAGAACGGTCTGAACGGAGAGGCGTTGATGTCTGCAACGTGGGGCTACGGAGAGTGTAACACTGCTGTGGGAGATTTCCCGATCGAGCACGTCTACATCCTTCCTACTATTACCGAACCACCTGCTGATATTCTCGTAGCTTTCAAGAAAGAGGGAGTAGTTGGGGCGAAAAAAAAACCGACGGCACCGGTGTTGACGACGATGCAGAGGATGAAGTTGTACACTTTGGCGCACTATGCGGACGAGCACTTCCGCATGGGGAAGAAGCTTGCGGCCAACAAGCCCTCGGTCATCACCGCTGCGAGAAGAGCATCCCGTGAAGAGTTGTGGAAGTACACGAACGAACCGATCTACCAACCACACTTGCAGAAGTTGCTGACCAACGAAGAGTTGAGTAAAGAAGCGTGTTCGGCTTTCACCGCCATACTCAAATACATGGGTGACCTCCCGGCACCCAAAGCCAAGTTCAGTAACGAATACACCGACCAGATTTTCGCAGAAGCTTTGAAACACGACATGCTCAAAGACGAGATCTACGTCCAGATCATGCGCCAGCTGACGTTCAATAGGTTGCTACTAAGCGAAGAGAAAGGTTGGGAGTTGATGTACCTAGCAACCGGGCTTTTCATACCAAGCGCGTCGCTCATGACTGAACTGCAGAAATTCTTAACCTCACGAACACACCCCGTCGTCGAACCTTGCTTGAAGCGCCTTCAAAGAAGCCAGAAAGTCGGTCCTAGAAAATACCCGCCGTATTCCGTCGAAGTCGAAGCCATCCAACACCGCAGCATGGAAATCTACCACAAGATTTACTTCCCAGATGACACCGACGAAGCGTTTGAGGTGGACTCAGTCACCCGAGCGTCCGATCTATGCAAAACCATCTCCTCCAGGTTGGAACTCGAGAGTACCGACGGTTTTAGTCTCTTCGTCATGATTTCCGACAAGGTGTTCTCCATTCCCGAAAACTACTTCTTCTATGACTTCCTCCACGAACTCATTGACTGGATGCGCAAGAGCAAACCCAGCTGGAACAGTAAGTTCATCGTATGATTGGTGGACACAAAGTGACGAGGTTTTTGCAGGTGCTGCCCCCATCCAAGCTCAGTACCAAGTCTTCTTCATGAAGAAACTCTGGATCAACGCGATTCCGGGTAAAGACCACAACGCCGACCAAATCTTCCATTTCCACCAGGAGCTGCCCAAGTACCTTCGAGGCTTCCACAGGTGCACCAAGCACCACGCGTTGAAACTAGCGGCGCTGATTTTGCACGCTCGTTGTGATAACGATTTCCAGCAGGTTCAGACTGCCGTCCAGTACGTGAAGGACTTGATTCCTGCAAATTTGGTCAAAGCCGCGAGCTCGTCCGAGTGGAAGAAGAGCATCTTGAATGAGTACAAGAAGTCTGGTAATATGAGTGTCGAGGAAGCTAAGTTGGAGTTCTTGAAGATCATCTACGAGTGGCCTACTTTCGGGTCGACGTTCTTTGAGGTTAAGCAGACGACTGAGCCGACGTACCCGGATATTATTCTGATCGGGATTAATAAGAAAGGGGTTAATGTTCTGCATCCGCAGACGAAGGTATGTTTAGTGATGGATGTGTAGCGCAGTGGTTGATTTTTTGTTGTAGGATGTACTAGCGACTCATGACTTTTCCGAGTTGAGTAATTGGTCGTCGGGAAACACGTTCTTCCATCTGACTATTGGGAATATAATGAGGAAGACGAAGTTGTTGTGCGAAACGTCGCAAGGGTACAAGATGGACGATTTGATTACTTCTTATACGGATTATATTAGGAATAGTGTTAAGAAAGAAAAGGAAAAGGATAAATTTGTTCTGTAAAAAGAGCAGATAGGCAGGTGATGATGTTGCTGTGAAGTATTTATTGGGTAGGAAATTTTAATGAAGGTATTGTAGAAATGTATAAATTTAATAAAAATTTTCAAATAATGTTGGTATATTGACTTTTTACATTGTTGCCAACCGCGATTTGTGTAAAATAAAAACGAGATAAAAAAATTATACCCCCCAAATTCTACGAGGACGTGGTCCGTACAAGTGCCAACTATATGAAGTGTAAGTAAGGCAGAAAACCAACAGAAAAAATGTTTTTTAGAAATATCGAAAAACTGAAAATTCGAACAATCAAAAAAGTGAACAATCAAGAAACTGAAACTTTTAAAACTGAATGTTAAAAACTTGAGAAATCGAAAACTTGAAAAATCGAGAAATCTAAAAATTAAAAAGTCAAAAAATATTTAATCGAAAAATAAGAGATGTCACGAAATCAAATCAAAAAATCGTAAAATTAAAAAATTGAAAACCTAAAAATCGAAAAGTCGAAAATTTTTTTAAATCGAAAAACCGAAATGTCAAGAAATCGAATCAAAAAATCGTAAAACTGAAAAATTAAAAAACAAAAATATCGTAAAACTGAAAAATTGTAAAACAAGAATTGAAAAATCTAAAAATCGAAAAGTCGAAAAATTTTAAAAATCGAAAAACCGAGACAATCCAATCACAAAATCGTAAAATTGAAAAATTGAAAAACAAAAATACCGTAGAATTGAAAAATCTAAAAATCGAAAAGTCGAAAAGTTTTTAAAATCGAAAAACCGAGATGTCAAAAAATCGAATCAAAAAATCATAAAATTGAAAAATTGAAAAACAAAAATATCGAAGAATTGAAAATTCTAAAAATCGAAAAGTCGAAAAATATTTTAAATCAAAAAACCGAGATGTCACGAAATGGAATAAAACAATCGTAAAACTTAAAAATTAAAAAACAAAAATATCGTAAAACTGAAATGTTGTAAAACAATAATTGAAATTTCTAAAAATCGAAAAGTCGAAAAATTTTTTACATCGAAAAATCGAGATGTCGAGAAATCGAATTAAAAAATCGTAAAATTGAAAAATTGAAAAACAAAAATATCGAAGAATTGAAAAATCTAAAAATCGAAAAGTCGAAAAATTTTTTAAATCGAAAAACCGAGATGTCCAGAAATCGAATCAAAAAATCGTAAAACTGAAAAATTAAAAAACAAAAATATCGAAAAATTGAAAAACAGAAATTTCGAAAAATTGAAAAATCTAAAAATCGAAAAGTCGAAAAATTTTTTAAATCGAAAATTCGAGATCTCAACATATCGAATCAAAAAACCGTAAAACTAGAAATTAAAAAAACAGAAATATCGAAAAATTGAAAAATCGAGAAATCGAGAAATCGAAACATCAAAAAACCCAAACACTGAAAAATCTAAAATAAAAATTGGAAAGCCGAAAAATTTAAAAATCGAAAAAGCAGGAAATCGAAAAATTGGTGAATGGAAAAACTGAAAATAAAATAAATAAATAAAAGTCAAAAAATAGAAAAACCGAGAAGTGGAAAAACCGAAACATAGAAAAATTTTAAAACTGCCAAATCGAAAAAAAAAACATCAAAAGACCGACAAATCGAGAAATCGAAAAATTGAGAAATCGAAATTGCCCAAAATCGAAAAATCTAAAAGTTAAAAACTGAATGCACAATAAAAAAAATCTATGAATCGAAAAACCGAAAATCAAAAACATCGAAACTCGAATCTCGATAAATCGAGAAATCGTATAATTAAAAAATCGAAAAATCGATTATTTTAAAAATCCGAAAAATCCGAAGATTTAGGAATAATAATATATAATTATATTATAATTATTATTATTATTATTAAACGGATAGAAATATGCAAGTGTAAAATTGGTAAATCGACATAACTAATATTTTAAAAAATTAAAATATCGATAAATTGAAAAGTTGAAAAATGGAAAAAGTAATAAATCGAGAAATGGAAAAACGGAAAGCAGAAAAATCGAAAAATTGAAAAATACCAAAACTGAAATATCCAAAAATGAAAAATCGAAGAAAAATTGAAGAATCGAAAATGTGAAAAATCCCAAAACTGAAACCTCAGTAAAATGACCAATTGAAAAATTGAAAAATCAAAAATTCAAAAAAATCGGAAAAACAAAAAACTTTAAAAATCGAAAAACCGAGATGGCAAGATATCGAATAAAAAACAGTAAAATCGAAAAATTGAAAAATCGAAAAATGTAAAATTTCCAAAACTGAAAAATTAAAATATAAAATTCTCCGAAGAATCGAAAAATTGAAAGATCGAGAAATCGAAACATCAAAAAATCGAAAAATTGAAAAACTTAAAATTCGGAAAAGTAAAAAGTCGAGAAATCGAAAAAACGAAAAGTCAAAAAATCAAAAAATTGAATAGTCGAAAAAGTGAAAAATTCCAAAACTGAAACATCAGCGAAATGAAAAATCAAAAAATTGAAAAATCGAGAATTTAAATATCGGAAAAACGAAAAAATTGAAAAATCCAAAAATGTGAAATTTACAATATTAAAAAAATTGAAAAATCAATAAACTGAAAAATCTAAAACCTAAAAATTCGAAAAAGCGAGAAATGGAAAAATGCAAAATTTTAAAAATAGAAAAATTGAAAAATCGAAAAATTAAAGAATCAAAACACTGCCAAACCGGGAAATTGAAACATTCCTGAAATGAAAAACTAGGGAAGTTCCACCATGTTGGTTGGAACTGATAGCCACCCGAAACAAGAATCCGATAACCCTCGACGTGATGTTCATGGATAACTCGGTCCAGAAAGTGGAGGTGGATTCGGCGTCTACGTCCGAAGAAATTTGTAAAGAGATCGCCACCAAGCGTGAGCTGAAGGACGTCTTCGGGTTCTCGCTGTTCATCACGTTGTTCGACAAGGTCATGTCTTTGGGGAGCGACTCAGACCACGTCATGGACGCCATATCCCAGTGCGAACAATACGCTAAAGAGAAGGGTCAGTCGGAACGAAACGCCCCGTGGAGGTTGTTCTTCAGGAAGGAGATCTTCACGCCTTGGCACAACCCTGCGGAAGATGCAGTGGCTACTAATTTGATCTACCATCAAGTCATCCGAGGTACTACTCTTCCGTGTCTGTTTTAGTATGTATTCATTGTCAATTTCTAGGTTTGAAATTCGGGGAGTACCGCTGCAACGTCGAACTGGACGTGGCTTCCTTGATCGCTACCCAGTACTACGTGGACCACGGCGCAGAAATGAAACCCGAGGTTCTCCACACCCGCATAGGAGAATACATGCCGACGTACCTCGTCAAGAAAGGTCAAGGCAACCTATCCGTCTGGGAAAAACAAATCAAAGACGCCTTCCCGAAACTACTCTGCGTCCGAAACAAACTCGCCCCCATCAAAGCTCAAGAGTTCATCGTCAAGTACGCCAAAAACACTTGGCCCATTCTCTTCTCCAAATTCTATGAAGCCATCCAAACCGGAGGTCCCGACCTTCCCACTAAAAACATGATCATCGCTATTAACTGGACCGGTATTTTCATGATCGACGACCAAGAACAGATCCTCCTCGAACTGACCTTCTCGGACGTGAGTCTCGTGAGTTTCGAGCGGCTTCCCTACAGTCCTCTGCACAAGTTTTCACTAACCACGGTCCGAAACGAAGAATACACGTTCTTGAGTCCGGACGCCGAAAGCATGTGCACCCTCATCCAGTACCTCCTCGACGGTTTGAAGAAGCGTTCGTTGTACGTCGTGGCCCTCCAGGACTACAAACACGAAACCAACGCGCCTTCGTTCCTTAGTTTCCGCAAAGGCGACTTGATCACGCTGAAGAACGGTCTGAACGGAGAGGCGTTGATGTCTGCAACGTGGGGCTACGGAGAGTGTAACACTGCTGTGGGAGATTTCCCAACCGAGCACGTCTACATCCTTCCTGCTATTACCGAACCGCCTGCTGATATTCTCGTAGCTTTTAAGAAAGAGGGGGTAGTTGGGGCGAAAAAACCGACGGCACCGGTGTTGACGACGATGCAGAGGATGAAGTTGTACACTTTGGCGCACTATGCGGACGAGCACTTCCGCATGGGGAAGAAACTTGCGGCCAACAAGCCTTCGGTCATCACCGCTGCGAGAAGAGCATCTCGTGAGGAGCTGTGGAAGTACACGAACGAACCGATCTACCAACCGCACTTGCAGAAGTTGCTGTCGAACGAAGAGCTGAGTAAGGAGGCGTGTTCGGCCTTCACCGCCATACTCAAATACATGGGTGACCTCCCGGCACCCAAAGCCAAGTTCAGTAACGAATACACCGACCAGATTTTCGCAGAAGCTTTGAAACACGACATGCTCAAAGACGAGATCTACGTCCAGATCATGCGCCAGCTGACATTCAATAGGTTGCTACTAAGCGAAGAGAAAGGTTGGGAGTTGATGTACCTAGCAACCGGGCTTTTCATACCAAGCGCGTCGCTCATGACTGAACTGCAGAAATTCTTAACCTCACGAACACACCCCGTCGTCGAACCTTGCTTGAAGCGCCTTCAAAGAAGCCAGAAAGTCGGTCCTAGAAAATACCCGCCGTATTCCGTCGAAGTCGAAGCCATCCAACACCGCAGCATGGAAATCTACCACAAGATTTACTTCCCAGATGACACCGACGAAGCGTTTGAGGTGGACTCAGTCACCCGAGCGTCCGATCTATGCAAAACCATCTCCTCCAGGTTGGAACTCGGGAGTACCGATGGTTTTAGTCTCTTCGTCATGATTTCCGACAAGGTGTTCTCCATTCCCGAAAACTACTTCTTCTATGACTTCCTCCACGAACTCATTGACTGGATGCGCAAGAGCAAACCCAACTGGAACAGTAAGTTCATCGTATGATTGGTGGACACAAAGTGACGAGGTTTTTGCAGGTGCTGCCCCCATCCAAGCTCAGTACCAAGTCTTTTTCATGAAGAAACTCTGGATCAACGCGATTCCGGGCAAGGACCACAACGCCGACCAAATTTTCCATTTCCACCAAGTACCTTCGAGGCTTCCACAGGTGCACCAAGCACCACGCGTTGAAACTGGCGGCGCTGATTTTGCACGCTCGTTGTGATAACGACTTCCAGCAGGTTCAGACTGCCGTCCAGTACGTGAAGGACTTGATTCCTGCAGATTTGGTCAAAGCCGCGAGCTCGTCCGAGTGGAAGAAGAGTATCTTGAACGAATACAAGAAGTCTGGTAATATGAGTGTCGAGGAAGCTAAGTTGGAGTTCTTGAAGATCATCTACGAGTGGCCTACTTTCGGGTCGACGTTCTTTGAGGTTAAGCAGACGACTGAGCCGACGTACCCGGATATTATTCTGATCGGGATTAATAAGAAAGGGGTTAATGTTCTGCATCCGCAGACGAAGGTATGTTTGGTGATGGGTGTGTAGCCCAGTGGTTGATTTTTTTGTTGTAGGATGTACTAGCGACTCATGACTTTTCCGAGTTGAGTAATTGGTCATCGGGAAACACGTTCTTCCATCTGACTATTGGGAATATAATGAGGAAGACGAAGTTGTTGTGCGAAACGTCGCAAGGGTACAAGATGGACGATTTGATTACTTCTTATACGGATTATATTAGGAATAGTGTTAAAAAGGAAAAGGAAAAGGATAAATTTGTTCTGTAAAAAGAGCAGATAGGCAGGTGATGATGTTGCTGTGAAGTATTTATTGGGTAGGAAAATTTTATGAAAGTATTGTAGAAATGTATAAATTTAATAAAAATTTTCAAATAATGTTGGTATATTGACTTTTTACATTGTTGCCAACCGCGATTTGTGTAAAATAAAAACGAGACGAAAAAATAATACTCCCCCAAATTCCAGGGGGACGTGGTCCGTACAAGTGCCAACAATATTAAATGTAATTAAGGGAAAAAAGCAACAAAAAAAATGTTTTTCGGAAAAATCGAAAAACTGAAAATTCGAACAATCAAAAAAATTTAAAATTCGGAAACTGAAAAATTCTTAAAACTGAATGTTAAAAACTTGAGAAATCGAAAACTTGAAAAATCGAGAACTCTAAAAATCAAAAAGTCAAAAAATATGTAATCGAAAAACCGAAATGTCACGAAATCGAATAAAAAAATCGTAAAATTGAAAAATTGAAGAACAGAAATACCGAAGAATTGAAAAATCTAAAAATCGAAAAGTCGAAAAATTTTTTAAATCGAAAAACTGAGATGTCAAGAAACCGAATCAAAAAACCATAAAACTGAAATTTTAAAAAACAGAAATATCGATAAATGGAAAAATGGAAAAATCGAGAAATCGAATCATCAAAACACCCAAATGCTGAAAAATCTAAAATTTTAAAATCGGAAACCCGAAGAGTCTGAAAATCGAAAAAGCAGGAAATCGAAAAATTCAAAATTTTAAAAATGGAAAAATTGACGAATCGAAAAACTGAAAATACAATAAAAAAATAATAGAAGTCGAAAATTAGAAAAACCGAGAAGGGGAAAAACCGAAACATCAAAAAATTTAAAAACTGCAACATCGAAAAACGAAACATTACAAGATCGAGAAATCGAGAAATAGAAAAATTGGGAAATCGAAATAGCCCAAAATCGAAAAATTTAAAAGTTAAAAATTGAATTCACAATAAAAAAATCTATAAGTCTAAAAACCGAAAAGCAAAAACATCAAATCTCGATTAAAAAATCGAAAAATTGAGGAATGAAAAAATTGAAAAAACGAAAATTTAAAATTAGAAACATGCAAGTGTAAAATTGAGAAATCGAAAAATCTAATATTTTAAGAAATATAGAAATATTGATAAGTTGAAAGATCAAGAAATCGAAACATTAAAAAATCAAAAAACTGAAATCGAAAAATCGAAAAGTGGAAAAATCGAATAATTGAAGAATGGAAATATCGAAAATTCGAAACATCGAAAGCATGAAAAACCTAAAATTTAAAATTCGAAAAATTTTAAAATAGGAACATTAAAGAACTATGAAATTGAGAAATCGAAAACGAAACATCAAAATATCGAAAAATTGAAAACTTGAAAAATCGAAAAAGTAAAAAATCGGCAAATGGAAAAACGGAAAGTAGAATAATCGAAATCTTGAAAAATATCAAAACTGAAATATCCAAAAATGAAAAATCGAAGAAAAATTGAAGAATCGAAAAAGTTAAAAATTCCAAAAAGTGATTTAGCTAAAATTGAAGATTCGAAAAATTTAAAAATAGAATCATTGAAGAACTGTAAAATCGACAAATCGAAAAATCTAAAATTTGCAAAACTGAAAAATTTAAATATAAAATTCTCCGAAGAATCGAAAAATTGAAAGATCGAGAAATCGAAACATTAAAAAAATCGAAAAATTGAAAAATTTAAAATTCGGAAAAGTCAAAAGTCGAGAAATCGAAAAACCGAAGAGCAAAAACATCGAAACATCGAATCTCGATAAATCGAGAAATTGTATAATTAAAAAACCGAAAAATTGAGGAATGAAAAAATTGAAAACTTTAAAATTTAAAAATAGAAATATGTAAGTGTAAAATTGAGAAATCGAAAAACCTAATATTTAAAAAAATCTAATATTTTAAGAACTTAAAATATCGACAAATTGAAAGATCAAGTAATCGAAACATTAAAAAATCAAAAAATTGAAAAATCGAAAAAGTGAAAAATCGTGAAATCGAAAAATCGAAAAGTGGAAAAATCGAAAAATTGAAGAATGGAAATATCGAAAATTCGAAACATCAAAAAGATGAAAGACCTAAAATTTAAAATTAAACATCAAAATATCGAAAAATTGAAAACTTGAAAAATTGAAAAAGTAAAAAATCGAGAAATGGAAAAACGGAAAGCAGAAAAATCAAAAAATTGAAGAATCGAAATTTTGGAAAAATATCAAAACTGAAATATCCAAAAATGAAAAATCGAAGAAAAATTGAAGAATTGAAGAATTGAAAGAGTTAAAAATCCCAAAGAAATAAGGAAGCTAAAATTTAAGATTCGAAAAATTTAAAAACAGAAACATTGAAGAACTGTAAAATCGAGAAATCGAAAAATCTAAAAATCGAAAAATTGAAAAATTTTAAATTCTGAAAAGTAAAAAGTCGAAAAATGGAAAAAACGGAAAGTCAAAAATTCGAAAAATTGAAGTATCGAAATTTTGAAAAATTCCAAAACTGAAATATCCAAAAATTAAAAATAAAAAAAAATTGAAGAATCGAAAAAGTGAAAAATTCCAAAACTGAAACATCAGCAATATGAAAAATCAAAAAATTGAAAAATGGAGAATTCAAAAAACTGAAGACTAAAAAATTGAAAAATCGAAAAGTGTAACATTTAACACAAAAAATCAAAAACCCAAAAATTCGAAAAATTAAAAAATAAAAATATCGAAGAACTGAAAAATCGAAAAATCAAGAAATCGAAACATCAAAAAACCGAAAAATTGAACAAACTAAAATTTAAAAGTCTAAAAATCAAAAAGCGAGAAATTGAAAAATGCAAAATTTTAAAATTTGAAAAATTGAAAAATCGAAAAATTAAAGAATCAAAACACTGACAAACCGGGAAACATTCCAAAACTGAAATGAAAAACTAGGGAAGTCGAAAAATTGAAAATCCGAAAAATCGAAAACCAAAACATCGAAAAATTGGAAAACTGTAACATCGAAAAACGAAACATCAAAAAATCGAGAAAACGAAAAATTGAAAATCGAAATAGCGCAAAATCGAAAAATATGAAAATCAAAAATTTAAAAACTGAATAATTTAAATATTAAAAAAATCGATAAATCGAAAAATCAAAAATTTGAAACAACGAAAAATCGAAACATCGAATTTCCATCAATCGAGAAGTTGAACAATTAAAAAATCGGGAAATCAAAAATTTTCAAAATTCGGAAACTGAAAAGCCCAAAAATCTAAAAGTGAAAAGTCGAAAAATCGAAAGATCAAGGAATGAAAAAACTGAAAAACCTAAAATTTAAAAAGATTAAAATATCGAAAAAATTGGAAGAAAAAATTCCACAACTGAAATATCCAAAAATGAAAAATTGAAGAAGAATTATTGAAGAATCGAAAAAACGAAAAATCCCAAAACTGAAACATTAGTAAAATGAGAAATCGAAAAATTTAAGAATAGAATTATTGAAGAACTGTAAAATCAAGAAATCGAAAAATCGAAAATTTCCAAAATTGAAAATTTAAAATATCGAAAAATTGAAATATTGAAAAATCTAACATGTAAAAATCGAAAAAGTGAAACATCAGTAAAATGAGAAATGGAAGAATTGAAAAATCATGAAATAGAAAAGTCAAAAAATCCTAATTTCAAAAATCAAAAAATTGAAAAATCAAAAACTGAAGAATCAAAAAATCAAAAAATTAAAGAAACGAAAAACTGGAAAATCGCAAAATTATGAAAATTGAGAAATCGAAAAATAAAAATATCGAGAAATCGAAAATTTGAAGAATCGAGAAATTGAAGAATCGATAGATTGAAAAATTCCAACACTAAAATATAGAAAAGTTTAGTAACCGAAAATTGAAAATCGGGAAAACGAAAAGCCGAAAAACCAAAGATCGATTAATCAAGAAAATGAGAAATCGAAATATTGAAAAATCGTAAAACTGAAATGTTGGAAAACTGAGAAATCGAAAAATGAAAAATTCGAGAAATCGAAAATTTGAAGAAACAAGGAATTGAAGAAACGAAAAATTGAAAAATCCCAAAACTGAAATATAGAAAAATGGACTAATCAAAATTTTGAGAAATCGAAAAATTGAAAAACTAAAAAATTGAATAACCGAAAAAACGAAACGAAAAAACCAAAAATTTAAAAATCCAAAATTCAAAAAACCAAAAAAACGATTATTCGAAAAATTGGGAAATCGAAATTTTTTTTTATTTTTTCTAAATGGCATTTCTAACGTCAAAAATAAAGAATCAAAAATCAGGGGGTGGAAAATTAGAAGAATCGAGAAATCGAAACATCAAAAAATTGAAAATTTGAAAATTCTAAAATCTAAAAATTCGAAAAATTGAAAAATCGAAAAAAGTAAAATCTAAAATATCAAAAAACTGAAAAATTTATTAACTGAAAAATCAAAAATTAACAAAAATTCGAAAATCTGAAGAAATAGAAATATCGAAGAACTGAAAAATTGAAAAAACTGAGAAAGCGAAAACCGAAACATCGAAAAATTGAAAAACTGTAACATTGTTTATAATTCTATGTAAAGGTATATCCGTTAATAAACATTATTATTATTATTATTATCGAGAAACGAAAATCAAAAGATCGCGATATCGAAAAATTGAAAAATGGAAATAGTGCAAAATCGAAAAACCTGAAAGTTAAAAACTGAAAAATTTAACAATTTAAAATTTTAAAATATCGATAAAACGAAAAATCAAAAAATTGAAACATTGAAAACTCTAAACATCGAAAAGTTGAACAATTAAAAAATCGAAAAATCAAAAATTTTCAAAATCCGGAAATTAAAAAGCCGAAAAATTGGAATATCGAGAAATGAAAAAACTGAAAAATCTAAAATTTAAAACGATTAAAATATCGAAAAATTTGAAGATCAATCAAAGAAAACGAAGCATCAAAAAATCAAAACATCGGTAAGTTGAAAAATCGAAAAAGTAAAAATCGGAAAGTAGAAAAATTGAAAAATCCCAAAACTGAAATATCCAAAAATGGAAAATTGAAGAAAAATTGAAAAATCGAAAAAGTGAAAAATCCCAGTAAAATGAGAAACCGAAAAATTTTAAAATAGAAATATTGAAGAAGTGTAAAATCGAGTAATCGAAAAATCTAAAATTTCCAAAACTGAAAAATTGGAAAATTTAAAAATTACAATCTAAAAATCGAAATATTGAAAAATCTCGAAGCTGAAACATCCAAAAATGAAAAACTGAAGAATCGAAAAAGTGAAAAATCCCAAAACTGAAACATCAGTAAAATGAGAAACCGAAAAATTGAAAAATCGGGAAATCAAAAAGTCAACAATCAAGAAATTGAAAAATGAAAAAATCAAAAAATTAAAGAATCGAAAAACTGAAAAATCGTAAAACAAACATCTGAAAATAATGAATCAAAAAATTGAGGAGTGGAAAATTAGAAGAATCAAGAAATCCAAAAATAAAAAAATTGAGTAATCGAAAAATTGAAGAACAAAGAAACTGAAAAATCCCAAAAGAGAAATAATTGGGACATAAGTAGTCAAAAAATCAAGAAATCGAATAGCTGAAAAGTCGAAAATTTCCAAAAATCTGGATGCTGAATAAAAAAACTCAACGGGGATTCACAAACCACAAATGGAAGAGTATGTTATTTTACAAAATTTAAAATTTACTACCGTAAAACTTAGAAATGACGTCATTCCATTGTTGGTTGGGATGATCAAACACATTTTGGTTAGCGCTTTAACACATGATATTCCTAAATCACATTCAAAATTTGACAACAACTAGTTCGGTAATTTCGGATATTATCTATCTAATAAAAATGCACACAGACGGCAGACAGACAGACAGGAAGACAGACGGAAACGGGAGACCTATTTTTTCGTACTCTAGAAGTCATGACCCGATTACAATACTTCCTTGACTTACACTCGAGAAGTTAAATGACAAAAACGCACAAAAACTGTGTGTATCCATATCGCTTCCAGCATAAAATAAAAAGAGATACTGATAAGATAAAAAAATTAAGTAGATTTTAATTAGATAGGCAACCATTAATACAATCATTTACATTGTAAAGGCAAAGAAATTAAAAAACTACATATTGAATAATAATTACAAGAAAATATCATTGTTTTGACTTAAAAAGATAGAGACTGTTTCTAATTAAAGTACTGCTGCGAACTTTACTGTCCATAAAAACGTTACTACTAGTTCAGATAACACCAATCAGGTTAAAAACCAATACATCGTGCTACCAGATCGCACACAAACAATCCTTCGATCACGTCCTGTGCACAGCCGGCATATCGATTAGTTCCAGGACGAATCTAGGCCGAATCCTTTGACATTTCAATTCCTGACCCAAATCAACCCCAACTTTCACACCAGCATGACTCCCGACGACGTAAGTATTTACAAAATTACTTCACACTCCTCTTAATCGTAGAATTAGCATAGTTCACCCCATTTAGTTTTGTCTGAAAACCGCAAGGTTAACCACCCTCAGCAAAAAAAATAAAATTCGCAGCGATAAAACAATTTCTGAAATTTTGCGAATTTATTTTATAAGCACACCCACGTCTTGGTACAAGTTGCGATATTTTTAGTCGGAGCGAAAATCGCAGTGATACTTAGATGTTTTTAGATCTTGTCCAAATTTTTATTATCTCTGTAGTTTGCATTGTATTCGAATCCAAGGTATTTATAAGATATGGCGCTATCACCTGCTGAATGTTTACTAACATTTTTTTCGACGGGTTCATGTGGAAGTGTCTAATAGATCAAGTGCGTTTGCATAAGCGGGTTATAAATAAGAGGTAATTGTGATACAGGTGGTCTTGGAAATGACCACCCAGAGGAGGATTAAAATTTGATTTTTTGAATCGGTGGAATTTTCGAACTGGCAGGGATTTAAAATGATGAATTAGGAGTTGTACCTATGTGGAACGATACATCAAAGTGTCTGGAGATTAGTAAAGCGTTAGTTTTCAAGGTTTTACGCAACAACTAATTAACTTTTGAATTGTAGTTAAAAAAATTGTCGCTGAGAACATAATACGTGAAATTCATAAAAAAAACATAAATTTTTAAGACGGGTGTCTTATCAGAACGTATGAATTCAACAATATTGATTCTATGAACGTCAGAAATACGATATTTGTGTCTAATCTTGTCTTTCACAATTTAGTTTTATTGATTCGACAGATATCATCAATATAAACACCCACGCTGAAGTCTGAGGACAAATTCCTAACTATTACAAGGGTGTGTTAGAAGTTCCTGTGTATATAAAACACAACCAAAAGAATTAAGTACCACGGTACTTAAGTACCCTATGTCAAAATTTTCCAAAATTTTGAAACCGTACAAATGTAGTTTTGGTTTTAAAATCTAAAAATTATTTCTAACCACTTATCTGTTTGCGCAACACCCCCCTGTAATATGGAACACACTAAATTTATTCGCAGCAAACACTGACCCCAATAATATCCGCAACGAAATAATTGTGTAACCTATCAGAATAGGTCCATCACATAAAATTATTTTCGTCATTCAATCTAAGACAATGCGAATTTTCTAACCAACAACCGCCTATAAATAGCCCACGATGTACCACAATTAACCCATGACATAAATAAGCGGCTTCCTGTCACGTGTCAACTCAACATCCCATTCCCTGACGGATTTTAAATTGACATGTCAGTCTCATTACACTTCGGTAAGTCACACTCCAACAATCACTACATTTCTCCAATTCGCTCAAAAAACGTTGGCAATGTCACGAGTCGATTTAACTTTAACTTCAGTCAGCGTGCGGTTATTCTCGGCTTCGCACGTCCCAGTGACCCATTGATATTGAACCGGGCGTTTAACAACCACAATGGTGAGTAAACACCACCACCCTACTAACAATAAAAATTAATTCACCAGAAATTAACAATTGAACGGAATGGCAACCAAAACTTGTCGTTGTACGCAGGCCCCCACTCCCGAAATCAAAGTACCCATCATATGGATTCTGGGCGGTCCAGGGTCCGGCAAGGGCACCCAGTGTGAGAAGATCGTAGCCAAGTACGGATTCACGCACTTGTCTTCAGGAGATCTTCTGCGGAATGAGGTGAGGACCGGGCTTTGGCAAAAAATCAAGGTTCGAGGTCTTGCTTAATTTTTGCTTATAGGTAAGCAGCGGTTCGCCTCGCGGCAAAGAACTCTCCGCTATCATGGAACGCGGCGAACTGGTACCACTCGAAGTGGTCCTCGACCTCCTCAAAGAAGCCATGCTGAAGAACCTCTCCACCTCCAAAGGTTTCCTCATCGACGGGTACCCCCGCGAAAAAGAACAAGGAATACTGTTCGAGCAAAAAATCGCTCCCGTCAAGGTCGTCTTGTTCTTTGACGCCTCTGAGAAGACCCTCGTTGAACGACTGCTCGGCCGCGCAAAAACCTCCGGACGGGTGGACGACAACGAAGAAACCATCAAGAAGAGGTTGCACACTTTCAACACCCACAACGACCAAGTGGTCCAACAGTACACGGAAAAACTCAAAAGGGTAAAACGGTTTTTCGGCAAACCTAGATAATTCTCTTGGTTTTGCAGATCAACGCTGAACGAACTACGGATGAGATCTTCGCCGAAGTCCAGACGTACCTGGACCCTTTGGTAGCATAAACGTACAAGCGTGTTTGTTGATCCTTGTTGTTATTTATTTGCGGAAATAAAAGTCTCTAGGGATGGCGTTGTTAATTTAGTTTTGCTAACTCTATAATAAGATTGAGTTATCCGTTCACGATCTTTATATAGTAGAGTTGGCCATGAAAATCTAGTGAGTTTGTTGGTATTCGATGCAGAAGAATAAAAATTCCCTGAACTTTTTTCGTTAGGTTATGTTTTATTGAATTAAAGGTTAAGAAATATGCCAGAAATATAAACATTGTTGCCGATACTTTCAATTTTCAGTAGCAATGACCAAGTTAACGGTATCCATTTCAAACTTTACGCTATTTAAAGCAGTTATTCGGCTTTTTGTAAGTGTATATTGTCGCATGCCACATTTAGCATCTATTTTTTGTGGCAGTAAAACTATTTTAGGGATTTTCTTTTTAAATAATGTCGCAATGATCTGTGAATCGTGAATTTCGTTTAATAATTCTGATCTAATAAATGAAGTTGAAAAGTGGCAATCCAGCTCAAAGCAAATGTTAATCAGACTACTGACAGACAAAAAACTAAATCATCAAATCAGTTTATCCAACTTAAAGAAAAAATGTCAAAGCATACTTTACTATATAAAGATCGTGAATGGATAATATGTTCAGTTTTTAAAAGTCCAAATCAATCCATTGGAGGATGACTATGCAACCCAACATACATGAATTATCCTATGTTCAGAGAAAAAAAACCTTCACGGTATGTATGATTTGCACAATATTTAAAACTATTCAAACACATCACAGTACTTACAAAATACATTCTGTGGTCTTTGGATACACGTCATGAATCAATTTCTCAATCCTCTGGTTTTTCGATTTCTTTTATATTTTCGAATTTTTATTTTTTGATTTTTTTATGTTTGGATTTCTCGATTTTTCAATTTAGCGATATTTTAATGGTTCAATGATTTAAATTTTAGATTTTTCACTTTCTAAATTTTTTGATTTTTCAGTTTTTCAGTATTTCTATTATTCAATTTTCGAGGTTGCTAAGTTTACAGTTTTCCAATTTCTCAATTAATCTATTTTTTTTATTTTCCCATTTCTTGATTTCTCAAAGTTTCGACTTTCCAGTTCTTCAATTCCCCAATTTTTCGAATTTGCTTTTTTGGTGTTTCGATTTTTCAATTTTCTAGTTTATTAATTCCTCAATTTTTTGATATTTCTTTCAGTTTTGGGATTTTTCAATATTTCGATTTTCCGACTTTCCAATTTTTGGACTCCTGGATTTTTTTATTTCTCGATTTTTTACTTTTTGGATTTTTAATTTTTCGTTAAACGTAACTTTAGATTTTTCAATTTTTCGACTGTTGTGTACTTCGATTTCTCAATTTTTAACATTCCAAGTTTTTCGATTTCTTGAGTTTTCAGTTCTTCTTTATTTAAATTTTTCAATTTTCCAAATTTTAAATTTTCGATTTTCCAATTTTTCTTTTTTAAAATTTTTTGACTTTTCAATTTCTCGATCCTGCGATTTGTCGATTTTTCAGTTTATCGATTTCTAAATTTTAGATTTTCGAGTTTTTATTTTTTGATTTTTTGGATTTCTTGATTTTTTAATTTTGTTATTTTTTAATTGTTCAATGATCTAAATTTTAGATTTTTCGAGTTTTCAATTTTTTGATTTTTCAGTTCTTCAGTATTTCTATTTTTCAAATTTTGACGTTTCCAAATTTTCAGTTTTCCGATTTCCGAAGTATTCTTTTTTTCATTTACCCATTTTCCGACTTCCGAAAGTTTGAATTCTTTCAATTCTTCAATTTTTTGATTTTTCAATTTTTCGATTTTTTTTAGCTAACGTTTTTTCGACTTTTCTTCTTTAGTTTTTCGATGTCTCAATTTTCAAATTTTTTAATTCCGCAGTTTTTTGGATATTTCTTTCAGTTTTGGAATTTTTCAATATTTCGATTTTTGGATTCCTGGATTTTTTGATTTTCGGATTTTTTACTTTTTGGATTTTCAATTTCTCGTTAAATTTTAGATTTCCCAATTTTTCAACTTTTCGATGTTTTATTTTTAAATTCAGATGTTTCAATATTTTGATTGTTCAATTTGTCGATTCCTCAGTTTTTCAATTTTAACTTTTTTTCTCGGCTTTCGAGTCCTCAATTTCCCGATCCTATGATTTTTCGATTTCTCGATGTCTCAGTTTTTGAATTTTTCGATGTTTCGATTTTTGGATTTCTCGGTTTTTCAATTTTTTACTTTCGGACATATCAATGAAAAGGTAGACAATTTTCAAAATGTTTATTAAAATTTCCATTACGTGTGGAATGTGCTGGTAACCATGAATTAAAAATATTGACATTGAATTGTTTTTCTTTCAGTAATAATTTTTGGATAACCTCTCGTTTGACCAATTTCTTAAATATGTCTTGAAGTTTCGATATCTAAATAAGTTAACCAAACTAATTAAGTTACATAAATTTCAGTAGTTTCTCTAAAATAAAATTCAAAATTGGCCCTGAACTGTGATCGTCAAAATTAATTTGTTTTTTTTTCTTAATATACATAGCCATCTTTACACAACAAGAAACTTAGAACATTGTTAAAATGGTACACTTTTGCAGGGAAATAGGGGGTTTGCAATTATGGAGCGGATCCAAATTGCAAAATCGATATTTCCTTATACAAATTTGCCATTTTAAACATGTTTTAAGTGTTGTGAAAAGAAGTGTACACATATTATTACAAAAAGACAAAATATAAGCCCGCCCACCCGCCCTGTCTCAATTGTGATGATTTTTTTATTCGCCGTTAACCAAAGGAGCAGAGTTTAACTGCAAAATACTTATTTCTTTACATGAAACTAAGAACATATTTTTGCGTATCGTGTTTTACAAAGAATACTGTATATATTAAGAAAAAAGGCAAAATATAAACCCCGCCCACCCACCCCATCTCCATTGTGATGATTTTCTTTTCTTAGAAACTTGAAACGTGTTTAAAATGGCAAATTTTTGTAGGAAAATATGGATTTTGCAATTAGGCTCCGCCCTAGGTCTGCCAACGAATGAAAACTTCATTACAGCTATGGGTGGGGCTTAATCTTTGGCTTTAATTTTTTCTTATCATACATAGTATTCTTTGAATAATACGATACTCGAAAACATGTCCTAAGTGGTAATTTCTTGTAGAGAAATAATAAAGATTCGGATTTAATATATGATCATTTTTCGGGTTGGGAAAACTCTCAGAAGAGTTTCGCCTCTAGTATGGTTGACATACTGAGTTACCGTGCTCTTTTGCCTTTTTTCTAAGTTCTCAACCCCGCTCCTGAAGATGCCAAAAAAACCCAGCGATTTTTCAAAATTTACTGCCAAAGTCAGTTTTATCGTAGAGGATATCGTATTTGCCAAAATCAGTCTTATCTTAGCAGGTACTAGCCCCGCCCACCCAGCCTCTGTTCTTTTAGAAGGTATGTCATCTGCCAAAATCAGCTTTAGCGGGTACTGTGGTGGATTTTATAGGTTATTGTCGCTCAATTAATAGCAGCGCCCTCTATACAAAGGATACCCAACATACAATTTCGGGTATTTTCGGATGTGATTGACCATGAGATCGTCTTTCTGTTGGTAAAGATTCAATTAAAATTTTTGCAATTAAATTTTTGAGAAGAAAAGGCAATAAACATTTTCAATGATGAATTTATTAGATCAATAAATGGAGTAGAAAAGTGGTAATCCAGCTCAAAGCCTACTTTACTATATAAAGATCGTGAATCGATAAGATTGATTGTGAGATTGATAAATAAATAATATTATCAAATTGGCATCTGTCGCGTCACTTCGACACCAATCTCTTCACTTTTTCAAACAAATCTGTCCGATTCACAATGGTAGACCCCCACAAGCTAGAGGTAACTTTTTTCCGGGAATTTTCCACCAAACAATTTAAATTTATTGATTAACAGAAACCCAACATTGATGTGCCCGTCATTTGGGTGATAGGAGGGCCAGGTTCTGGTAAAGGGACTCAGTGTGAGCAAATTGCCATTAAATATGGTCTCGAACACATATCCGTAGGGAAGCTACTACGAGACGAAGTAAGTACCACTGGGTTCGCTCCAAATTACTCTACTTATCACCTAGGTGGAAAATGGTTCTTGCAAAGGTGCAAAACTAAAGCACATCATGGACAGAGGCGAACTCGTCCCGAACGAAGTCGTCATAGATATGCTGAAAACAGAAATGTTGAACCGTCTCTGCAACGCTAAAGGCTTCCTAATAGACGGATATCCTCGTCAAAAGGAACAAGGGATTCTATTCCAAGAGAAAATCGCAGCACCTACTACAGTACTCTATTTGGAGCTTTCAAACAACACCATGTTGGAAAGGCTGCGAAAAAGAGCACTATCTTCAACAAGAAGTGACGACAACGAAGAAACTATGCAACGAAGAATCACCACCTTCAACCAAGAAAACAACCAAATCCTTGCGCAGTTTGCATACAAAGTCAAGAAGGCAAGTTTTAGTACCATCTAGGTACCACTCTTGTCATCCATTTGTTCCACAGATCGACGCCGAAAGACACATCGAAGCCATCTTCAAAGAAATTTCCGACTTCCTGGACACCGAACCTTGCTAAAACCAAAACCTGTCAAAATCCCAACGTCAAATAAACCATCAAACTTGACTTGTCTTTCTCTCGTTGAAAAGCACAAAGCCAGCCGTGCACTAAAACACTAAAACAAATCCCTGACATTTTCCACTCAAATCAATATTTTCATGTCGAGACAATCCACAAAATAAACAAAGTGAAAATGGGCGGCTTAATTTCTTGCGTAGACGACGTAAGTACCACCTCGTACACCCCCCGTATCTCACTCATACCACAGCAGGTGCCTCCTATGCAAAGACTCTGCTACGATATGACCCCCATCAAGTCCAGATCCTTGCCCATCGTGTGGCTGGTGGGCCCGCCGGGTTCCGGGAGAACCACCCAGAGCAAAATGCTTTCTGAGAATCTTGACTTTGCGCATATCAAGGTCGCCGAGCTGCTGCGGAACGAAGCCGAGAAGGATACAGACAGGGGGCGATTGATCAACGAGGCGCTGCACCACAGGGCGAAGAAAGTACCGGATTCGATCGTTATCGATTTGATCAAGGAGGAGATGTTGACGACGAGTCACAACTGCAAGGGGTATCTGATTAACAATTTTCCGAAGAACAGCAAACAAGCGGCGCTGTTTATCAAGGAGATTGACGATGTGGATGCGATTATTTATCTGGTTTGCGACGTGCCGGTGATGGTGAAGAGGAAGCAGGTCCAGAGCGAGGGTAGACTGGATGATGACGTGATCAAGAAGATGATAGCGACTTATATCAAGGAAGTTAAGGAGGGAACGTCGAAGTTGGGCAGCAAAATAGAGAAGGTAAGTAGAGTCAAGGATATTAAGTATTTGGTTGTTCTCAAGATCATGATGACGTTGTCGCCATTTTTTTTTTCACACTATTTAAGATCTAAAAAATAGAGGATTATGAGCAAAATTTCAAGCTTTGAGAAGAAAGTCTTCTACGTTTTATGATTATCCTCCAACATTTGAATTACATTCGCAGATTTTTTGCATATCTCGATTTTTTTAAGATCTTCACTTTTCTCGGAGATCTTTCGCCTTGGGAAATTAAGTAAAAATACGGAAAAAACATGATTGACCTAATTTCTTTTAATGAGATTTTTGACTTCAAAATATGAACATTTTTGATTTTCTCTTTTCAAGATCTTAAATTTGGAAAAAAATTGTTCTATTTTAGACATGACTTACAATTTTTGCGAAGTTTTAAAATCAAACAGAGTATACCTTTTTAAACTGAAATTCACAGAAAAAAAAATACAAAAACTTCCTTCATCATAGAGAAATCATCCAAAAAGATTTTGAGTTTTTGGATAAACTTTTATATTTAGTCTTAAATTTTGATCTCTTTGAACAAAAAATCTGATCCTATTCAAAAAAGTATGAGAAAGATGTTTTTTGCGCCCAATTTCTCATTTTTTTTAATATTCCTGCAAGAATTTGTTTTTGCATTTTACTTTTTATATATATTTTGAGATGATATTCACAAAATTTCGAATTGTTCTTTTAAATTAAATTAATAGGAGTAATAAAAATTAATTATTCTGATTTTTTTGTAAAGTTGGCAACTTATTTAAAATTTTAAGATGCCTTACCTGATTGTCAAAGTGACTTATGACGGCGGTCACCGTCTCAACCAATCAACACGTTTATTAGGCGTGCTCATGTCAAAATTGACAGCTGTGAGCTGACGTACTAGCATGGATGACAATAATTCAGAATTGCCAACACAAACATTAATCATAACTCGGTATTTTTCACTAGATTTGCGAGTACATTCATAAGAATAAGCTAAAATTTTGAGTAGACTAACGAATCTTTACAGAATTTGGATAGTAGGCGACAAAAACGCTTATCATATCAGCTAACTTATTGGTTGCCTATCCATCAGGCAATAAATATTGAAATGCTTAAAAAAGTTAGATTATGCTTAATACATACATTTGACAGGCGATAAACAAGAATAAATTATCACAACAAGGCGGAAAAATTCAGATTTCAAACCTATTCAATAACGGTTATGATCGAGTACTTGTTAAGATAAGACTGATTTTGGCATATAATATATACTGTAAGAAAATCGAGGGCGGGTGGGCGGGCCTAGTACTCGCTGAGGTAAGACTGATTTTGGCATATGATATACCTTGTAAGAAAACAGAGGGTGGGTGGGCGGAGTTAGTACTTCCTAAGATACTACTGATTTTGGCAAATAACATACCCTCTAAGAAAATAAAGGGCAAGTGGGTGGGGCTAGTACTTGTAAAGATAAAACTTATGGCCCCCAGAAATACATAGTACCGTCATTTAGTACGAGTGCAGCAAATGCAGTTGGTAACGCAAAAAATTCCCCTGGTTTGGAATCAAATTGTGTCAGCAGAGAGTTGACAACGCGTAAACCGTTGTTGTCACGTGGTCTTGGCGTGGTCTTTTTGTTTAAAGTCAATTAATTTTCAATTAATATGACTAATAATTATTAAATAAGATTTTATTAATTAAATTTTATATTTTATTCAAATTAAAAATCCATATTTTGTATATAAATTATAAACTATAAATCCAACATAAAACCATTTTAAATTTCGCGGTCTGTCAAATGGTGTTTATAATTTTTGTTTTTGTTAAGTTTCCGTCAGGTTTGCTCCACGGTGACGATACTATGTGTTTTCTACGGGCTATACAAATTTTAATTCATTCATAACCTGAAAATGGACATTGACAGTTTTATAACTAAAATAACCAATCGAGATGTCAAAAATTCTGAAATGCACTCTAAATTTAAAGTCACAGGCTCTTTTTTCAAGATCATCTGAAACAATATCAAAGAAATTTCTAAAATTTTCGTGAAAATATCAAGAGGTTTGTTAGACACTGTATAAAAGAAAAAATTGGCTTAAATTTAATTATTAAATAATTAAACAATCAACTTTCTTGAATAAATATTGCAGAAACTGATACTACACATTTTCTTGTCGTTAATTCTCAAGAGGGGATGCATGAACAAATTTTGTTTTATTTTATTTTATTTTATTTTATTTTAGTTGGTCTCCCTGCCCTCTTACAATCTGGTAATTTTTAGCTTTACGGTTGGTGCTCATATCTGTCACAATTGTAAATGTCAAATTTGACGTTTTTCAAAAAACAGTTTACATTCGTATAGTGCTTTTTGGATAAAACTGCATCAAGTTGGCTTTAAACGTGTAAACACATTTTTAAACGCAGTTACTGTCAAACACTTTGCTTTAACGTTAACTGCCGATATGATGTTCTGTGACAAATAGTCAGATATTAAAACTTTCTCAAAATGACAGCAAGGTGTAACAACCTTAAATCAATGTTAAATCTGACCAACGAGAAGGGATTTTTCTTTCATACCAACTAAACTCCAACTTGTCAAGATTCTTCTGAAGTTTGCTATACCTTTCGTAATTGAAAACTTCCTACTCCATTAAATTTGCACTCTTATCTATAAAAATTAACTTTTTGAAGTTAGTAACTTGTTCAAGAGCCGTATGAGAGGTGACTATTATGATTGAAGCAACTTTTTAGATTGGCGATTCTGAATTGAATGTTCTAAAATTTTAAATATCTTGCCAACATGACAAAAAAATCACAAACATTAATCATCACTCGGTATTTTTCACTAGATTTGCGAGTACATTCAAAAGAATAAACTAAAATTTTGAGTAGACTCACGAATCTTTTCAGAAATTGGATAGTAAGTATCAAAAATGCTTATCATGTCAACTGACTTATTGGTTGCCTATCCATCAGGCAAATATTGAAATGCTTAAAAAAGTTAGATTAATACATTTTACAGGCAATAAACAACAATAAATTATCACAATAAAGCGACAAAATTCAGGTTTCAAACCCATTTAATAACGATTATGATCGCAGATTTGTTAAGATAAGACTGATTTTGGCATATGATATACCCTGTAAGAAAATCGAGGGGGGGTGGGCGGGCCTAGTACTTTCTAAGGTAAGACTGATTTTGGCATATGATATACCTTGTAAGAAAACAGAGGGCGGGTGGGCGGAGTTAGTACTTCCTAAGATACTACTAATTTTGGCAAATAACATACCCTCTAAGAAAATAAAGGGCAGGTGGGTGGGGCTAGTACTTGTAGAGATAAGACTTATAGCCCCTAGAAATGTCTGTGGTTTTAAATAAGTTAGAAAAACTGGTTACAGAGATGAAGGAAACTCAGTAGGTTATGATGATTTTTTATTTGTCAAATGTAATTCTCGTGTATATACAACGTAGTTGATTTTTGTATTTTATTTTTTCCCTTTCATATTTTGAGAATAAAAGTCGTAATTAAATAATATGTATTTTTTTATATGCACAACCTTTTGATACCTGAGTGTGCCATTGTTTTCTTTTGCCACTATGACTAACTGACGTATGTCTAAAGGCCTGGATGGTTTTTTCTAAGTTATTATTTAGATTTAATAACTTCTCATTCGAGATTGGACACTATTTCCCTAGAGGATATGCCATTAGCCATAACCAGTCTTATCTCAGCAAGAACTAGCCCCGCCCACCCACCCTTTATTTTCTTAGAGAATATGTCATCTGCCAAAATCAGTCTTGTCTTAGCAAGTACTAGCCCCGCCCACCCACCCTCTGTTTCTTTGGGGGTATGTCATCTGCTAAAATCAATCTTGTCTTAGCAAGTAGTAGCCCCCCCTACCCGCGCACTTTTCACTCTAACGACTAATTTTATTTGTTCAATATAAGATTCACCGTTCATTCTGCCCAGATAAAACCAATCATTGAAATGGAGGCGGGGTGAGTGGGCGGGGTTACTTATTTTCTTTTCTCGTGTTGGAGTGGAAACTAATTGAGTCTAGGATGTGAAAATATTCTAAAAAGTCATGCTTATTCGTAAATTTTTTATTTTACTTCAAAAAAAATTGAGAAAACGGGTGAGTGGGCGGCCCTAAGTTTAACTTTTCCCTACAATCTGATTATAAGCAATAGTCTTGCCCACCCACCCACCTCTTCAATCTCATGATATTGATAATCTATGACAACATCCTTATCTTATTAGAAACTTACGAAAATCCATTAAACCGTTGGTTAGAAAAGAGATAAAAAGTTCAACAATGTATCTACAAAGTTCTAAAGTGGTGTTAAATCAGCATACCAGACATGGGAATCATATTTAAATAACAACATAACCGATACTCCTCCCACTCGCACAAGCTCCACCCACCTTAATAAATTGTTGGCCAAAACCAGTCTTATCTTAGCAAGAACTAGCCCCGCCCACGCACCCTTTATTTTCTTAGAGGATATGTCATCTGCCAAAATCAGTCTTGTCTTAGTAAGTACTAGCCCCGCCCACCCGCCCTCTATTTCCTTAAGGATATGTCATCTGCTAAAATCAATCTTATCTTAGCAAGTAGTAGCCCCGCCCACCCGCGCACTTTTCACTCTAACGACTAATTTTATTTGTTCAGTATAAGATCCACCGTCTGACCAAAATAAAACCAATCATTGAAATGGAGACGGGATGGGTGGGCGGGTTTAATTTTTTTGTGAAAAAAAGTCATATTTGTAAATTTTTTATTATAGTATTTCCGATTAGATTTCTTATTTAAAAAAAAAAAATGAAAGAACGAGTGGGTGGGTGAGTTTAACTTTTCCCTACAGAGTCTGATAAGTAAGCATTGCCCACCCACCTACTCCTTCGTCAATCTAGTGACTACCCTTGACATTGTTAATTAACGACAACATTATTATCTTACTTATTAGAATCTTACGAAAATCCATTAAGCCGTTGGTGGGAAAAGAGATAAAGTATCAAACTGATGTTAAATCAGTATGCCAGATCAAAACGGAATAGGGGTGGGTGGGCGAGTTGAAAATGTGTTTTACCAAAAATTTATTCTGAAGTTGTTTTTTCATGAGACTGTCTTTTTTCATAAAATTCCAGTTTTTTGAAAATTGTCAAACATTTTTTTAACAAAAGGCTCAAGTGTACCAACGCATGTGTTTTATTAATTCATACACTTGTGTGTAATTGACAGTTGAACAGGGTTCATTTTATTATACGAAAAAGTGGGGTTAGTTTGTAGCATTCCGCGTTGTTTTACATTCAATGTTGTTCGTCTTCATCCAAATGTTCCGCGTTTACGTGGACCTTTAATTCAGAACTACATTTGGTTCTATTTTCGCAGCTCTCGCATCCATGCCATTTAATGTCCTTTTCTTTATTTGAATGGCACGCTTTGACGTGTCTGCACAAATGCGACATACGTTTGGTTTTGAATGGGCAACAGCTGGATTCGTACCATTTAACATCTTGTCCTTCCGAATGTTTGGCATTGATGTGACTTGTTATGTTCGACTGGTGTCGGGTTTTGTATGGACATTGTTGGCATTCGTACAATTTCGCATTGTTTTTGTGGCGCAGCTTTACGTGCCTGGCAATATTTGAATTGTCTTTACTTTTGAACTGGCACAATTTACACTTGTACCATTTAACGTCGTTTCCTTGCAAGTGTTGCGTGTTTGTGTGCCTGCTTAAATTAGCCTGATGTTTTGTGACAAACGGGCATTCTTGACACTCGTACCATTTAATCTTACGTTCCTTTTTGACCGAACGTTTAATATTATGTTCCCCTTTGACTAAATGTCGCGTTTTCATGTGATTTTTTAAACTAGAATTATATTTTGTTTTGAATGGACATTTTTCGCACTCGTACCGTTTAATATCATGGTCAGGTTCATCAGAATGGAGCATTTTTATGTGATTTCTCAAATTAGCAATGTAGTTAGTTTTGAATTTGCATTTAACGCATTCGTACCATTTAATAGTTTGTTCTGTATGTTTTGAGTGATGCAAACGTATATGAGTGTTCAAATTCAAAATGTCTAGTTCTGTATGGACACGTTTTGCACTCGTACCATTTAACTTTATGTTTATCAGAATGACGCGATTTTATGTGTCTACTCAAAGATGACTGGTTTTTGGTTTTGAATGAACACCATTCGCACCCATATCATGTAGCTTCGTTTTCATTTAAATGGAACGAATTAATGTGTCGGTTTAAAGACAACTTAACTTTAGTTTTAAATGAACACCAATTGCATTCGTGCCATTTAATATCCTGCTCGCTAAATGTTGCGTTTTTACGTGATGCCGTAACCCAGAACTGTACATAGTTTTAAAAGGACATTGTTGGCACTGATGCCTTTTAAAACTCCCTTCGTTAACTGGACACTTTTTACATTCGTTATTAAGTTGTAAATTGTTTCCTTGGTCAGATTTATATGGGCGTATTTCGCATTCATACCATTTAATACCTAAAGCATTTAAGTGGTGCTCATTTATGTGTTTATATAAAGACGACCTATATTTACTTTTGAATGAACACTGTCTGCATTTATGCCAATTTATGTCCCCTTCCCGAAAATGCCGTGGATACATGTGGCTTTTTAAACGGCATTTTAATTTGGCTTTAAATGAACACTCTGAACAATAATACCAATGTATTTCATCATCAGTCAAGTGTTCAAGGATTTTGTGCTTTTTTAAGTAACGCCTACACTTACCCACGTACTCACACTGGTCACACTTATGCCACAGCATAGATATCAATCAGTAGAGACGGCTCGCCGTTTTTCGTGACCCGTTTTCGTGGGTGGTCGTTCGCATTATGACCGAATGAGGGCGCCCAACTGACGTCTAAAATATTTGAAATTTGGCAGTTTTGTTACAATATTTTTGCCAGTTTTGCTTGTTTAAGACTGCTTTTCCGGTAGAATTGTACAAATAGTATAAAAATGTAATTTTCACAATAAAAGGTAAAATCTTTGTCCGATGAATTTTCATACAGGATCCCTGTTGTGAGCCTTATTCTCTCCCTCGTGTTTGGAATTCTTGGAAAAGATAGTAAACATAATTACACACTTTTTGTTTAAAAAGTCGTCGCAAACGAACAACAACGGTGGTTATGAAATAATTTTTTTACATTTGTGAATTAGAGCAAATTTTTAGTGAAAATTTTGAAAATATAATTTTACAAACAACTATTTTGTTGAAATTTTTAAATTTATATAAGCAAGCTACATTTGTTCATCCATGCCAAAACTTTCCATACGATTATTTGCTTGCTTTGTATGCTAGGATGAGATTATTTTATGCACCAAAATTTGTAAATGCTAGCTTTAAATTTACAAATGCCAAAGGTGAAAAAATTAATAGAAAGAAAATAATTTGGCAGCATTAACTTTTTTCCTTTTTGTAATTTAATTTTTATTTTATTTATTTTTTCTTAAATAAACCTCTTTCTTTTTAGATGTATTTATTACATTATTTTTACATAGATAATTAAACCTCAAGTATTCGGGGAAACAATGTGCGAATTGTCAAATTGTATAAGTAATAAAATAAAAACTTTAACAAATCATCGTGTTTATAAATTAAATATCGACTTTTCTTTTTTCTTATTGCGATTCACGATTATACGATTTGAGCAAACTACACAGTTTGCAATAAATTGCGTACACGAATCAATTTTTGAAATTGTAAATGAAGTGATACTTTTTAAATTGGGTGGCGACATCTAGGAATAGTTTAGGCAACGACCACCCATGACGCCTTAAAATTCGGGTCAGAAAGAACAAAGGCGCCGACACGAGCTGTCTCTACTGATTGTTATCTATACTGTGCTTATGCCAAGTGAACACTGTGTTTTCTGCACCACTTGTACCATCTGGTATCTGAGGGTTTTCTATATTCCCTAAACATACCGTAGTATGTTGAAGCCACTTAAGGGAGCACAAAGTTTCAAAGCTGCATTTTCTGCAAATGTAGCTCTGAATTTCATATTCTTTATTGCTTTTAATGCCACGGTGTAGTTCAAGTTGATGTTTAAAAATCAAGGTTAGTTCTGTTTGGACATCACAGTCTTACAAACTGGAACTACATATTTAACTTTATTTTATTATTTTTTTTTTGTTAATAAATTCTGAAAGAAAAAAAATCCTACGAAAACTAATTCTGCGTCATATTTATTACAAAAAACGCTAAATACAAACCTGAACCAATTCGCACTCACTCACTTCCTCCAGATTCGTGGCAACGAAGACCCCAACGACGTCTACACAAAAATCGAGGCCGCAATATCACTAAGAGTCAGCACAAAAACCAGAATAAAGGCAGAGGCGGACTACGCACAGGAGTTTGGGTCGACAATCTCATCGTTAACCAGTGCCTAATGCACTTCCGACACTCTTTTCCGGTGTTTTGTAATTTCGAAATTTCTCAATAAAACATGTTAATTTTAGTCATGCAATCGGCGTTGTTCTTTCTCTACCCATTACTCTGCATCCACGCTTTACACAGATGCCTACCCGAAAAAAAAAACCTCAAGTTCTACAAAACTCGCAGCTGCTACAAATCAACGATACCGATAATGTCCTGGAAGAACGCCAACAACGTCAGCGACTGCATGAAGTTCGCGGCGGAAAAAAACGGCCTAGCGTTCAATTTCAGCCCCAACGAACTGAAAAATTACACCCAAGGTCGCTGGTTCAGGAACTGCCAGGTTCTGGGTTGCCCGGAAATCAGGAACAGTAGCACGTTGGTTTTTGATGCTGCTTTTGACTATTACACTGCATTTGGCGACTTTAATTGTTAGTACTTAAATTTAATAGGTGTAGTACTTAAGTAACGAAATTATTTTAGCTACTCAGAACAGCACATGTATTAAATCCGTGGGTTTATTCAGCGTGATTGAAACCAAGATGAATTACACTGACGCAATCTACTTCTGTCAAAACCTGGGGGCCGATTTGGCGAATGTTTTAAGCGAGTTTCGCACAAATACGTTATCTGCGTTGATAAAACCTTTGAAAAATTGGTACAAAGCGGCTTATGTGGGTTTGGAGGACATGGATGTGGAGGGTGCGTTTCGGACGCCTATGGGCACTTTGATGGAGTGTAGTGGATTTCGGGCGTGGGCCGTTGGGCACCCCAGACCGGGTCGAAAGAAGGAAGACTGCGTGATTTTAGACGCGGATAAAACGTGGAGGGCCATCAATTGCAGAATCAAGCGACCTTTTATTTGTGAATTTTACCCCACACCTCCGGCACTACCAGTTGTTGAATTTGCTACAAAAGATTGCGATAAAATCAAAAACAAAAGTAAGGTCTGCACAGTTTGCGTTTTTGTAATTATTTTAAGATTTTCAGAGAAGAAGAGGCAGTGTTTGAACAACAATGAGCTGGTTCAGTTGTATATGAATTCATCAAGGATGGATCAGTGTGCACTTGTAAACGACTTTGATTGAGTTTTTACTTATTTATTGCAAAAATAAATAGAGATTAGATTCGGCGTTTTTGTGTACTTATGTAAAGGACGTTGTTACCCCTAATGAACGCATCTCCAAACTTGTTCTTAAGTTGGCCGTTTACGTACTCCTCGGTTTGCTCCAGGGCTATGTTCATGTAACCGTCTAAGCACGCCAAGACACCTAAAAAACACGTTTATTTTGGTTGAATTTTAAGTAACTGACATAACCTCTATAATCTACGCCACTGTTTAGTTTGACAACTACGGGTCTGGCGTGAATTTGCTGGATGAAGGACGAAAGTGCTTCTTTTCGACTCATTTTGAAAGTCTGTGTAAAGACAGAAACTGTGCTAATTAAGAAAACAACAAATTTTCAAAATAAACGTTTCTGCTTGACTGTCTACTGTCAATTGAACATAACCTTAAAACCGGCGGGATTCACAAACTCTGCAACAAAAAAAATGAATTAAAGATACAAAAATTTGAAGAGTTTTTTACGTACATATCCTTTGTGAGAAACCCTCATTTAATAAAAAAATGCAATTTCAAATTTTTCGACCACTGTCAACCGTCGATTGAACATAACCTTAAATCAAGCGAGATCAAGGACAGTGTTGCCAAAGTTAAATGGTAAATTCCGCTACAGGCTGAAAGTTGTGATTTATAAACTCAAGTTACCGTCGACAGTAACTTTGAAATTCAACTTTTGCCGTAGTTAAAGGGGTTGCAGAAGAAAAGTGGCGGATTTAAGTTGATTACTACAAAAAACCAAGGGGGCGGAGCTTAACTGTGAAAGCCTTATTTCTATACAAGAAATTAAAAACATGTATTGTTCAAAGAACACCATGTATATTAAGAAAAAATTGAAGCCAAAGATCAAGCCCCACCCATACCTTCCCTGATCTAAATAGTAATGAAGTTTTCATTCGTTGGCAAGCCTATGGGCGGAGCCTAATTGCAAAATCCATATTTCCTTACAAAAATTTATCATTTTAAACGTGTTTTACGTTTCTAATTAGAATACAAAAAAAAATAATCACAATTGAGATGGAGTGGGTGGGCGGGGTTTATATTTTGCCTTTTTTCTTAATATACATAGTGTCCTTTGAACAACACGATACTCAAAAACATGTTTTTAATTTCTTGTAAAGAAATAAGAATTTTGCAGTTAAGCTCCGCCCTCTTGGCTCACGGCGAAAACAATAGTAATTTACGCAACTAGTTCGGGATAGCCTGCTTCCCGCATGAACGCTTGTTTGAGGCACGACCGAAGGGAGTGCCGCATTTGCGTGAATGCGGGAAGCAGGCTCACGAACGTGTTGTGTACAATATTTTTTGCGACGAATAAACCTTTAAACTGAAGAGATTAACTGTGAGTTATTTATAAACAACGCCATTGACAGCGCCGTCAACACGTCACAATGTTGACACTACCCGAGTATTTTAAGGTTACCATGGCAACGGGAAGTTAAATGCACGTGTGCGGGAAGTTCGACCTCCCGCACTCTGGTGAATGCGCGAAAGCTATCAAAAAAGGTCATGAGTGCAAAAAATTCTTTACAATCGAGACAGGGTGGGTGGGCGGGCTTCCATTTTGCCTTTTTGTTTTAATATGTGTAGACTTCTTTTCACAACATGAAACTTAAAATATAATTAAAATGGTAAATTTGTCTACAAGAAATTACCATATAAGACATGTTTTGAGTATCATGTTATTCAAAGGATACTATGTAAACAAAGAAAACATTAAAGACTAAGATTAAGCCCCACCCATGCCTGCCCTCATTTGAATATGTAATAATAGAGTTTTCATTCGTTGCCAAACCTAGGGGCGGAGCCTGATTGCAAAATCCAAATTTCCCTACAAAAATTTACCATTTTAAACGTATTTTAAGTTTTTAAGAATAAAAAAATCGTCACAATTGAGACTGGGTGGGTAGGCGGGGTTTATATTTTCCCTTTTTTACTTAATGTGCACAGTATTCTTTGAACAACACGATACTGAAAAACATGTTTTTTTTGTAAAGAAATAAGAATTTTGCAGTTAAACTCCGCCCCCTTGGTTCACAACGAATGAAAAAAATCATCACAATCGAGATACAACATTATTCCTTTTTGTTTTAATATATGTCGATTTCTTTTCACAACATTAAACTTAACCATGTTCTAAGCTTCTTGTTGTGAAAAGATGGCTATGTATATTAAGAAAAAACGGCAAAATATAAGCCCCGCCCACCCGCCCTATCTCAATTGTGATGATTTTTTTTAATCGTCGAGAGTCAAAGGAGCAAAATTTAATTGCAAAATCCGTAGTATTTCTCTACAAGAAATTACCATGAAATACATGTTTTTCAGTATCATGCTATTCAAAGGATACTATGTATACTAAGAAAAAATTAAAGACTAAGATTAAGCCCTGATCTGAATATGTAGTAATAAAGTCTTCACTCGTTGCCCGACCTAGGGGCGGAGCTTAATTGCAAAATCCAAATTTCCCTACTTAAATTTAACGTATTTTAAGTTTTTAAGAATTAGAAAAATCATCACAATTGAGACTGGGTGGGTGGGCGGGGTTTATATTTTGCCTTTGTTACTTAGGGCCGGTTGCATAAACGCAAATCAAATTTAATTTCTGATTAAGAACAATTGTAACTATGATAATAACAATCGTTACTATGGAGTTAATCAGAGATTAAATTTGATTTACGTTTATGCAACCGGCCCTTAATGTGTTGTATTATTTCAACAACACGATACTGAAAAACATGTTTTAGTTTCTTGTAAAGAAATAAGAATTTCGCAGTTAAGCTCCGCCCCCTTGCTTAACGGCGAATAAAAAAATCATCACAATCGAGATAGGGCGGGTGGGCGGGCCTACATTATTCCTTTTTGTTTTAATATGTGTCGACTTCTTTTCACAACATGAACTTAACCATATTCTATGTTTCTTGTTGTGAAAAGATGGTTATGTATATTACGAAAAAAAAAGCCAAAATATAAGCCCCGCCCACCCGCCCTATCTCAATTGTGATGACTTTTTTTAATCGTCGAGAGTCAAAAGAGCGGAATTTAATTGCAAAATCCTTAATATTTGTCTACAAGAAATTACCATGAAAGACATGTTTTTGAGTATCATGTTATTCAAAAGGTACTATGTATACTAAGAAAAAAATAAAGACTAAGATTAAGCCCTGATCTGAATATGTAGTAATAAAGTTTTCAATCGTTGCCCGATTTAGGGGCGGAGCCTAATTGCAAAAGCCAAATTTCCCTACAAATTTTAACGTATTTTAAGTTTTTAAGAATTAGAAAAATCATCACAATTGAGACAGGGTGGGTGGGCGGGGTTTATATTTTGTCTTTGTTACTTAATGTGTTGTATTCTTTGAAGAACACGATACTGAAAAACATGTTTTTAGTTTCTTGTAAAGAAATAAGAATTCCCCAGTTAAACTCCGCCCCCTTGGTTCACGGCGAATAAAAAAATCATCACAATCGAGATAGGGCGGGTGGGCGGGCCAACATTATTCCTGTTTGTTTTAATATATGTCGATTTCTGTTCACAACATGAAACTTAACCATGTTCTAAGCTTCTTGTTGCGAAAAGATGGCTATGTATATTAAGAAAAAAAAAGGCAAAATATAAGCCCCGCCCACCCACCCTGTCTCAATTCTGATGATTTTTTTATTCGTCGTGAGCCAAGAAGGCGGAGTTTAACTGCAAAATCCTTGTTTCTCTACGATAAATTAAAAACATATTTTTGCGTATCATGTTGTCCAAAGAATACTGTGTACTGTGTATATTAAGAAAAATAAAGCCAAAGATGAGGCTCCATTCATACCCGCCCCGATCTCAAGTCCGAATTGTGATTAATTTTTCACAATGTCAGATCGAGGGGCGGGGCTTAATTGCAAGATCCATATTTATCTAGAAGAATTTACCATTTTAAACATGTTTTAAGTTTATTGTTGTGAAAAAACGACTCCGTATATTAAAAAAAAAAGGCAAAATATAAGCCCCGTCCACCCACCCTCTCTCAATTGTAATGATTTTTTTTAATCGTCGAGAGCCAAAGGAGCGGAATTTAATTGCAAAACCCTTATTATTTCTATAGAATAAATTACAATCTAAGACATGTTTCTGAGTATCGTGTTATTCAAATTATAGTTTATATTTATTGTTTTATATATATATATATATATTTTGCCTTTTTTTCTAAATATACATAGTATTCTTTGAACAATAGGACACTCAAAAACGTGTTTTTAATTTCTTGTAAAGAAATAAAAATTTTGCAGTTAAGCTCCGCCCTCTTGGCTCACCGCAAATAAAAAATTCTTTACAATCGAGAGAGGGTGGGTGGGCGAGCTTACATGCTACCTTTTTGTTTTAATATGTATAGACTTCTTTTCACAACATGAAACTTAAAATATATTTAAAATGGTAAATTTGTCTACAAGAAATTACCATATAAGATATGTTTTTGAGAATCGTGTTATTCAAAGGATACTATGTATACTAAGAAAAAATTAAAGACTGAGATTAAGCCCTGATCTGAATATGTAGTAATAAAGTTTTCATTCGTTGCCCGACTTAGGGGCGGAGCCTAATTGCAAAATCCAAATTTCCCTACAAAAATTTAACGTATTTTAAGTTTTTAAGAAGAAGAAAAATCATCACAATTGAGAGTGGGTGGGTGGTCGGGGTTTATATTTGCCTTTTTTACTTAATGTGCACAGTATTCTTTGAACAACACGATACTGAAAAACATGTTTTTAGTTTCTAGTAAAGAAATAAGAATTTTGCAGTTACGCTCCGCCCCCTTGGTTCACGGCGAATAAAAAGAATCATCACAATCGAGATAGGGCGGGTGGGCGGGCCTACATTATTCCTTTTTGTTTTAATACGTGTCGACTTCTTTTCACAACATGAAACTTAACCATGTTCTAAGTTTCTTGTTGTGAAATGATGGTTATGTATAATAAAAAAAAAGGCAAAATATAAGCCCCGCCCACCCGCCCTATCTCCATTGTGAAGAATTTTTTTAATCGTCGAGAGTCAAAGTAGCGGAATTTAATTCCAAAATCCGTAGTATTTCTCTACAAGAAATTACCATGAAAGACATGTTTTTGAGTATCATGCGATTCAAAGGATACTATGTATACTAAGAAAAAATTAAAGACTAAGATTAAACCCTGATCTGAATATGTAGTAATAAAGTTTTCATTCGTTGCCCGACCTAGGGCTCGGCGCCCTATTGCAAAATCCGAATTTCCCTACAAAAATTTAACTTATTTTAAGTTTTTAAGAATAAGAAAAATCATCACAATTGAGACTGGGTGGGTGGGCGGGGTTTATATTTTGCCTTTGTTACTTAATGTGTTGTATTCTTTGAACAACACGATACTGTAAAATATGTTTTTAGTTTCTTGTAAAGAAATAAGAATTTCGCAGTTAAAAAATCGCAGCACTGAAAAATTAAAATACCTAAAATTAAAAAAATCGAATAACCTCAAAATTGAAAAATCGGTAACATGAGAAATCAAGAAATCTAAGAATTGAAAAGTCGATATATGTACCTGAAATTTAAAAAATGGAGAACCTGAAAAAATGAAACAATCGAAAAATTTTAACATTTAAAAAACGAAACATCGAAAAACAGAAAAGTCGAAAAATTGTGAAAAATCGAAAAACTTGAAAATTGTAAAGGCGAAAAATTACCCAATCGAGACATTAAAAAAGAAGAAAACTAAAAAACCGAAAAAACAAGAAAAAAATTGAAGAATCGAAAAATCGAAATATTTAAAATTTAAAAAATGAGGAGAAAAAACGAAAAATCGAGATGCCAAAAAGTAAAAAAATTGAAACGTTCAAAATAAAAAAAAATAAAAATTGAATAGTCGATAAAGTGTAAAATTGAAAAAGTTGAAAAATCGAAAAAACGAATAATCAAAATATCTAAAATTTAACAAATGAGAATAAAATACCTAAAAATCGAAATGCCAAAAAGTAGAAAAATCTAAAAGTCCAAAATAAACAGAAAACTGAAAAAATCGAAAAACGAAAAATCAAAATATTCAAAATTTAAAAAATGAGAATGAAAGACTAAAATTGAAAAATTGAATAGATAATCGAAAAACTGTAAAATTGAAAAATCGGAAAATTGAGCTATCAAAAAATCTATTATTTAAAAAATCGCAGCATTGAAAAATCAAAATATCTAAGATTAAAAAAATCGAAAAAATTGAAAAATCGAAAAATCGGAAAATGGAAAAATCGAGAAATTGAAAAATTGGAAAATCCAGACATCGAAAATCGAAATATCTAAAATTTAAAAAATGAGGATAAAAAATCGAAATGCCGAAAAGTCTAAAATAAAAAAAATGAAAAATCGAATACATAATTGAAAAACTGTAAAATTAAACTGAAAAAGTTGGAAAATAAAAATCGAAAAAACGAAAAATCAAAATATTTAAAATTAAAAAAATGAGAAAAAAAACTGTAAAATCGGAAAATTGAACTTAATCAAAAAATCTATTATTTAAAAAATCGCAGCATTGAAAAATCAAAATAGCTAAAATTTAAAAAAATCGAAAAATTAAAAAATCGAATAACTTGAAATTAAAAAAAAAGATAGAATAAAAATAAAAAATCGAAATGCCGAAAAGTAGAAAAATTGAAAAGTTCTTTGGAGCCTCTAGTGTTTTTTCTTATAATGATTTAATAAAATTTCTTAGGATACGTCATTAAAGTCATATTTCATTTGCCAAAGTCAGTGTTATCTTAGAAGGTACTGGCCCCGCCCACCCACCCTCTCTTTTCTTAGCAAGTACTGGTTCACGGCGAATAAAAAAATCATGACAATCGAGATAGGGAAGGTGGGCGGGCTTACATTATTTCTTTTTGTTCTAATGTATGTCGACTTCTTTTCACAACATAAAACTTAACCATGTTCTAAGTTTCTTGTTGTGAAAAGATGGCTATGTATATTAAGAAAAAAAAAAAGCAAAATATAAGCCCCGCCCACCCGCCCTGTCTCAATTGTGATGATTTTTTTTAATCGTCGAGAGTCAAAGGAGCGGAATTTAATTGCAAAATCCGTAGTATTTCTCTACAAGAAATTACCATGAAAGACGTGTTCTTGTGTATCATGCTATTCAAAGGATACTATGTATACTAAGAAAAAAATAGAGACTAAGATTAAGACCTTATCTGAATATGTAGTAATAAAGTTTTCATTCGTTGCCCGACCTAGGGGCGGAGCCTAATTGCAAAATCCAAATTTCCCTACAAAAATTTAACGTATTTTAAGTTTTTAAGAATAAGAAAAATCATCACAATTGAGACTGGGTGGGTGGGCGGGGTTTATATTTTGCCTTTTTTACTTAATGTGCACAGTATTCTTTGAACAACACGATACTGAAAAACATGTTTTTAGTTTCTAGTAAAGAAATAAGAATTTCGCAGTTAAAGTCCGCCCCTTGGTTCACGGAGAATAAAAAAATTCATCACAATCGAGATAGGGCGGGTGGGCGGGCGTACATTATTCTTTTTTGTTTTAATACGTGTCGACTTCTTTTCACAACATGAGACTTAACCATGTTCTAAGTTTCTTGTTGTGAAAAGATGGCTATGTATATTAAGAAAAAAAAAAAGCAAAATATAAACCCCGCCCACCAGCCCTATCTCAATTGTGATGATTTTTTTTAATCGTCGAGAGTCAAAGGAGCGGAATTTAATTGAAAAATCCGTAGTATTTCTCTACAAGAAATTATCATGAAAGACATGTTTTTGAGTATCATGTTATTCAAAGGATACTATGTATACTAAGAAAAAATTAAAGACTAAGATTAAGCCTTGATCTGAATATGTAGTAATAAAGTTTTCATTCGTTGCCCGACCTAGGGGCGGAGCCTAATTGCAAAATCCAAATTTCCCTACAAAAATTTAACATATTTTCAGTTTTTAAGAATAATAAAAATCATCACACTTGAGACTGGGTGGGTGGGCGGGGTTTATATTTTGCCTTTTTTACTTAATGTGCACAGTCTTCTTTGAACAACACTATACTGACAAATATGTTTTTAGTTTCTAGTAAAGAAATAAGAATTTTGCAGTTAAACTCCGCTCCCTTGGTTCACGGCGAATAAAAAAATCATCACGATCGAGATAGGGCGGGTGGGCGGGCCTACATTACTCCTTTTTGTTTTAATATATGTATACTTCTTTTCACAACATGAACCTTAACCATATTCTAAGTTTCTTGTTGTGAAATGATGGTTATGTATATTAAGAAAAAAAAGCCAAAATATAAGCCCCGCCTACCCGCCCTCTCTCCATTGTGATGATTTTTTTTAATCGTCGAGAGTCAAAGGAGCGGATTTTAATTGCAAAATCCGTAGTATTTCTCTACAAGAAATTATCATGAAAGACATGTTTTTGAGTATCATGCTGTTCAAAGGATATTATGTATACTAAGAAAAAATAAAGACTAAGATTAAACCCTTATCTGAATATGTAGTAATGAAGTTTTCATTCGTTGCCCGACCTAGGGGCGGAGCCTAATTGCAAAATCCAAATTTCCTTACAAAAATTTAACGTATTTTAAGTTTTTAAGAATAACAAAAATCATCACAATTGAGACTGGGTGGGTGGGCGGGGTTTATATTTTGCGTTTTTTACTTAATGTGCACAGTCTTCTTTGAACAACACTATACTGACAAATATGTTTTTAGTTTCTAGTAAAGAAATATGAATTTCGCAGTTAAACTCCGCCCCCTTGGTTCACGGTGAATAAAAAAATCATCACAATCGAGATAGGGCGGGTGGGCGGGCCTACGTTATTCCTTTTTGTTTTAATACGTGTCGACTGCTTTTCACAACATGAAACTTAACCATGTTCTAAGTTTTTTGTTGTGAAAAGATGGCTATCTATATTAAGAAAAAAATACTAAATATAAGCCCCGCCCACCCACCCTATCTCAATTCTGATGATTTTTTTATTCTTCGTGAGTCGAGGGGTGGAGCTTCCAAGAAATAAAAAACAGGTTTTGAGTATCGTGTTGTTCAAAAAGTACTTTGTATATTAAGAAAAAAACAGGTGATTGATCAGGGAACAGTTGAGGGGTTGATGGTTAAAAAATTACAAGTTTACACCCGCTATTCAAAATAATATGTTTGATAACTACAATAAAAATAACTCGAATTTTCTAATTTTCAAGTCTCAGAAAAATTCTGCTACATTTCCGGGTTTTTTTCGTTTGGCAACACTGATCATGGGTGTCATGTCATGAAGAGGGGCGTCTGCGCACCAAAGTTAGCATTTACATTTGGAGGGAAATAGGGAATCGTAGCCCACAAAAAAAAAAAAATAACTGAACATACAAAATCGGAACAAAAAAAATCTACATACAGATATTCCTTTATTGAAAAATATGGAATCATTTAAACAATTTGAAAAATAATTTGTTTTGTGTTTTCTTCGTAGTCTTTTTAAATGATCTTTGGACATACTTTGGCAACATTTAAAATTCTAATCATCCACGTGAAAAGTACTCGCGTGTCTTTTTAAAGACGACTTGCGATTACTCACAAACGGACACTGATCACATTTAAACCACTTCTGCACATCTCCATGCTTTGCAGCGGTGTGAGTTTTCACATCATGTTTTTTTCGAGTTTTGTACGGACAGTGTATGCATTCATACGATTTTCGGTGCACAAACCATTTAGATTTTTGTTTATCTGAATGCTTCCGATTCGTGTGGGTTATTAACCCAGAATTAAATTTACATTTGAATGGACACATTTTACATTTGTACCATTTGACTTCTTCTGCTTCCAAATGACGCGCATTTATGTGATTTCTCAACCCACATTTGCGTTTCGCTTTGTACGTGCATTTTGAACATTCGTACCATTTAATCTCCCGTTCTTCCATATGGTGCACCATTACGTGACTTTTTAATACAGAGCTTTGTTTAGCTTTATAGGGGCATTTTTCGCAATGGTACCATTTGACGTCTTGTTCGTCCAAATGTCGCGCGTTCATGTGTACATTCAAAGACGACTTGTGTCTAGTTTTATACGAACATTCTTCACATTTAAACCATTTGATGTCACGTCCGCGTGCATGGTGGTAGTAAATGTGGCTTTTCAGCAAACATTTTAGTTTAGTTTTGTACGAGCAATCAGCACAGTAGTACCAAAATATTTCATCGTCATTCAAGTGCTTTGTAATTTTGTGGAAATTTAAAGAACGTTTGTATTTGTACTTCTGGTCACATTGGTCACAAGAATATGGCTTAACACTTTCACAATCCTTACAAACTGCAGTGTGTTTGAGCCACTTAATTACAAAATATGTTTGAAAGTGACATCTGTCACAAACGTAACTTTGTATTTTGAAGTTGTCACCTGAAAATTCGTCTTTTTCTCTGGGGGTTGAGTGACGTGTTTGAACATGCTGTTTGAAAAGAAATGTTAGTTCTGTTTGAAATTCACAGTCTTGGCAATAATAACTTTCAAGGGTGGAATTTGCGCAATCAAAGCGTTGAAGCGCAGTCCTGTGACGTTTGATATGGTTGCTCCACATAAAATTGGATCTTGTAATAAATGAACAAACTTGACAGAAATATGCCTTCTCGGATGCGGCTTTTGCATGACAAATTTTTTCAGAATACTCAAGAAATGACATCTGGGTAAATCGTTTGTTAACCATTTACTTTCTCACCTTATACCCATATGGAAAATTCTGCACAGCTGCTTAAATTAAATACATATTATTACTACTTCATTGTTAGCTTTGGCCTAATCGATACTTGAATAAGTCAATTCTAGTAACTTTGGTAAAAAAATCAATACATTTGTGACATTTGAAAAAACAAACTCCCTAGATAGTTTTTTGTCAGAAGCACCTGTTGCAAAACTGGTTCCTAAACTGTGGCAACATCTAGTGAATTTAGTTTACTGGTGTTGGTCACGTAAGAAACGCCAAAACAAGCCAAACAATTTAACAGTCGATTTCGAAAAACGTTCAATAATAACAAGAATCTGCCCCGTTTTTGTGAAAAAATCGTGTAAAAGTACATGTAGCCCCTGGGTTAGAATAATCGAGAAACGAGCCCTCACAATTATCAACTTTTGTAGGTTAGGTTGGTATCCAGTATGGTCGTTATTATATCTTCGTTAAATTGTTTTTATTTAGATCAAAATGGCGCAACCATCAGTTCTTCGATATTTTAACTGCAGAAAAAGGCCAGCTCTTGATGACCACAAACTCGATAGGCCTGCGAAGCTTCTGAAACCGAACGAAGAACATCCAAAACTTGCTCCCCAAAAAAGACAGAATGTGGATCTGAATTGTAACAAACCTGTGCAAGAGAGTACTGTAGTTGAAGAGAAAGCTGTTTTGAAGAGCACAGATTCCACTGAAAGGTGTTTTACTCCTCCACCGAGAGATAATGTGGAGGAAACGGAAAAAAGTAAGCACCCGTGTCTTACTCCTCCGCCAAAAAATATTATTGGTGAAAACAAGCAAGCCAAAGACCTGAGTTCTATTAAAGCTAATTTATGCAAAAGTAAAAAATTGGCTCAACTGAAAAAGTCACTTGAGCAGTTTAAACAGTCATCGGAAAAATTGGATGCACTGGGAAAACGAAATGAATTGATTTTGCAGTCGCTGAAGCAGAAGAGTCCAGTGAAATTGCCAGTGAGGTAAGTTAAAAGTTTTAAATGTTTTACCTCAACTTCGCAATTTTTTTGCTAAACCGCCAACATTTGGAATACTTTACTTTTGTCCAATACTGTATATGATACCTATTTTAAAATATATATCACTTGATATTGCATAAGTATCTTGTGGTGGAAAATTAGGTCTTTCTGGCAACTCATTAAGACAATGAGGATCATTAGAAAGCTATTCCGTTTATATGGTTTCCTATGTAATGGTTATTTAAGTATTTACTTCTATATTTAGTATTTATTTTGTGTCCGCAAAAATTCAATGTTTGTTTTTGATAATGAAAATTTATATCGTTTGTCTTAAAATCTTCCACACACCTTGCCTTTGAAAAACTATGAAACATTGAAGTGAATATGAAAGGCAAAAATATACATGTTAACATGAAACACCCTGTATTATAATTTTTCCAAAAATCTTGATTTATTTACCTTCAACCAATTTTTTTAAAGCACAATTTCTCGTTCTTTCATTTTCCTTTTTTCACTGTTTCGGTTTCATTTTTCGTTTTGCAGCTTTAATTTTTTCAATTTTTCGTTTCCAAAGTTTTTCAAGTTGTAATGTCTCTTTCGATTTTATAACTTTTTGGTTATTTAATTTTTCAAATTTTTAATCTTTGGTTGTTCAATTTCTTGATTTTCCAATTTTAGAATTTTTCAGTTTTGCAATTTTTGGATATCCTGTTATTCGATTTTCTATTTAATATTCAATATTTCGATTTTACTATACGTATTTCATTTTTTTTTTTCAATTTTGCACTTTTTCGCTTTAAAAATGAAAATGTATAAAATGAAAACTTTGAAAAATCTAAAAACTGGAAAAATTGAAGGAACGAAAAATTCAAAAATCGAAAGATTAAAAATTTAAAAATCGCAAAAAATTAATGAAACGGAAAGAGGAAAAAACGAATCGAATCGAAAAATTGAAAAACCCAAAAATCGTAAATTCGAAAAACTGGAATCGTCAAAATTATAAAAGTTTTGTCGACTATAAATCGAATGATATATAGGTATTATTTATAAAAAAAAAATTAAATTCGCAAAATCAAATCGTATAATTTTTCGAAAAATCTGGATTTATTTACCTTCGACCAATTTTTTGGTATCACAATTTTTCGTTTTTCCTTTTTCTTCGATTTTACAATTTTTTTAAATCACAATTTTTCGTTCTTTGATTTTCCATTTTTTTCTATTTTCACTGTTTCGGTTTCATTTTTCGATTTTTCAGTCTCTTATTTTTTCACTTTCCCGATTTTTTAAGTTACCTTAATTTTTTGAATGTTTCGAGTTTATAATTTTTCGGTTATTCAATTTTTCAAATTTTTAATCTTTGGTTTTTCAGTTTCTCGATTTTCCAAATTTAAAATTTTTCAGTTTTGCAATTTTAGATTTCCAGTTATCCGATTTTCTGAATTTTTTAATTTTCAGTATTTCTATTTTTGAGTTTTCAATTTTTAATCTTTCGGTTTTTCAATTGTTGGTTTCTTCAGTTTTTCCAGTTCTTGATTTCCAATTTTTAGACTTTTTAAAATTTCCATATTATTCTTTTTCTTTTTTTTCAATTTTTGATGTTTTACTTTTACAATTTTGCAATTTTCCACTTTTTCATTCGAAAAGTTGGAAAATTGACAAATAAAAATACTAAAAAAATGGAACAATTGAAACGCTGAGAAAACGAAAAACGCAAAATCGAAACCATGAAAAATCGAAGACTCTTAATAAACGAAAAATTGAGACATTGAAAAACTAAAAATCGATAAGTTTAAAAATCGCAAAAAATTAATGAATCGAAACATTGGAAACAAGAAAAATCGAATCGAAAAATGAAAAACACAAAAACTGGAAAATCGAAAATTATGGAAGCGTCAAAATTCCAAAGTCGAAAAATTGTAACAGTGAAATATCGAAAAATTGAAGAATTGAAAAACCCAAAAGTCGTTAAATTCAAATATTATGGAATCGTTAAAATTGTGAAATCGAAAGACGGTAACATTGAAAAATCCAAAAATTGAAAAATTAATAATCGAAAAACTAAAAAAATGGGAAGAATTGAAAAAACTGAAAAAATTAAAAAATGCAAAATCGAAAACTTGGAAAATCAAAAAATTGCAAATCGAAGAACTGAAGAAACGAAAAACTTGAAACATTGAAAAACGAAAATCGTGAAATTAAAAAAAAATTAATGAATCGAAACATTGGAAAGTTGAAAAACTATAACATTGAAATACCGAAAAATTGAAAAACTAAAAATCTAAAAGTTGAAAAATCGAATGAATGAAAAGCTTTTAAAATCCAATAATTCAAAAATGGAAAAATTCTAAAATCGTAAAATTGAAAAAAATTAGAAAAATTCAAAATTTTCACATTGAAAAAAGAAAAATTTTAAAATCAGGACATTGAATAACCGAAAAATTGAATAAAAATGAAAACTCGAAGAGTTGCATGTCGTAAAATTGAACAAACAAAGAAATTGAAATTGAAAAAACAAAACATTATAAAATCGGAACATTGAAAAATAGAAAAATTCTAAAAATAAGAAAAATAAACAAATCGAAAAATTGCAAATCGATAAGCTAGCCACTGGTTTTTACAATTTTTATAATTTTTCAAAGAAACGAGATTTGTTGGGCCGTATTTCAGGAACAAGGGAAGTTCAGTTTAAACAATTTGTTGATCCCTCGAAAACTGGTGACGTTATTTCAAAGTTTTGTCGATTATATATCGAATAATATATTTAATAAAAAATGAAATTCGCAAAATCAAATCTTATAATTTTTCGAAAAATCTGGATTTATTTACCTTGGACCAATTTTTTGATATCACAATTTTTAGTTTTTCCTTTTTCTTCGATTTTACAATTTTTCACTGTTTCGGTTTCATTTTTCGTTTTTGCTACTTTAATTTTTTCAATTTTTCATTTTCCAGATTTTTTAAGTTTCGTTTATTTGTTGAATGTTTCTTTCGATTTTATAATTTTTTGGTTTTTTAATTTTTCAGTTTCTCGATTTTCCAATTGTAAAATTATTGGATTTTCATTTATCCGATAATTTTCAATATTTCGTTTTTACTATACATATTTCGTTTTTTTTTTTACAGTTTTGCACTTTTTCGATTTTTAAGTTTCTCAATTTTAAATCTTTCGGTTTTCAATTGTTCATTTCCTCAATTTTTCCAGTTCTTAATTTTCAGTTTTTAAATTTTTCAAAGTTTTCATTTTATACTTTTTCGTTTTTTCCTTTTTGATTTTTCACTTTTACAATTTTTCCATTTTTCCTTTTTGTTTTTATTCGAAAAGTTGAAAAATTGACAAATCAAAAAATTAAAAATCAAAAAACTAAAAAATGGATCAAATTGAAACCCTGAGAAACCAAAATAAGCAAAATCGAAACCGTGGAAAATCGAAAAATTGCAAATCGACGAACTGAAGAAACGAAAAATGAAACATTGAAAATAAAAAAACTGAAAAAACGAAAAAATGCAAAATCGAAAACGTGGAAAATTTGAGAATTACAAACGAAAAATTGAAATTTTGAAAAATTAAAAATCGAGAAATTTAAGAATCGCAAAAAATTAATTAATCGAAACATTGGAAATAAGAAAAAACGAATCGAATCCAAAAATTGAAAAACCCAAAAACTGTGTAATCGAAAAATTACGGAATCGTCAAAATTGTGAGGTTGAAAAACTAAAAAATGGGAAAAATTGAAAAATCTAAAAACTGAAAAAGACGAGAAAAACGAAACTTTGTAAAACTAAAAATCGAGCAGTTTAAAAATCGCAAAATCGAAAAAGTGAAAAACTCAAAAATCGTAAAATCGAAAAATTATTGAATCGTCAAAATTGTAAAGTCGAAAAAACTGTAACATTGAAATACCGAAACATTCAAAAATTAAATATTGAGAAATTGAAAAATGAAAAATCGGATGAGTCTAAAAGTTTTAAAATCCAATAATTGAAAAATAATTTTAAAATCGTAAAATTGAAAAAGTGAACATTTTTTAAATTTATAATTATTATTATTACATGCTTAAAATAAAAATTAGAAAATCAGTACATTGAAAAACCGAAAAATTGAAAAAATTGAAAATGAACTAAAACGAAAAATTTAAAAATGAAAAACTGAAAAACTGCAAATTGTAATATTAAGGAAACGTAAAGTGAAAAAAATTGAAATTGTAAAAACAAAAAATTATAAAATCGAAACATTGAAAAATCAAAAACTTGTAAAAATAAGAAAAATAAAAAACCAAATCGAAAATTTGAAGAAATGAAGACTTGAAGAATCGAAAAATTGAAAAATAAAAACTCGAAAACTCGACAAATTTTAATCGAAAAATTGCAAAATCTGAAAAGTGAAAATCGAAAAGGTGGAAAATCAAAAAAAATTGAAAAACTAAAAATCAGGAAATTTAAAAATCGCAAAAAATTAATGAATGGAAACGTTGGAAAGAATAAAAAACGAGTCAATCGAAAAACTGCCAAAAATTGTAAAATCGAAAAATTATGAAATCGTCAAAATTGAAACATACGCGTAGCATGCTTACTTACATTAAATTTTTCAAATTTTTAATCTTTGGTTGTTCAGTTTCTCGATTTTCCAATTTTAAAATTTTTGAATTGTGCAATTTTTGGATTTCCTGTTATCCGATTTTCTGGTTTCTTTAATTTTCAATATTTCGATTTTACTATACGTATTTCCGTTTTTTTTTTCAATTTTGTACTTTTTCGATTTAAAAATGAAAAAATATAAAATGAAAAATTTGAAAAATCTAAAAATTGGGAATCAAAAACTGGAAAAATTGAAAAAAAGAAAAATTAAAAAATCAAAATATTAAAAATTGTAGAAAAAACGAATGCAAAATCGAAAACGTGGAAAATCGAGAAATTTAAAAAATTAATGAATTGGAAAAAAGAAAAAACGAATCGAAAAATTGAAAAACCCAAAAATCGTCAAAAAGTCTGAAAACCGTAACATTGAAATACCGAAAAATTGAAAAATTGAAAATTGAATGAGTAAAAAAGCCATAAAATCCAATAATTGAAAAACCGAAAAATTCTAAAATCGTAAAATTGAAAACATAAATTTTTTTATTTATAATTATTGTTACATATTTAAAACAAAAATGATAAAACTTGAAAATTTTCACATTGAAAAAAACCGAAAAATTTAAAAATAAAAACTCCAAGAGTTATAAAATTAAAAAAAAAAAACAAAAAAAAATAAAAAACCAAATCGAAATTTGAAAAATTAAAGAATCGAAAACGCGACAAATTTTAAATTGAAAAATTGAAAAACTGAAAAATTTAAACTTAAAATCTCGAAAGATTGCAAATCGATAAGCTAAAGAATTTAAGCCGTTGGTTTTTACAATTTTTATAATTTTTCAAAGAAACGGAATTTGTTGGGCTGTACTTCAGGGCCGAGGGAAGTACAGTTTAAACAATCTGTCGATCCCCTCCAAAACATTTGTGACGTAATTTCAAAGTTTTGTCGACTGTAAATCTAATAATATATTTACCTATGGTTCAGTAATATACCAATTTTTATAATGTTCCGAAAAATTCACGCATAGATTTATTTTAAACTTACGGAAAGTTATCATCATTTGAGTAATTGTCATCGTGACTTCGATGATTTTATGTTATCATTTATGTGTTATACGATTTGAATGTTGAACATTTATTCTCGGACACTCCTCGCACAGCGAAGTGTGTACCAAACTGACATTACTGTGATTTAGACAATAATGTTACAAAATAAAATAAAATTCGCAAAATCAAATTTTGTAATTTAGTTCAAAGACAAGGGAAGTTCTGTCTAAATAACCTTGGACCGGCTTTTTTTTTTTGTTTTTCACAATCAACAACTAACATTTTTGTGCACTTTTCATATTTATTACACACATTTCTTGTTCCCAGCCCTCGGAAATTACAGTCCCCCGAGAAGTTATCACTGTCACCAATTGACTCAAAACCCGGCTTACAGCTCCCTTTCAAATACAGAACCTTGAGCGAAATATTCCGGGCCGTCGACACAATCGCACAAATAATGCACAACCGCCAAGAAGCAATAACATTCAAAAAATTAAAACCGGCCGTAGAGGAACTAGCAAAGCGTACTTTCCACAAATCACATCTAGCCCAAATAAAGTCCGTTTACCCAACAGCTTACGAATTCGCACAAAGAAAATTTAAAACTTTCGCACAAGAGGAATGGGACTTGGTTTTAACACCCACAATAAAGACACAAAACATGACTACGCAAGATTTACTTGCCAGACGAAGACAATTTCATGGCGCGTTGCTCGACAAAGTTAAAAATCACCACACCGAATTTCTGTCGTCTCTAACGCCGCCTCTGGTTATCGCAAAACACAACCTGACAAGGTGGCACCCGGAGTTCGCGTTAGAGAAAGTCCCGGACGTAGAACTCGCCAGTTTACCAGAGACCCCGACAACCGAAATCCACACGTCTGGTAAGCAAATCCTGGAAAGCGCTCGCCGATTGTTCAATTCCAACGTGCGCAATTCGCCCGTGACGAACTTAGGCGCGCTTTTCGAAAAACAGGAGCAAACCACCACGGTGAAGGGCATTCCGGAAGCGCTGCTGCGGAAAGTGCGCGAAAAGCAGGCGTCGAAGGCGCTCATGGCGATGACCAAAAGCGCCGAGAAAGAGAAGGAGATGCAAGTGTGTGGTCGATTGCCGGAGATAGCTCGGTTCGTGCGAAATTTGTTCGTGACGGAAAGGAAAGCTGTGTTGCCGTTGGACGTCGTGCTCGAGAAGCTGGGGAATAGCTATCGAACGAATCTGAATAAGAGCGACATGGAACACCACCTGAAGGTAATCTCGACTAAAGTACCGGGGTGGCTGGTTTTTCACAAAGTGAGGAATTGTGTGTTTATCAAGTTGGATAAGAATGCGGACTTGAGCGGAGTTTTAAATAAGTTGGAAAAACTGGTTACAGAGATGAAGGAAACTCAGTAGGTTATGATGATTTTTTATTTGTCAAATGTAATTCTCGTGTATAACGTAGTTGATTTTTGTATTTTATTTTTTCCCTTTCATATTTTGAGAATAAAAGTCGTAATTAATATGTATTGTTTTATATGCACAACCTTTTGATACCTGAGTGTGCCATTGTTTTATTTTTGCCACCATGACTAACTGACGTATGTCTAAATGGTTTTTCCTAAGTTATTATTTAGATTTAATAACTTCTCATTCGAGATCGTTGAGATAGTAAATTGCGGTATTCAAAATTTAATTTTAAACATTAATTCGTTGTGTGAAAGCTTCTCTCATTTGAGTAAACGTCATCGTGAATTCGATGATTTTATGTTTCACTTTTCATGTTTATTGGAAGAGATATCATGGGGGCCATTTCAGATTCGTAACTAACGGAAGATTATGTACAATTTCGCACCAATTTTCAGTCGATTAAACCAATTTTAACCACATTTTTGGAATTTTTGAATTCACTTTTCGAGTTTATTGCAATAGATATCGTAACGGCGATTGCAGATTCGTAACTAGCGGAAGATTATCTACAACTTCGCACCAATTTTCGGTCGATTAAACCAATATTAACCACTTTTTTGGAAAATTTTTGGAAATTTTGAACTCAGTTTTCGTGTTTATTGGAACAGATATTGTGACGGCGAGTTCAGATTCGTAACTAGCGGTAGATTATCTACAATTTGACACCAATTTTCGGTCGATTGGACCGATTTTAACCAATTTTTTGGAAATTTTGAATTCATTATTCGAGTTTATTGTAATAGATATCGTAACGGCGATTTCAGATTCGTAACTAGCGGAAGATTATCTACAATTTGACACCAACTTTCGGTGGATCGAACCAATTTTAACCACTTTTGGAAAATTTTTGGAAACTTTGAATTCACTTTTCGTGTTTATTGCAACAGATATCGTGGCGGCCATTTCAAATTTGTAACTAGCGGATGATAATCCACAATTTGGCACCAATTTTAGGTCGATTAAACCAATTTTAACCACTTTTTTGAAAAAATTTTTGGAATTTTTGAATTCACTTTTCGTGTTTATTAGTACAGATATCGTGACGGCGATTTCAGATTCGTAACTAGCGGAAGATTATCTACAATTTGGCACCCATTTTTGGTGGATCGAACCCATTTTAACAACCTTTTTGGAAAATTTTTGGAATTTTTGAATTCACTTTTCGTGTTTATTGGTACAGATATCGTGACGGCGATTTCAGATTCGTAACTAGCGGAACATTATCTATAATTTGGCACCAATTTTCGGTGAATCGAACAAATTTTAACCGCTTTTTTGGAAAATTTTTGGAAATTTTGAGTTCACTTTTCATGTTTATTGGAACAGATATTGTGACGGCGATTTCAGATTCGTAACTAGCGGAAGATTATCTACAATTTGACACCAATTTTCGGTAGATTCTAAAAATTTTAACCAGTTTTGGAAAATCTTTGTAAATTTTGAATTCACTTTTTGTGTTTATTGGAGCAGATATCGTGACGGCGATCTAAGATTCGTAACTAGCGGAAGATTATCTACAATTTGGCTCCAATTTTGGGTGGATCGAACCAATTTTAACCACTTTTTTGGAAAATTTTTGGAAATTTTGAAATCACTTTTCGTGTTTATTGGAACAGATATCGTGACGACGATTTCAGATTCGTAACTAGCGGCAGTTGGACACCATTTTCCTAGAGGGTATGCCATTAGCCATAACCAGTCTTATCTTAGCAAGAACTAGCCCCGCCTATCCGCCCTTTATTTTCTTAGAGGATATTTCATCTGCCAAAATCAGTATTGTCTTAGCAAGTACTAGCCCCGCCCACCCGCCCTCTATTTCATTGGGGGTATGTGATCTGCTAAAATCAATCTTGTCTTAGAAAGTAGTAGCTCCGCCTACCCGCGGACTTTTCACTGTAACAATTAATTTTATTTCTTCAGTATAAGATCCACCTTTCATTCTGACTAGACAAAACCAATCAATGAAATGGAAGCGGGGTGGGTGGGTGTGGTTAATTATTTTCTTCTCTCGTGTGGGAGTGGAAACTAATTGGGTCTAGGATCTGAAAAAATTCAAAAAAGGCCTAGTCGTAAATTTATTATTATACTACTTTTGACTTTGTTTTAAAGGCTTAGATTCTACCGCTTGTCAAAATAAAATTCAATTCCCATTTTACAGTAAATAAAATAAGTCAGTGAAATTGATAAAGGCGGTGGGCGGAGCTGAGTTTAACTTTTTTACAGAGTCTTATAAACAAACAGTTGCCCCGCCCAGTCGCCCTCTTCGCTCCAATAACTGCTCTTAATATTGTTCTATTTTATCTTAGTTGGTACTAGCCCTGCCCACCCGCACTCTGTTTTCCTAGAGGGTATGCCATTTGCCAAAACCAGTCTTATCTTAGCAAGAACTATCCCCGCCCACCCACCCTCTCCTTTCTTAGAGGATATGTCGTCTGCCAAAATAAGTCTTGTCTTAGCAAATACTAGCCCCACCCACCCCTTATTTTCTTAGAGGATATGTCATCTGCCAAAATCAGTCTTATCTTAGCAAGAACTAGCCCCGCCCACCCACTCTCTCCTTTCTTAGAGGATATGTCGTCTGCCAAAATAAGTCTTATCTTAGCAAATATTAGCCCCACCCACCCGCCCTCTATTTCCTTGAGGGTATGTCGTCTGCTAAAATCAATCTTATCTTAGCAAGTAATAGCCCCGCCCACTCGCGAACTTTTCACTCTAACAAGTAATTTTATTTGTTCAGTATAAGAACCACCGTTCATTCTGACCTGATTAAAGCAATCATTGAAATGGAGGTGGGGTGGGTGGGCGGGGTTAATTATTTTCTTCTCTCGTGTGGGACTGGAAAGTAATTGGGTCTAGGATCCGAAAAAAGTAAAAAAAGCCATATTCATAAATTTTTTATTACAGTATTTTCTATAAAATTGATTTCTTATTTCAAAAAAATAAGAGGAAAAGTGAGTGAGTGAGTTTAACTTTTCCCTACAGAATCTGATCTCTGATAAACAAGCAATTGCCCACCCACCCACTCCCTCTTCAATCTAGTGACTACTCTTGATATTGTTAATCAATGACAACATTATTAGCCATTAAACCATTGGTGGGAAAAGCGATAAATTGTTCAGCAAAGTATCAAACTGGTGTTAAATCAGCATACTAGACATGGGAATCACATTTAAAAAACAATATAACCGACACTCCTCCCACTCGCACAAGCTCCACCCACTTTAATAAATCGTTTCATTAGCCCGAAAAAGAGGGGCGGCGTTTGTAATTGTGTCTGCTTTATGTGATTTTTATTATTTAAATGTAAACGCTGTTGGTAAAGTCGTTTTTTGAAAAAAGAAATTAAAATTTAGTAAAAAATAAATTAAAAAAAATATCCTCGATTATATTAATTTATTTGTCAATATAAAATCCAACTTCCGTCGCAGAACCAATAAACTGAGTGATCAAAACGGAATAGGGGTGGGTGGGCGGGGCCACTTTTGACTTTGTTTTAAGTCTTAGATTCTCCTGCTTGTCAAAATAGAATTCAATTCCCATTTTACAGTAAATAAAATACGTCAATGAAATGGACAAAAACGGTGGGCGGGGCTGAGTTTAGCTTTTTTTACAAAATCTTATAACCAAACAGTTGCCCCGCCCAGTCGCCCTCTTCGCTCCAATGACTGCTCTTAATATTGTTCTGTTTTATCTTAGTTAGTACTAGGCCTGTGTACCCTCACTCTGTTTTCCTAGAGGGTATGTCATTTGCCAAAATCAGTCTTATCTTAGCATGAACTAGCCCCGCCCACCCACCCTTTATTTGCTTAGAGGATATGTCATCTGCCAAAATCAGTCTTGTCTTAGCAAGCCCGCCAACCCGCCCTCTATTTCCAAGTAATTGCCCCGCCCACCTGCGGACTTCATTCTAACGACTAATTTTATTTGTTCAGTATAAGATCCACGCCTTCATTCTGACCAGATAAAACCAATAATTGACATGGAGGCGGGGTTAATTATTTTCTTCTCTCATGTCGGAGTGGAAACTAACTGAGTCTAGGATCTGAAAAAAGCCATATTGGTAAATTTTTTATTATATTATTTCGTCGCCTGAGAACTTGTTTGATCTACAGACCAAAGCGCGCTCAGGCCACTGTCGACTCTAAAGGTTGTTTAACTAAGAATTAATTCTTTAATTGTGTTTGATACTAACAAAACGCCCTAAATTAGCAATATTGTTGAAATGGATTTTTTTCGGGAAAATTTAGTTATTTTTATGTTTTGGAAAAATTGTTTTCTTCTTTGTATGAATTTTTAAATGTTTTAAGTGACAATTTTTGTGGTTACTTTCGATAAATTGTATGTATGATGTCAACACTGAGAAAAAAATGAAAAATTAAAATAATGGAAAATTTAAAAAATCGAGAAATCGAAAAACCAAGATGTCAAGAAATCGAAACGTCAAAAAATAAAAAAAATGAAAAACCGGATTATTGAAAATCGAAACATCGAAAAACTGGAAAATTGAAAAATCGAGAAATCGAAAAGTTGGGAAACCGAAATAGGCCACAATCGAAAAGTTCAAAATTAAAAAATTTTTAAATCGAAAAATTGAACAATAGAATTATCGAAACATCCAAATTTCGATAGATCAGGAAATCAAAACATTGAAAAATTTTAAAACTGAAAAATCAAAAAATCGAAAATTTGAAAAAACGAAGCATTGAAAGATTAAGAAATCTAAACATTTGAAAAATTCGAAAACTTGAAAATTTGAAATAAAAAATCGAGAAATCAAAAAGTAATGTAAAATTTTAAAATCGAAAAATTGAAAAATCGAAAAAGTAAAGAAATCAACACATCAAAAAATCGAAAAGTCGAAGAATCGAAATTTTGGAAAATCCCAAAACCGAAACATCGAAAAACTGAAAAATTAAAAAATTGAGAAATCAAAGAGTCAAAAAAGTGAAGTCGAAAAATCAAAACCTTAAAAAAATGAAAAATAAAACAAGTAAACAATTTAAAATTTGAAGAATCGAAGAAATGGAAAATCGAAAAACTGAGAGTTTATCAAAG